TATCAAAGGATTCTAATCCATAGTATCTGCTGAAACTTTGTGTTTTCTGTTTGATTTCAACCCAATGAAATTTTCAACATCGCATCAGGATGCAGCATCATCAATCCGAAGGCAGGCATATGCCTACTGGAACATCGTATCTTTGATTAACATATGTTTATCAAAGAAACGATGTTCCAGTGCGAATATAAGGGAATCCAAATACGGGATGAAGATCGATCGCTTCCAAAAATCGCATGGAGTCTCAGCAGTATGATTGGACTGATGTCGTTGGCGAAATGCAATGCGCGGGATATGTAAATCGGTTCCAATGACAGCTGCAGTTTCCGTAGAAGTGTCGAAGACATATTGGAATTCCTAGTCCGCGTTACTGAGATGCTTGTTTCATATATACATGTCTATTGTTTTTGATTATAGGGCATTGGCAACAGGTTCCAATATTCCTGAGTATTTTCCTATCAAACCAGCAGATATAATAAATTCTTACTTGGTAGCACAATATAAGTGGTAAGCGTTTTATCTCGCTGCAGCATTACCTTCTCTAGAATTTGCCAAAAGCCCATTGAGAATGCCCTCAAAATGATCGTTAAAAATAGAAATACTTTTGTTTTTTTGTGACCAGCGTATCTCACAAAGAGCTGAAATATTTGGCACGTACTTTCTCCGTAGAGAAGATTCTCGAATAAGTTGATGACATCTTTTATTGTGCTAATCTTATTTCTGGAACATTATTAAAATCATTCATTTCATCATCACCGCCAAGTTTATTTTGTAACTTGCACAAAGAAAATACAATGCTTTTTTACCCAAAAAGGTTTAACCACAAATAATAAACAAATTAACTTTATATAGGCAGGCTCAACTGTTAACTCGAAAAGCAAACCTTTTTCAATCCTAGATACTGAACCTGATAGTCCAGGCAACGAATGCTCAAAAACAGGTATAGAGGGAATTGCTTAGAACACAATTTTTGACTTCGTGACTTTGTTAGGACTAGTTAGGAGGTAAACATATCAAAAGTCCCCGCCCGTAGCCCTTAAGCCGGGGGGAGGGGGGGGGGGGGGGGGGGCTTGAAGGTCCCATTTTTAGGTTTTTCGCATATATCTCGAAAACTATGCATCCTAGCGACATGAGACTTTCACAAAAGTGAAAGCTGATTAAATTTGCTACAAGTCTTATTCAGTCAAATTTTTTGATATCTTGTATAGTTTTCGAGATATCCGCTCTTGAAAGTCTGTAATTATGGAAAAAAAAATGTTCCCATTTTTGCTCTATTTGACCGGATAACTCTTCAACAATGCACCCAAAAAATAAATGCCGGCCGTAGGGTTGTAGAGCATTAAATTATCTTCAATAATAGAAACAATTGCCTTTTTTTTTTATTTAAGGACAAAATTGTTAGTGTAGTAGACGTATGGGGGCGGTACGGTGGGCACTAGGCCGCGTACTCAGCCCCCACGCGCGGGGCCGCGGAACCTCGGCAAGGCCGGGAGGCTGCTAGGTGCGGAGACGCGGAAGAATCCCTAAACGGGGATTCCGCGGCTTCGCACTAAGCAGCTTAGAGGGTGTTCGCAGGGTTTTTTAGCGGATATTATGCCGTAAAGCGCCCGTAAGGGTTACGGGGTCCTCAGTGGGCAGCCACTGCTGGGGCTCGTAAGGCTTGCGGGAGCCAGGTGTGAGGTCCGTTCGGCGGTGTGCCTCTTAAAGGCGCCGTCGTCTGTAAATAGTATTTTTTGCCTGCGTATAAAAAAAAAGGGTAGTAGACGTATTGACTAAAGGGGGTGTCCTGCGTTCTTGTTCCCCAGCGTGCCAAAATTGCCAGGGGAACTGCTTGAATGGGGTCCCTCTAGTTGACTCCGAAGGTGAAGAAGAACAGGAGGATCCTCTGACCGTTTCCCTACAGGGTTCCGATGGAGAAAATGACACAGACAAAGAAAATGTAAACGAAGACGAGGATCAAGGTCCTTCCCACCCCAAAAGAGCAAGAAATTAACTATATTGGATTTTTTTACAAATCTCTTTTTGCACGTCATAGTGAATTGTATCGAAAACTGCTGCCGTATTCGTACCTGTATAGCCAATGAGAACCGGAAAAAAACCAGAGGCACGGAGCCCTACCGTCTCAATTTTTTTTAAAGTCCAGTTTTATAATTTTAATCATTCTTAATACTACTTTTTGTGTTGAGCTGGATCAATACAACACCAGACAATCTTATCATTTAAATAATCATCTAATTTATAATAACCTTTTTTGCATAAAGTAGTTAACTCTTGCAGTTTTTTTAAACTTATTTTCTGGATTGTGTGAAGAACCTGGTCAGTGGGCCAACAAGTACATATTCTAAAATGAGCATGTGTGCTATTTAGACATCGTTGCATCATTAAAGAGTTATCCGAGAGTTATCCGGTCAAATAGAGCATAAATGTAAAGCATTTTTTTTTCTATAATTACAGATTTTCAAGAGCGGATATCATTATTACAGATATTATTATTAGATAATTACAGTTTCTCAATGACACTAATTTACTTTCTTTTTTACTTATGGACCTCACACCTGGCTCCCGCAAGCCTTACGAGCCCCAGCAGTGGCTGCCCACTGAGGACCCCGTAACCCTTACGGGCGCTATACGGCATAATATCCGCTAAAAAACCCTGCGAACACCCTCTAAGCTGCTTAGTGCGAAGCCGCGGAATCCCCGTTTAGGGATTCTTCCGCGTCTCCGCACCTAGCAGCCTCCCGGCCTTGCCGAGGTTCCGCGGCAGGGGTCTCCCGGGGTATCGCGAGGACCCCACAGACGTGCGCAGGACGGCCCGCGCGTGGGGGCTGAGTACGCGGCCTAGTGCCCACCGTACCGCCCCCATACGTCTACTACACTAACAATTTTGTCCTTAAATAAAAAAAAAGGCAATTGTTTCTATTATTGAAGATAATTTAATGCTCTACAACCCTACGGCCGACATTTATTTTTTGGGTGCATTGTTGAAGAGTAATCCGGTCAAATAGAGCAAAAATGGGAACAATTTTTTTTTCCATAATTACAGACTTTCAAGAGCGGATATCTCGAAAACTATACAAGATATCAAAAAATTTGACTGAATAAGACTTGTAGCAAATTTAATCAGCTTTCACTTTTGTGAAAGTCTCATGTCGCTAGGATGCATAGTTTTCGAGATATATGCGAAAAACCTAAAAATGGGGCCAAAATGGGATCAAAGGGGGCCTCCTTAAACCTACACCCGGATGGCAAGGCCCGGGAACTGCTCAGAGTTTCTCGCTGCCACACGATGGACTCGACACCCGTACGGTGAAACCATGGATTGTTAAGAATTTCGTCTCACATACAATTAATGAGAGTAGATGTCATTTTATGATCTTTTTAGGACAACTAATGAAACTTCATTAAAGTTTATGACGGGTTTATAAGAAATAATGAGAATGAATTTTATTTTATTGGGAAAGCTTATAAAACAAAATGATAAATATGACATGATTTAACTAGAACAATCCAAGCCATTTTAATGATTTCACCAATCGCATATAAAAGCATTAGGTAGCTAGCTAGCTTGTGCTAGCTAGTAAAAAAATATTTTTCGAATAACTTATTTTTATGATGCTTCTACCTGCGTTCTAAACGGGCCATAGTTGCCCGGCAAAATTATATTTTTAAGAATACCTTAATACTTGTTAGTTGTACACACAGTAACATTATACAGACTACACACTTTCAAAAAATCCTTTTATCCATCATTGTACATCCAAGAAATGCTTAACGTAGGTACGTACGAAAGCACTTAACTGTTTACGAGTAGTCCTATCGAAATTAGAGCTTTAGTAACAAGACTAATGAGAGTGATTTGCGATTCTATATATTTTATTAAATTTATATTTAGTTTTTGTATTATTTATTATTTAATTTTTGGTTCTGAAGCTCCTCGATCTAGGGGGGGGGGGGCAGCTGCCCCCCCCTGCCCGTACCTGGCTACGCCCATGCACCCATTAAAAACCAAACAATCAATTAACATTAAATTAAATTACAAATAATCATTATCAATAATAAATAAATATAACAAGTAACTTTTACCTCAACAAAAATAGGTATTAAATAAATAAAACATGTCATTATGTACTATTATGACATGTACTGACTACATGAATCATGCAACAATGACGCATTTACTTAAGTCGATTCCTTTTGCTCAGAATGCCGTTGGAGCTGGCTCGAACCCTACGTACCAGTAATGCACCAGCACATCGCATCCGTGTGATGGGGAAGAAACAGTCAGTTTAGGTCTTTTGTACAATTTTTCCTTTTTTAATTAAGTATTTGTTGCATCTGAATTATTATTATTATAACATTATTATTTACCATTGGGTATGCAACCCCACGGGACCCTGTGGTGGTCCCGTGATGCCGCCGTGGGAGATGCATGGGTTTGATTATAAAATAGTAGACAGTCATTTTTTTTGTTGACTAGTGTCATTTGCTCGGGAATATCGTATTCACTGCACGCCGCTCAGTATTCTGCGACGGACGATAAAGGACCAGGACCTAACAATAGTTTAATTTGGATACCCGTTCTCCGTGGCTGAATCAAACGTATATTCTTATACATGACTTAACTTCTGGTTATTCAAAAATAGTAGAAAAGGCGAAAAGATTGAGCTAGTCCTAACAAGGTCTTGACCATTGTCCTGGATCTTCTCAATCTTTTTCCGCGTAAGCTTCTGCTTAAACGTTTTTTCCAAAAACTATAAAAATAATTAATGCTTTTCTGATTTTCAATAATTCCGTACCTACTTAACTTGTGATTTTAATCATAGGTACAGACTTCCTGTGAATTTATTCACCGGACATGAGCTTTATCTTTTTTTGATTATGTGATGATGATATCGGTACGACTAATTGCTATCGGATTTTTAAGTAGGCTTTGAGTTTACGGTTGACACTTAAATAAAACAACTGAATCAATTTCTTAACATTTAACTTTATTAACAAGTTCTATAAACGCACACCTAAAAGATCCCAAGTAAAAAAACTCACAAACAACAAATTTTCAACAATGTTATACATTTAGGCCCGTATTACAGAAAGACAACTAAGTGTTGATCTTTACTTGTGTGCAGTAAGAAAGGAATGTCGCTATGTGCTATATACAGCGACATCCCTTTCTAACTATGCTTAAGACTAGATCAATCACTGAGAATCTTTCTATAATACGAGCCTTACTTGACTATCTTAAATGCATAGATTAAATAACCTACAAAAATCACAGTTTAGTTGACCTTATGTTTCTTTTGCGTAGATTTTCTCCCGAATAGTCTACTGATTGTAAATTTGAGGACGTAGAAGACCGCTAAGATCACTGCGATCAGATCCAAGTAGACCTTCTGATACCAGGGTGTGGTTAGGGCTGCTGAGCGCAAATGGGGGGCTCCATGTGTCAACACCACGTGCTCCACCCAGTGCACCAGCTCTGCAGCTGGAGTCGCAGGCCGGTGGTGGTATATGAGTGATAACTCCTTAGCCTTGGCAGTATAGCTGTAAAAAAAATAATTAACTTCAACTTGATAAGTAAGTAAGCGAAAGTGGTCAGCGCGTTCGGTTGGTGGTGCGGTTTGTGGTGGTGCGGTTCATTCAGTTGAAGTTTCGCAATGGCTGGACGTAGGATAGGTGGCCAAAATTTTATTATCACAAGTTCCTCTGTGCTTAAGAAGGCACATTAAGGCAGGGCCGCGAATAGGACACGGCCTAATTTCGTCCATAGGAAAGGCCTATGCACCAGTAGTGGGGACATTATTAAGCTAATGCTGATGACGAAGTATTTCACGAACGAATCCTTATACAGTGCAACCTCGATATAACAAATTGGAAGGGAACAAGTAAATATTCGTTATATCGAGTAATTCTTTAAACTGAGGTTTGTTATATTGAAACCTCAATATAACAAACCAACCAACCTAACCAGGTTGGTCTAAAATTTGTTATAAAGAGGTAAAAAAATTGTTTCTTGTCTGTAAATCACGTACTATGGGATTAAGGGTCATATATTGATGGATACGTAATATAGAGGTTTTTGGTTGACAAAATTCGTTAATTAGAGATATTTACTCTTTTTTTTGATAGTTGAAAATTTGTTATAAAGAGGTTATTCGCAAAAAATGTTCCCAATGCAAAGGTATATTTTACATTGACTCTTATGGTAAATTCAAGGGGATTACGAAGAATTTGTTAAATCAAGGAAGTCGTTATATTGAGGTACGTTATATTAAGGTTGCACTGTATTATCCCCGCTTTACGGCAAAAGTTGTGTACCTCCTAAAAAGACCCCAAAAGTTAACAGAGGTGGAGTATAGCGAATATTCCGTTCGAAATCTAGTGCTGATCGACGGAGGATACCTCCAACTACCAGTAGATCACAATGAAATAACAGTATCTTATGTGGTGGTTATTTTTGTGTTTGTTGGTGAGTAAGATACCAAGGCTCGATTGGGTAGGGGTCCAGTAAGCAAGTATCATCTATCTTCGTAGTCGGACTCCACTTACCATCAAGTGGGGTGTGGTTATTAGTTTAGCATTTAAATAAAAATATTCCATAATACATAATATCCACCTAGGCCGGCCGATGAATGAGTTAGGTAATGTAGGGTCCGAGTCGTACAAAAAATTAAAAGTTACCTTGAACTGCTAAGCGCTTCCCCTAAAGCCACTTTCAGGTCGTCGGCCATATCATAGGAGAGGTCCACTTTCAAGCCGATGCCCAAATTAATAGCCATTCCGACATTGGTGAACTGGTCTGCTAACACCGGTACACCGATTATAGGCTTCGCAAAATAAACCGCTTCGGTGAGGGACAACGATCCTCCATGAGTGATGAACAATATGCAATTAGGATGAGCTGCAAAAATGAAATTTTAGCCTTTTTTATCTATTTCATATTGTCACTGGGCTTGGGGCGGCAAGATCCTTAGGTGTCCACAAGCCGGGAAACTTGCCATTGCACTTGGCATACTCGTAGAAAACGGGGAGTCTCCACTCCACCATAAAGCCACCAGACCACTCGAGTCTGAAACCTCGAAATAAAATGTCTGTAATATTTATTGTTTGAAACCTTAATGTCACATTAAAGTATTTTTTGTTATTAGCGGGATGGCTACACTGTACCTTGTTTTTTGCGAGTAACCACTTTGTGATCATGGCGAAGTAATTACTTCGTGATCATGGCGGAGTAACCACTTCGTGATCATGGCGCTTACGATAGTGCTGAAATATCCGAGACTCGCAAAAAAGGTAAATAAAAAGGTAGCAATAACTAAGTAGCGAGAAACCTCTAATAACTAAAATTACTTTAATTGCATTTACTACTCGTAAATGAAATATTACAGACTATTTATCTATTTCATAGCGTCACCCGAGTAGACTGGCTCCAGTCATGTTCTATATGGCGAGCATTTTCCTGGGAGTCTTCTCTAAAATGTAGAGTTACTAGGCCACTCGAGCCTGAGCGCAATAAATGAAATATTACAGATTTTTTAAGACTATTTCACAGTGTCACCGAGCCAGGCAAGATCTTTAAGGGATCTCAAGGCATGGGATATGACGAGAAGCTTTAGTGTTTTTCTAAGTGGAGAGCATATTCCCGCGGTGAAGTCTCCACTCCACCGTAGCAACACCCGGCACTCAAGTAGAGTGCCGGGTGTAGAGTAGTATCGAAATCGAAATATAAGAAACTATCCAGTATATTCAAAACTAGCTGTGCCCCGCGGTGTTACCCGTAGTTTAACAGGGAAACGCGAATTCATTTTCATCGATTTTCCCATGGGAATAAAACATTTTCCTGCAGTAAAAGGTAGCCTATGTGTTAATCCTGGGTGTCAGCTAACTCCATACCAAATTTTATTAAAATCACTCCAGCCGTTTAGACGTGAAGAAGTAACAAACATACACACTCACAAACTTTCGCCTTTATAATATTAGTGTGATTACCCAGAATACTGGGCTGTGGGGCCCATTGTACGATGTGCACATTACTAGGCAGGTTAGACAGGTTTTCCTCGAATTTCCACAACACAGTCTGCTTCAGTCCTGCGAACACTTTCAAAAGGTTCCTCTTCAAGTTTTCCGGCATGTATTTGCTTTTCACGTTCGAACCCAGGCTGAAGAATATCAAGCCATTCTTGGCGTTATCCAGTAGTTTTTGAAGGTCCTGGAAAAATCAAAACAATTTGTATCTATACAAATGGCTGGGTGCCACTTCAGTGCCTTAATCGATTTATTGTAAAACATCTATCGGCGCTGCCTTCCAACCTCGGTACTTCACATAACTATTTGTATTCGCATTCGTTTTGTTTATTCATACATACATCATATATATCATACATCTTCTACAGGTAATTAGGTAGCGAAAGGAGAGACTGTTATCAAGCTTACAAATAGCAAATACGAATAGCCATGTGAAGTGCCATAAGAAAAACTAGAAGAAATTCATTACTTCCACTAAGGTCTCAGGAGTATATGATAGCGGTAAGGTTAGCACTGGTTAGAAACCAGCTTGACATAATTATGGGCCAAGTAGAATTGTTTCTAGTAAGTAACATTTTTAAATTTATAAACCATGAAGTTTTATTCTTAAAATAAAATAACAAAATATTTCTAATTATCAAAGAAATATAGGAACTTATAAGTAATAATAATATCAAATGCATCCATCGAGGAGTAGATATAGTGTGATAAAATAATATCAGTTACGATATATCACCAAAAACGTAACATACGTTCGGTAGCGGTTTAATCTCAGGGTTGATGTGGTACCCCCGGACGGGCTTGTAGTTCTGCGGGAGCCTCGTGGGCCGCCCCAGGGACACGTGGGAGTTGCCCAGGACCAATGATGTATTGTACCGCAACTCGGAAAACGAAGGTGCGACCCTGCCTCTCTTTCGTATCACCTCTTCAAATAACATTTTGTAGTTTTCCTCGTCAATCTTATTAAAGTAGCTGAAAAACAACAAGTATGCCTCGTAATACATAAAGCATTTTTGTACTTATATAGGTAATAAAATAAATTATAAATTTAAAAAACGCCAAGAAAAAAATACCTTGAAAATGTTCAAGTTCGTATAATTTTCCGTAGTTTCCTATCGTAGCTTTTCAGGGTTCTTCTGTTTTACTGTGAACAGCATCGGCGCTAGCGCTTATGAGCCAATCACTCTAATTTGTTATTAGAGTGTAAAGATTATTATTATTTTATTATTGGTGATGTTCTAATTTATTTTTGTTATATTTTTATATGGTTCATGAAAATTTACTATCAGTTACCAGATTTAGTATACCTTCTGTTGCCGACGCATATTATTCAAACCTTTTTACACTTTTTATATACTCTTTTTTACATTGTTTCGTTTTAAATACGTTTTTATTTTGCTGTCTCTTATTGAAAAATTATGATTATAGAGTATATCCAACGATATTAAATAGTGTGTGTCCCAATCAAGAAGTGCTTGAACTCCACTCAAGCACTTCTTGGTTCACAATCACGCGCGGACCGTTACAAAGTCAAGATGCCACAGAGCTCCGCCAAAAAATGCAAAAATAATACTTAGAGTACGAAAAGTATAGTTTTTTCGACAATTATCTAGTCAATGTTTGTTAATTAAACGCATTTGAAGTAAATTTTGATTTAATATTGACTATAAACTGATTTAATATAAAATATTTGTTATATTCAAATGCATAGTCGATTAAAGGTCGATTCACACATATCAGTGAACCCACAGTTCCGGCACAGTACCGCATCAGTGATAATTATTCTTTCAAACATTCTCTATGGATGTATTCGCACTTGTCAGTGTCAGTGTCGTCTCAGTACCGTCAGTGTCAGTGCCGGCACCGGCCATCACGGACGTGATCGGCGAAGACGATATTTTATCACGGATCACTGACGCCGCTGCATCGAAAACAAAATGGAAGACGAGGTGTTGATTGAATTAGTTTGTGAGAATCCTGTTTTGTATGATTTATCTCATGCAAAGTATATGGATACAAAATACAAAAAAAAAATTGTGGAACAAAATAGGAACACAAATGAATGTAGACGGTAAGTCAAAATTTATTTATCTACAGTGCTATTGTAAAGAGGAATTATTACATTTTTGTCTATGTGTTTGAACCTAAAATCTACTTTAATTTGTATATATAGATGATAATTCTGACAGCTCGTAATAGGGATAGGGTAGTGAGTAATCGTTAGTGAAAGTCGAGATGGGCCGCTAGTTTTAAAATAAAATAACAAAGTGTAAGTTGCTTTATTTTAATAGATAAAGTACAAATCATATTTTATCTTCTTGCCAGGGTACTGATCCTGCCTCAGAAATAAAATAATTTTTGAATACTTCTCTAACGTGAAATGCGCCCGCTGTGGCGTTTCCGCCTTGAGGTTGCACAGTTTCCAGTAAACTACTTGTATGAGGTTGATTACCCTCATAATCTGATGCATGTGTTGTATTTGGATTAAAATATTTGATGAAGTTATGTAAAATACAAGTAACGAGTACTATATTATCTACATTTTCTGGGTTAGCTTGGATCCGTCTATTGTATATTCTAAACTTTTGTGTTAATATACCGAAAGTATTTTCAACAATTCTTCTTGCTCTTGATAAACGATAATTAAAAATGCGCTTGTCGTCATTCAAATTTTGCCCTGGATAAGGTCGCATTAAATATGTTTTGAGAGGAAATGCTTCATCTCCCACAATCACGTGTGGTGTTTCTATTGATGTTCCTGGCAACGGAGAATTTCCAGGTATACCTAAAGTTTCTTGCTGTAGTCTTTTTCCTAGGTTGGAATTTGCAAAAATGCCACCATCACTGTTTTTGCCATAAGACCCCACATAAACGGCAATAAAATTATAGTTCGCGTCCACAAGGGCCATCAAAACAATGGAAAATGTTTTCTTGTAATTAAAATATAGAGATCCACTTTTCGAGGGAGCCTGAATTGTTATGTGCTTACCATCCAGTGCTCCAACACAGTTAGGGAAATTCCACAACAATTTAAAGTCATTGGAAATAGTTTTCCATTTATCTTCTGTAGGCAAAGGTAGCATTTCACTCATCAGAGTTTCCTTTATTATCTTGCATGTTTCCATAACTATGGAATATGCTGTGTGCTGTGGCCCAAGCGGTAACTAAATGAAATTGTCTTCAGAGAATCCCCTGTTGTTAGATACCTGAAACAAATAAATCTATATATAATATTATTTTCATTGCAGGTTCAACATGCAAAACACGGTGGAATAACATAAGAGACAACTATCGAAAATCGTTGAAGAAAACGAAAACTAAAAGTGGACAAAAGAAGACCAATGTTAAATTATACAAATACTATGAACAATTACATTTTTTGAAAAAATATTTCAATGAACGACCGACAGTACAAAGTGTAGAACCAGAAAAAGAAAATTCTGACTCCGAAACCAACGAGCCTCGAAATACCGTATCCATTTCACCTGATATACCCATTGTCGCTAGTCACGAAGCATCCATTCCATCACCAAGCTACGTATCCACTCCATCACCACAGTGCGTCCGCACTCCCACACCATCACCAAGCCATGTGTCTACTGCATCACCATTGTACGTCCGCACACCCACACCATCACCACCATCACTGGCGTCTCTATCTACTACATCTACTTTAAGAAAGAGAAAAGGTTCGACAAAATGCACACCAAAACCATCCTCAGCATCTTCATTAATGGAATATGTTCTTCAAAAAAATCAAGAAAAAGCCGAACGCGTCGAGCATCCAGTTGATGCTTTTTTAAATGGTATTGCACCCACACTGAAGAATTTGAATCAATATTACTTAAATTTGGCAAAGACTGAAATATTTACAACTGTGCAAAAATATGAGATGAAGATGATGACAGAGCAAAATGTACCATTATATCCAAGAGATATTGCAACTGAACCAAAAAATATAAATCTCACATCGCAATCTATTCTTGACTCTACTGGATTGGCTAATATAGTAGATCCCACACAACATAGTGATGTGCAGCAATTTGTTATGAACTCTACATTTAACGAATGATAATGCTCTAGAACTTAACAAAGTGTTAAAAGTATAATGTGTTTATGTGCCACATACGAAGTAATAAAAACTGATTTAAATACATATTTTCAGAATTTTAATTAAAAGGTTATCCTTAAACATACCTGTCAGTGGATACATCTGCACTGCAAAAAATGTGTTCACTGATATGTTATCGACTGTTTCTACCTCAAAAAAGGTAAAAATAAAGTTAATAACATCCGGTTTACCTACCTTAGACAAATTGCGAGCCGCTCTCTAGGAGATATAGCCTTCCTCCATCGAGTATCTTTCTTTACTAATTTATTTCCCAGCTTCTGAAGGAGAATATTAAAACAGCTTTCCGACATTTTAAAATATTCAAAATACTTTCTTTGGTCTTTAATTAATTCTTTGTATAATGTCACGAATTCTCCTTCAGATTCTCTTAACTTCCATGCTTCATGTACCCATTTTCTTTTTTTTCCTCGATTTTCTTCTTCTTCTTCGTCTAAAGCAATGGCTATCATAGCTAATTCTGTGTTATTGAAGAGTGCCATCAAAATAATCGACGTCAACGCTAGTCTGAAGGGAACGTCGTGCACGAAGACCCGCAGAGAACTGTACTGTGCCTGATATGTGTGAATTGAAGCACTGACGCACCACTGTTGCACGGCTACGGAACTGTAACGGTACTGTGCCGGAACTGTGGGTTCACTGATATGTGTGAATCGACCTTAAACGTCGCTATATAGCCGTCTCTTTTCCTCGCGGTCCGTGCCTGCTATATTGCTAACAGCGCGTTCAGAATTGCGCGTAGAGTCATTAAGGTCTAAATTCTTCCGCATATAGCAATAAGTTGTAAAATTTTACGAGCTTGCATTTCGAACTGTCAGAAGTCCTTGACGCTTGCGTTTTATTTTAGACCTTATGCAGTATGTGTTAAAGGTTACATTCAATATTTAAATAATGCCTTATATTGATTTTGACTACGCGATCATCTTACGGAGCTCCGTGGATCGTTCAATGTACCTTTTGGACAGGTTTCGGGCACGATTTTGTTCATGTTGGTGTATCTAGGGTATTTAACATCGTTGAGTATATCACTAAACCCGAGTTTAATTTCTTACCGTTCGGTACATCTTCAATGGTTTATGTCTAGGTTTTGAGAGAATAAAATTACACAATTTGCTTACAAAGTTTTTATGAGACCGCTGCCTATGTGAAAAGCCAGCTCTTTCAAGCGTTGAGTGAAGCTGAACGGCGGCACTGCTGCGGATATGATGCCCGGGTTGTAGGACGGGTTCAGGGTGTCGTCTATCAGCTCTAGTATGAACGAGTGGGGCTCCACCGTGGACAACCAGATGTAGGGGCAATCGAACACTGCTGCGAGCCTGAAAATTAGTCATCGTCATCATCATCGCCAGCCTATTAATGTACCTACTGCTGCGGTAAAAGCCTTCCCTATGGATGAAATAGGGAGATTGGGCCATGACCCATGCAAACCCTGTGGAGTTGTGGTTGTTAACGACTGTAGACGTAGCTGGGACCAACGGCTTAACGTGCCTTTAGAAGCACGGAGGAGCTCGAGATAATAAGTTTTTGAGCGACCATTGCGAAAGTTGCTTAATTTCCATGATCGCAGGCTGGACGCGCTATCCACCCGCCCTATCGAAATTTTAGTAATTTAGTCATAAAGTCATAGATTGTATTTATTGCTGCGATATGCTCCACCTGTGGCTGGTGCCGTCTGCAGGTAATATTGTTGCTGATGTAGGTACATATTGTAAAGTCCGGCACAAATGCCTTCGCATCCGTACACTGGAAAATCCTTTTAATTAAACATAAATACAACCGAACTGTCGGTCACCGACTAATATAGGTAAAATATGTAAGTATATAAATTATTAAAAAAAATGTGGGTGCTCGCGACTTCACCTGCGTAAATTCCCATAAACTCTCAATCTCAACCCCTTTTCACCCCTTAAAAGGAAGATTTCTGGGATAAAAAGTATCCGATATCTCAACCCAGGTAATAAGCTATATGTATACCAAAGTTCATTCAAATACGTTCAGCTGTTTCTGGATGTTTGAGTAACAAACAAACGTATAAACATACAAACTTTCCACATTAAGAATATTAGTAGCAAGTAGGATTTACTGTGTCTACCTTTTATCGCAGAACTTATTATGTCGTACGTATGTCGAACGTATTACATTATTATGTATATCAGCGAATGGAATCATCTTCATTTCGCAGATAATAATTTGGCATTTATTAACTCATTTATCAGACATTCAAAATCACAATTTTGTAAGCCTGAGTCATATTTTCGCATAAAGTACATTTAATATCTGCCCATAATCCTAATTAAAAAGCAAAATCATCACATATCGTAGAAAGTTCACAGTCAGATTTGCATACAAATTCCTTGTTTGGTTTCAGGTGGCTGGCTAAGTTTAGGTCACTACATTAACCTTACCTAACCCATTGACCACAAAATACCGATTATATAAAGCCACAAGCTTAACAAAATTATGCAAAATAAATTTTGGCAAAGGTAATAATGCTTTATAAAATTGTGTCATTGAAAAATCGAACCTATACACATTCGGCCAAACAATTTAAATATATTAAAAAATATATGCCTTAAAAATATTCGTTTAAAGAGGGCTATGACAAGTGTGTTATGCCCAATGAATTTCGGTAGAGCAATATTCTGCCAGATGGACGGAACTCGGGTTAACTTACCCAGCAAATAATTCATTTACCATCCATTCTGCTACCACTACGTCGAAGGTCTGCTTTGGGTCGTTAATTAGAGTTTGGACGTTCTTATTCAAAATCGTCGCTATGTTCATGTCGGTCATCATTTAAAAAAATTTACTTATGTCAGAATAAGACTGCTCTTTGTTCAATATGGCAGTTAAATTGGCCTCTGCAAGAGAATGAGAAAATAAAGCATGGATGCAATAAAAAAATAGGATTTCTACAGTACAGACTCCTTTCACACTTAACATCAGAGGTCTTCCACATAAGTAACTAATTGTCATTCACTTAATACTTAGTTTACATTTGAAAGCCATTATTATCCGATTCAAAAAAGGGTTGGCTTATTTAGTTTGAGACTTATTTATATCTCGTATTAGTGCCATTGTATGTTCTAACTCTCTAATTATTAGTCTCGTCAATCTAGACATTCAAAGGTAGGTACATCAATTTACATCAAACTTGAAGTTACTAACATTTTTCAAAACGTAATTAAAAAATAACAATTCCAAATTCCCCATCGTTCCGGTGGAAAGAAATTTCCTCGATGTCAAAGTAAAGCAAAAAAAATACTATTTTCATCAAAACGTTAAGTTTTATTGTATTTATTTAATTGAGGCAAAAAATTGCAGATTAAAAATATTTATTTGGTATAAAAAAGGTACCTATGGTTTTTTATTTCAAAAAACTGTAAGCGTCATAATATACACACGATTCCACGCCACCTCTAAGGTATACTTAGCGCGTTTTTTAGGGTTCTGTAGTCCTGACAAGGAACCCTTATAGTCTCATGTCCGTCTGCCCGTCCCCAGTTTTGTTTGGAGACTATTAGCACTAGATAGCTGTAGTTTTGTGAACATATGTATATCAATCACGCCGGCAAAATGGTAAAATAAAATTTTGAAAAATATTTTTTTAAGGTAGCTCTCTTCTACATGTAAACTGAGGATGATTTTTTTCATTATCTAACCCATCGTTGTGTGGGATATCGTTCAATAGGCCCTTTAAAATTACTAAGGGGTTCCTAAAACTATTTTTAAGTAATAAGGTATCCGTTGGCGAAATATTTAACTTTAAAGTGCTAATTTTTTTCGAGTAAAAAATGGTCCTCCCTCTATAAGCTGAACTGGCTTGAAAACCGTGGAAGAAGTCATGATAATAGTGCTTTTCATGAACTTTTAAGGAAAACTATAACGGTTATGATAGATTTGTTAGTTTAAGAGTAATACTCGTTCAACTTTTGTTAAAGAAAATTTCTTACCTTTTGAAAATTCCTTAGAAGAAAACATTAATAGTGATATAGATGAAGTTATTGTAGCGTAAAACCTTGTATTGCAACAAAATCTAAAAAAAAAACACCAAAAATATGTTCCACAACGATACCGCGAGTAGCAACGGTAACGGCTTCTGAATCGTGCTAACGTTGCGTTTTTATAAAAAAAAATATTTGCACTTGAAAAGCTAGTGGTTATACCGCATCATCCTCATCTGAAGTGATCATCCATATCATGGTTGGATAATCCTTTCAGATCCATGTATCCATGAGGATTTTATACGCGCTCCCCCGCCTGGGAAGAAACAAAAAAAATCGGCGGTTATCATTCATTCATATTTAAAAAGTAATAATATTGAATTGATTTTGAGATTGAGACGCAGTTTCACTTTGATTTACGTATTTAAGTTGAGATACATAGTTTGATATTAATTGAGTTTTTTAATTTCCGATACAGAAAATGAAGACTCCGGCTCAAATTTATTGTGGTAACGACAGGCAAATACGGAACCCTCCACTGCGTGTAGCACTACGCGAACTTGGCCGGTTTTTTAACATGGTTTTCGCAGTAGGCCTATTCCACAGGTCTGTTGTGATTATGGTGAATGGGAAACTATTCGAAATATTTAACAGATATTAGCAAGGGTTGGAAATGATAAAAGCGATGAAAATTAAAAATCGGTTAAAAAAATTATTCGTCCGATTCTTTATCTTGATCTTCTTCTTCTTCTTCATCATCATCCTGGGTGTAAGGGAATTGCGTGAGTAGCGATGTATCGCATGTCTTTTTATATAATATGCCGTGGGCGGCGTTTTGTGGTTGTGGCCGGTGGGCCGTGTGGGGCGACACTTATACCTATCTCAATAACGGTGGCTCTTAGGAAAAAAAATATTTATAACTTTTTTATAAATAGATAATTTTATGATCTACACTTTTTGTTTGACGTAATTTTGCGATAAGCTTGCCGTTTTGATGAAAATCGAGAAAAACCCACTTTTTTGACCTTTGACCACGAGGAAATTTTTTCCAAGGTAGATCGATGGGGAATTTTGAAATGTTATTTTTAATTATTTTTTAAACAATAATTGAACTCACTTCCAGCTTGATGTTATTGTAATTTGAACTGATTTTATATATTATTTAAATTTTGTGAAATTGGCAAGGCAATTACTGTAATGGACCCTTTAACTTTTTTAGATGTTAGCCATATTATAGCCCCAGACTAAGCTTAGCTTGTACTATGGGTGCATAGTTATCGTATAAATGTAAACATTCATGACAGGTAGGAAATGGCACGTGTTCATCACACAGACATTTGTCCACTACGGGATTCGAACTGGAGATACTGAATCTGCAGAGGAGCACCTACCGATAGTAGGGTCACGCGGGCTGTCAACGATTCGATTGATTAAAATAATATATACTTAGGGCCATTTGCACCAAGATTCTTAATTCAAAGCTGAATCTAGTAGTGCTATTCTGTAAAACTATCACGCGCGGATCCGATGTGGATCCGCCCGAATCTGTATGGTGATAATTTTACAGAATAGCACTACTGTTATTTTGGTGCAAGTGAGCCATAATAATATGTACCACAAATTACCTGGTAATGGTGGCTGGTCAGACACGTCGAGCTGAGTAACATTCGGATGAGGATTTTTTACCGGAAATGGAGTTATGTATGTTACCTGAAACATTTTATATTATAACTCAGCATAAAAATATAAGGTACATACAAAATATTATTAGTTATTAAATTATCAAAATATTATTTTGATAATTACTACATTGTACTAAAAAAACGCGTGATTTTGGATATGGGGGGGAGGGTACACTATCATGCCTGACCGAATGTGAACAAGCCAACTTCATTAGATACTGTAAAGCCAGTAGAATCTGCATCATCATTATGCAGAAGTATCAGTCATGCAGACCTGAAAAGGCTGCGAAACGTCAATAAATAAATAAAGTTTTGTGCATTAACCCCTTAAAACTAGTTTTATTTAAATATTAAAATTTTAGACTGGGAGAATCTTTTGTTTCGCATCGATGTTTCGAGAATAGAATTCAGGCACAGACACGAAAGGTTGAATATATTTGTTTAAAACAAATATAATTTAAAAGTTCAGTTGATATCTTTTCTACCAAAGATCTGAGTTACGTATCCTAGGTTCTCTCTTATGGAGATATATAACCTCATAATACCTACCTCATGCCCACTATTGGCCAGAAGTCGCACTACTCCTTCACCGAGTATCCCATGACTTTTGCTCGGAAAAGGGAAAACCACGAGGATTTTGAAAGCGTCGCACGCGCAAAATGACGCTATTGCCACAACAGCAACCCATATTTTTGTCATTTTCTGGAAAAAAAATTACATCAAAACCTACAGAAAAGGCGTGAAAAATTTATGCAAGCAGGCAAAAGGTGATAATTTTTTGATGTGGTAAGTAGTACATAATAGTTGCACCAGTTTTTACGCGTTTAGACTTTCATCATCATCATCACCAGCCTATTAATGTCCCCTCTGCTGGGGCACAACCATCCACAGGGATATGGATGGAATAGGAAGACTGGGCCGCAACCTACCAAGTGGAACCAATGCGGATTGGTGAGTGCTAATGACTGCAGATGCAGCCGGGACTTACGGCTTAACGTGCCTTTCGAAACTAGGAAGAGCTCGAATATAAGAAGTATTTAGCCACCCATCCAATGACCGACCATTGCGAACGCTATCGCAATCTACAATTAACATCAGTAGAGTTGTGTTTTTTTTAAATTTTCTTTTTCATTATAAGCCATGGAAAGTTCTTTATACTGTTGCTATTGTAATAAGGTTTCATTTCAAAACGGCTAGGTATACCTACCGAATTAATTCTTATTGTTTTTTAACAAATAGCGAAATATTTTATGCGTCCTTAGTTAAAGCCTCTACTCTAGTGCATTTTCCCTCTCGCATTGGATAGTAAGACACTGTAATCTCAAAAGTATATTAATGTCCTTGTAAGGCGATTCCGGTGCTCCGTGTTGATTCCTAAAAATGTTAGTAGTTACTGAAAATTTTCAGTAGGTAGTAAGTACCTACTAACTTTAGAAAGTGTCCCTAATAAAGACTCTTCACAGACTTACAATTAACTTTTAACTTTGTGTAATTTTTTGTCAGCGTTCAGCCTTGGCTGCGGTTACTTAGTCTGTTATTGAATACCCAGACCTTTATCTATATAAAAACAGTTTTATCTATTCACTGTTAAGTTGGAACTCTATATATGAATCATTTTATTATTACTTTAGGCAGGTGTAACAAATATTAATAAAGTTTTTTGGCTGAATTTTTCCAGAATTAAATCCGCAAAACTAGATAGATAGAGTGATACAATATTGGTGTCATAAATCCGATTGTATTGAAAGATCGATGAAACATAAGCGAATACTATTATATTTGGGATTTTCAAAGAGGATTTTCTTTTTATATGGTAAGGTACCTCATACAAATAAGGCATATGCTGAAATAAGGCCTGTAGTGCAGAAAAGTCTATTAAAATAGGTTTTCATCAAAAATAATTTACACACGCATAGATAACAGTTCTACAACTCGGCAAACTGTGCACAAGCGGTCCGCTCGAGATCATAGCGTCAGTAGTGGCGGTACTTTGTGAAGGACGAACTTTTCATAGGGCATTATTGATTTGTCGTAATCTTTAATAAATTTTAATACGTTATTCTTTGAAGTTTTGTTTCATGTAATGTATACAGATCACAATTATAACTAATCACAAAGTTGACTATGACGTAAAATACTACCTATAAAAGCCCTTATTTTTATCAAATTTTATATATCTATCGAAATATATTCATTTTCCAACATTTAATAATATTTACGAGAAGATATGTTAATTTGCTAATTTTTGTGTGTATGGATATGTTTTTTTTTTATATTATTCTTTATCTCTTGCATTATCTCATGCTTCTCGTATATTAAATGCGTCTTCAAATCTGACTTGCAATTTAAGTAAAATATTTAGTAAAATAAATTAGAATGTTTTTCAAGGATCATAGGAAACACTTGATTGAAGGCTCAGAAATACATTTTTTAATATAATTTATACTCTAATAACAACATTCCTATAATTTAAGTACATAGGCTTTGTTAAGTCACTATGTTTTTAAAAGGCCTAAGGCGAAAGTTCCAGAATTAGCTTTTTAAGTGATTTCTGATAATAGATTGTAAAATGTTTTCTTAATTAAATTTTATGAACCAAGGAATAATGCCTTGCTGTGATATGAGTGTTTGAAATTAGGTAGGCCTTATTTGTATCACTTCCCTTACCTAGGTATTAGTAGGTACTGTTATGCTTCCAGTATCAAAATTATTGTACGTTCTTTCTTCTTTTGGTTGTTTCCTTTTGATTTTAGTACCTACCGTTAATATTTTTACTGAATAAAACAAAGCATACATTCTAAATTTGAGAACACAGGTTCTCAAAATACTTAGCAGAATCAAGGCTGAACAAATTGGTTTGAGAAAATCAGATATATTTTTCAAAATAGAGTCTGTAGAGTAGAAAAAGCTGTAGACAACGATGGTATATCGCTGCTCGAGGGGCTAACGCAATTTATTTTCACGCTTACTATGTTACTATAAAATTAGAGTTTTGAAACAACAAGATCATACTGTGAAAAGAAGACTACTAAGTAGCTTACTTGTAACAAATGTATCATGAACAAATAGTTATGTAGAGTAATGTACTCTCTGTAGATAACGATCGTAACGAACAGAAGGAATGCGAATGAACCCTAAAAATCTCACCCCTTTTTACACTTTGCTTATGTACTCAGAGGAAACGAAGAACCGTACTCCTAGCACGAACCAATATCGAATTCGTAACGTTTGCGAGTACGAAATATCACTGTCTAATGTTTCGTCCGTTATGGCACTACTGTTCAAGTTTCCATACAAAATTTGACAATGATATTTCGGACTCGCAAACTATTCGAATTCGATATTGGTTCGTTCTAAGGGTACCGTTGTACACACTTAAATATTCACAAAATAATAATATAAATGCTTCCATTTCAATAAATATAGCAAAAATAAAATCACGTTATAAAAGCTTAAAAGAGGTCCTCATACCTTCCTACAATAAATGAGAGTATCGGCGATTTTTGCTCGTTACAAACAATCTATGTAACCTTATACACCGAAGACCTCCGTGGACGAGTGGTTTGTACGCCGGGTTTCAAGGTGTCGCCGACTCTTAAGGTCCCGGTTTCCAATCCCGGTGGGGGCTGATGTTTGTGTGATGAATACGAGCATTTGTACTCCAGTCATGGATATTTAATATGTGTTTCTATATAAATATACTTATATATGTACAAGCCTTACGGTGCTTACTTTGGGGTTAGGCTAATTGGTTGTGAGTGTTGGAAATATTTATTTATCTATTTATACAGGCTACCCTTCGAATCCGATACGTACTTAACCAGTTTTTCCGCATTTATTCAACCTACCGAGGATCAAACTTGGAATTCGGAAAAGCCATGTTATAATATTATTGATGGACTGTGGTGGCTGTTCGTACATAATATCACAAAGCTAAGGAGGTTGTGCAATATGTATGAATTTTACATCTCGTATAATTTAATCTATATAATTGCTAGTAAGAATCGTGTCTTAACGGTCAGACCCTCGCATGTATTTTATTGCCTGGTAGGGGGTTTGACCAATTTAACTTTATCTCCTACACTCTTGTTACTCTCAATCTTTTATTTTCTATTTCGTTTCCTCTCTTCTTCCTTTCGTCTCTTACTATTAATGAACCGTCCTCTCCACTTTCTCTCTTTCCCACTCATACTGCATCTGGCTGCATCTCTATGATGACTCGTATTCTTATGAGCCTAATCCACCTACTATCGAATTCAGCACATCACAACACAACAAAACCCATAATCAACTTAACTAACGTAATGAACAAATGAGTGACTAAATAAAAACATTTTGTTATTTAAACAAGTGGCCTTTGAAATCTTCAAATTGGATACGGTAAGGCTAGAGAAACTGTTAAAGATTGAAAATACTTACCAGTTAGTAGCTACTACAATATTCGGTCCTTAACTCAAACACATCGTCTACGTGGTGCCTAACTATTATAAATAGTCTGTGATTTACTCAGTTGTTAACACTTCTGCACTGGCTGTCACAACACTGAGTGAGTAAATAAGCAGTGGAATATGTCGTAAAGACTGCTTACGGTTACTATCATCACCCAAGACCGTGCTCCAACTATTAGAAGTAACGTGCCGAGTATCGTGTCCGTCATTGTATTCCATCCTTCTCTAACTTAAATATTTTTTAATACCATAGAGTGGGACACAAACACTTCACGAAGCAACGATTTTGAGAATACAGCCCCACATAAAAAAGATAAAAATATAAGATAAGGATAAGGACTTATGATAGCTATCATTTTGTACACTTGGACAGATTTGGATAGATTAGAATATTCGTTTTGCTCACTCGATCGGTCGCTATGAATGAGTAATATCAAACATAGTTACGATAATCAAGTCCGGTCAAGGCTAGAGGCCGCTCGTTCCAAAAGACCTTGAGGACGAGCAACACTACGCGCGGGACATTGAAATAAAACGGAACCTGGAGTCCGACGACCGAGGAACTCCTATAACTACTAATTATGTTTAAGGCCACGTATGTAAAATTGCTTCGACATCAGTGTGTTTTACCACACACACATATGACCAAATTCAAACAGAGATATACTTCGGTTAAATGACAAAGAATGAGTTCCCGTCTCGACCATTTCATAGTCGCACGGTACTACATTGTAATACAGAGCGGAAACTCGTTTTTCACTTGTTATATTTGGTAGGGCAACATTCGATAGCTGTATAGATCATATCCTAAATACGAATAGGTAGCTGCGGCGCGCGAGTCAGGAGTCACGACCCACATCATTAGCGATCCTCGAGTCTCTTCTATCGACCAACTATACTCCCTACGCAAAGTATTTTGAGCAGTAACTGTATGTCACCTTTCCCCTTTCCTTCAATTCCTTCATAGGACCACACGCGCTGGTCTTCGTTGTCTTGTCACTAGCTTACTATGTCAATGATTCCTACACGAACAAATATCTGGTTATTCATTCCTTTGTAGTACTATTCACAAGTGGAATATTTGCCCGCGCACGTGTACCCGCCTTCCTATAATCCTGAAGGGGCCTTGAAAAAAAGGTGTGAAGAAGTATTTGTAAAGGTTGACAAAGTGAGGATTGCTTGTATTGCACTTATAACTGCTGCACCAGCTGTTCAGTATCTGGACTTAACATCCGGTGTACGTTTCATTTGTCTACTTTGCGATATTGAGCAAAGAAACATTATTGTACCTACGAGTGAAATCCTACTTCCTACTAATTACCAATACTCCCATCCGGTCATACTTTTATACCTTAAAATTTGTATATCGCAAAAACAGCTTACCGGATTTGAAAGTATGCATAAATTTTATGTGAATCAACCAACCAACCCGGAATGTGACAAAGGATAAACCTTACGGCGCGATTTTCCCCCAGTTGAGTTTTGTAACAACTGCTCTTTTGTTTGCTATTCTGTAAAATTTTCGTTTCTCTTTTAGATACGCGCGTGAAAATTTTACAGAATAGCACTGCAGTTCTGCGGCGGGTGCGGGAAAAACCGCTCCGTGAATTTATAGCTATAGGATACTATTTATCTCGGATAAATGTAAGACTCCTGAAGGATTCTCCAACAACTAAAGTTAACGAGGAAAAAGTCGCGGGCTGCCGCTAGTAACATTTGAAATGTGAAACTTAGTATGTTTGTTCCTCATTCACGTAAAAATGACCCCCTGGTGTCTATAGTACCATTGATTTGTACCAGCAATGGTACTAGTGATATACTCTTCTGAAGGGTTATATTTATTTCCCAAAAGTAGTACCTAATTAATTTCTACGTATCATGGCACTTATGAAGAGTTATCTCGAGTGCCCATTGACAATCCCAGTAATTTAATTAATTTCGGAGCAATGATATTATTGCTATAAAAGTAGGTGCACCGTAGAAAAAGAATCATTGTATTCGACGATCAATCAAATATACAACACTTTTTGTAAAAATCAAAATGAAAGGCTTTATTTTAGTGGTTGTGATTTCTCTGATTCATTATAAAAATGTTGCTGGACGTCCGGGGGCTCATAGTAAATACAAAAAACCCTTTATTTGTTTCTTAGGTTTTCACGCACATCACTCATTAAATAAAACAAGTTTCAACGGGTTAGATGCACAGATTTTATTTATTTATTGTTTCGCACCTTTTGCAGTAATGCGTCGTCGGAATAATGATTTTTTATTTACTTTGTCGAGCTACCTTCGAAAGGCTTATTGACCGTTCGGATATTTCATGGGAAGATTTTTAAAACTTTATTGTCGATGTATGAATTTATTAGCTAATAGATTTAATAAAGTACTTTATTAAATTCTTTTTATAATTTTGATTTTATTTATTTGAATCTAACTACCGTAAACTACTTCCAAAATTGGTAGACCTTTCTGAGAAGAACCAGTGAAACGAACTCAGCGGCTTTCTACCTCCTTCTTATGTTAAATCGTTCAAACAAAAAGAACTAATAGTATCTGTTGGTCTTGCAGTGTGTACTCGGGATTGGGATTTTATATTGTATAATGGGTTCCCAAGCTAGTGGTATATACCAACCATCTTCCCTATTGAAATTTGGATATTTCTTAATCTTAATGACAAGGCTTTATGAAAGCTATCAATTAAGTAATCATGGACTTTGCTTTTATTTCAGCTGCGAATGCTCCTAGAAGGTGCGTCAATCTCTGGGATGAAGGTTGTATGAACCGCCCCATAAATGGAGCTGGTAAGTTAACAATAGCTTTTTAGGATTCCCAGTTAACAATAAACCCTTATAGTTTCGCTATGTCCATCCGTTGGTGACTAGTAATTATAAATAATCATCATATTAATAACAGCTTTTTCTAGTAACTACTAAGAGACTGAGCTAAGCGTGTCAGCGCGGCGCGGACTGACAAGCGGATATGGTCTAACCGTCACAACGTTTCCCATATAGATTCCCATACAGATAGCCCCGCTGTACATTTCTTGCTAGACCTTTGTTTGAGTACCTATATCAAACAAAAACGAACAATCTCTAACAAATAAAGCAAAGCTCGATCAGAATTATTAATAACTGACGCCGTAGACAAAGTGTCCATCTTTCAATTTCATTTCGAACAAATTCTCATGCTAACTGAAAAATTTAAAAATAAGCAAATAACTAAAAAAAAAAACATATCAAAAGCATATGTATTGTGCCATTGTGTGCATTAAATAAGTCCGCTCGAATTGAAGCGCCGCGCGCCGCCGAACTGGGGAAGTAACCTCTACCTTACAAACGTGGAGCTGGCGAACAAAACAAAACGGTATATTCAATAACATTAAATTTTACAGGAGCTGTATAAAACTGAATGACAGACCTCTAGTGAGCTTTTGGCATGGTTTTTGATTCATAAATTTAGTAGTAATTTTAACACTGTTTTAGGCGGTTTTGATTAAAAATTATTTGAGATTCAAATTCAACGGGCCCAATACCTCCGGACTGTAAAAAACAAGTAGTTTGACCAGATGTGTAATTATACCGTTATGTTAGCCAACTCCTCATACAGAATAACAGTGCCTTCTGGTTGTGTTTCTGTCGGTGAGTAAGGTGTCAGGGCTCCATGGAGTAGAGGACGCAGTTAGAGTAGGCAACGGCGCGAGTGATAGGTATTTTAAGTATCGCAAGCGTCAATAGGCTATGGTAGCCGCTTACCATCATATACCGGGTCATATGGTCAATTGTTTGCCACTCTTTTAACAAAAACAAAACCAGTAATGACTGACGCTTGGGGGCCCGTAAATCAACAAAAATAAGGGTATAAAACATTATTTACTAACAAGGAACTATTCATGTATACTTAGGTAACGATGACGATTATCTAAATGGCGGCTTCAATCCTGGGAAGCGCTGCGTGAACATGTGGGACGAAGGCTGCATCAACGGACAGTTGAACGGAGCTGGTAAGCTGTCTTCTTTGTATTTGATGAATAATTGCCGTGTACTTTTATTTACTTACTGCTTAGTTTTACCTTTCCGACCATCACCCAATTCAGCTCTGCCATGGAGCTCAGAACCTCGTGCATCTTTAATCAGCACAGTAGTGCTATTATGTAAGGAAAAATTCGCTTTTCACCGATTTAATTTGATTTTTTTTTAAACTAGCGGCCACCCGCGACTTTGTACGCGTGGAGTTAGTTATTTTCACATACTTTTTGACCCCTATTCACTGCTCGTTTCCCGTATGTGATAGCGTGATAATATGTAGCTTATAATGTTGACCCGACTTCATAACAATATTCGTGCCAAATTTAAAGTGATTCCATGCAGTACTTTTTGAGTTTATCCCGGACATACATACAAACGAACAGACAAAAATTCTAAAATCTATATTTTTGGCTCCGGTATCAATTGTAAATCTTAGACACCCCAAGTATTCTTTTAAAAAAAAATCAATGAACACTTTTGACTTTCCTACCATTTTATTATATGTATAGATTCGTGTTTTAATTATAAATCACACCGCGGGTTCCGAGGTAAAAAATTAGTTAGCTCGTTTCTTACAGAATAGCACTGTTGAATTATATAATAACCATACTTGCCAATCTTTTGTAAGATGGAGGTCTTCCCCATATATATACGCTCCAATTCGTCTGAAAAAATCTCCACATACTCTTTTGAACAAGTCTGTAATAAAGTACAATTGCGTATTCGACTTGTGATCGTCGAAATGATTAAATTTCCACAAAGTTATGTCTGTTATGTTAAAGTCTGGTAATTGATCAAAAACCTATTTATTTCTTATTCCTCAGTAATTCCGAATCGGCTGTTAGTATAGTCATTAGCACCTCTTGTCCGCACAAGTCTAACCAAACAACACGGGTTTTGTATAAATATTTAACTTTAAAGTATCGTAAAATTCAAAATAATAAAAATGATCTCATCAGTTTAGGTAAAATACTTATTTATATTAAGATAAGGCTAAACATTTTGTAAAATACGCTAAATAACAGTACTTTATGACTGACGACCTCCGTGGCCGAGTGGTTTGTACGCCGGGTTTGTATGGTGTTGCAGACTCGAGAGGTCCCGGGTTCGAATCCCGGTGGGGGCAGATGTTTGTGTGATGAATACGAGCATTTGTACTCCAGTCATGGATGTTTAATATGTATTTCTATATAAAAATACTTATATATGTACAGTATATGTATTCTATCCGTTACCCTAGTATCCCATAACACAAGCCTTACAGTGCTTACTTTGGGGCTAGGCTAATTGGTGTGAGTGTTGGAAATATTTATTTATTTATTTATATTTTATGTTAGGTAAAATAATTTTAATGACAACATCACACTACCACTCAACTACTATACATAGCTCGGTGAGACGTAGAGTAGGATACAACATGATGAAATGTACGATTAAAGAGTACAACCCCAGGCTAGTGTCTCATCTACTCTCGAACCATCACATTAGGTGATTGATTCATATAATTTTCTAAGTTACACAAACGGTTAGAACACTCGCCAAAGCCTTTGTCTGGGTAATTAATTTCCCTTCAATTTACTTCAAAATAACACTTTTTCACAACTATTCTGGTTCATTCAGGAATTACCATAACTGCACGTGTTAGGGAAAATTTGGTTGAGAGAGGTAGGCAATAGCGGATTTACCGCTCGAATTGGAGCGCCCATCTGAACTTCCACCTCACAGAAGAACACAGTAAACACTACCTTTTTAGTGTTCAAACTATTACAATTCGATATTGATTCGTGCTACAGGTACAGTACCCCTAGCACGAACCACTATCGAATTCGAATAGTTTGCTAGTCCGAAATGTCATTGTCAAATTTTGTATGGATACTTGAACAGCAGCGCCATAACGAACGTTACGGGAATTAAAAATCAGTACACAGTATCAAAAATCAGTACAGACAATGACATTTCGTATTCGCAAATGTTACGAATCCGATATTGGTTCGTGATAAGGGTACGGATCATATAGGAGTTAATAATTATAACGAAAGAATTTGATAAGTAGCTCGAACTACTCAAGTCTGAAGGCACCTTCAGGCGCTAGTATCGGTTGCTCCCATTACAAGTGATAATATGCGCTGGGCTGAGTAATATGCGTGACCACCAGCTATGGCCTTCTTTTCATTTCGACCTTAGGGAAGCCCTATGCCCTAGCAGGGGGCCACGGATAGGCTGATGATGAATATAATGGACGCAACAAGAGTCTACTTACATTTAGCAACGCAGGTATTACGCAAGTAAGGTAAATTACCAGTGAGGCCTTTATAAAAAACCGGACAAGTGCGAGTCAGGCCTACCGAGGGTTCCGTACTTTGTAGGTACGCTACTTAAAGCCGCGTTGACATGCTCAAACTCTGCTTTGACAAAGTAGTAGTAGTAGTTTTTTAATGTTATGTTAGAAGTTTCATTTTATCACAGCTTCAAGGCAGTGGCGGCGCTAGGCGTCGGCGACGTCGGCCACCGCCGACGGCCTTGCGCCTGAGGGGGCCTCGCAAAAATTTTTTACAAGTTACCTATTTATTTTCGTTTCTCCTGGCCTGGCTTAGGTAGCCGACCCCGAACAATTCGGGGAAAAAGCTAAGCAGATGATAATGACTTTTATTATTTTCGAACACGTGCGTGATGGAAGCGAGTAGAACTTTACGGGTATTCAGAATCATCTGTCTGGCAACACTATTTTTGTAATTAAATTTTATTTTTTTTATTATTCTTTTGTCATCATTTGATTATCAACAATAAAACTCGTTTACGTTATTTTATAATTTGGCTGACTTAATTTAACGGTTTTTCTCTGCGAAATAAAATAGGCCTTGCGAACTTGATGTCGCCGACGTCCACATGTGGTCTAGCGCCGCCACTGCTTCAAGGGACTGTAGATCTGCGCATATGGTTTAAATTTCAACTCTATACCTCTATGCGTTCCCGAGATAGAGTGTCTTGACACACAAAAAATGATTTTATAAGAGTTTCGTTTTTTTAGGTTGAAAACCTTAAAAAGTTTGTAAAGTTTTTTATTCTATTCTTCTAAAAAATAACATTACTGTTAAACAGGTAACGATGACGACTTTTTGAACGGCGGCTTCAACCCTGGTAAACGCTGCGTGAATATGTGGGATGAAGGCTGCATCAACGGACAGATCAACGGAGCCGGTGAGTTATGCTTTACTTTAACTGGCTTGCCACAGAGGAAAAAATGACGCAGCGTGGCGCGGTCGCTTCGGATGGTTAACATCCTGCGCTGCGTTAAGCGGGAGCACGGAGCGGACGTCCGCTTCGATTGCCGCTTTTATGTTATATCATACTAGGATACTCTATGGTTATATCATTGAACAGCGCTCCGCGGGAGACCCGCCTTATGTAGCGCTGCTCTATAAAATAACATGAAACAAATACACGAAGCGGGCGCCCGCTCCGTGGTCCCGCTTAACGCAGAGCAGACTGTAAAACCCACGCTACGCCACCGTTTGATTTGCTAGCATTTCACATACCAATTTGTACATTTGACAGCACTCTATCTTTATCGAGGCGCTGCATGGCGCCAGCGGTAGCGCAAACAGTCTGCAACTGCGATCATGGAATTCAAACAACTGTCGCAATGGCTGGTCTTTGTATGAGTCACTAAAATGTATTATTTCAAGTTCCTCCGTGCTTCTGAAAGCACGTTAAACCTTTGAACCCGGTTGCATCTGCTATCGTTAACACCCACCAGTCCGCTGGGCTAGGCCTGCTTGGTAGATTATAGCTTTATTTCCAAATATGCGATGGGAATTGGGCTTCGATGAGGCCACGTAGTTCGATGGCGCAGGTGGATAGCAAGTTCGACCTGCAATCGTGGAAGTTAGGCAACTTTCGCAATGGTCGAGCATTGGATGGCTCCTCTGTGCTTCGTGAGACACGTTAAGCACATCCGCACTGGAGCCCGCGTGGTAGGTGGCGCAATCTACCTATTCCATCCATAGGGTAGGCCTGTGTCCCAGCAGTGAGGACATTAATAGACTGATAATAATGATGATGATGAGATCACGTAGGCCTGTGCTCCAACAGTGGGAACTTTGATGATGGCGACTATAAATCGCCAAAAATAAGGATATTTAATAAATTTAAATACATTATTAATTAACAAGGTACTATTTATGTATACTTAGGTAACGATGACGATTTTCTGAACGGCGGCTTTAACCCTGGGAAGCGCTGCGTGAACATGTGGGACGAAGGCTGCATCAACGGACAGTTGAACGGAGCAGGTATTTATATAACTTTTAAAATGTACTTATATAATATTGAACCTTTCGATCGGTACAGTAGAATTAGGTACAGGTTTTTCGAACGAAGTTGGGTGGGTAATTAGATGAGCAGCTAGGTGGGCGATCACTGACGGCGGTGGCTGTGGTGTGGGCTTGATTTAATTAAAGTTTTGTTTAATAGTTTGACGTAACCGGAGGGCCCTGATCCATTATCGGGTAGGGTACTTTTTGTGTTGGAATAGGGAGATTGGGTCATGGCTCTTCACGCGGGCTCATTGCGGGTTGGAGAGTGATATTTAATAATAATAATAATAATGTTTATTGACATTATATTATAAATATTGTTAACTTCGTTCTAACCGAGTTTTACGCGACACTAACACTTTTTTTATCACGTAGTAGGTAGATAGCGGGAGAGCTTATGAACCTTTCCTTCTACAAGTTTCCAAATATATTATGTCCTGCCCGCTAATGAGGTTTTTCTATTTGGGCATAGGCACACCGTAAAGCAACTGACACTAGTGTTTTTCTTTCATTCCCAATCCAACATAATATGACCGTAACGTGATCCCTTCCCTACACACAGGCGAGACTGTAATCAAGTAACCCGTGCGGGAAAATGATAATTTATTTTCTGCACTCAACCAACATAAAGCCAATCTTGTGCTTACGGAATGGGCGTGTGCAGAATGGTTTTAATCAGTTTTTTAGTTTTCTCGCTTTATTATCGTTGTATTATATCATTATGTCGTTCGCACAACAAACAAATCTATGCAACAAGCATCATTTACAGAAACTGTGTTTTATTACTTTGTGTTTTTTTCTTCTTAGTAAAGTAGAATGGTACCAGTACCATCGATGGTGTATTGATTTAATAAAAATAAATATATTAGAATAGTAAAAATCCTTCAAAAGTTCAAAACCGTACCTACTTTTTGCTTAGACTTTTATGCATTTACAACATTAATAAGTATCTCATTAGATACTAATACATTTAATAACTACTAACACCTGTGTGTGACCTGACAATTTTTAAGTAAATATATACCTACTCCTACTATTGTTTGTATTTTTATTTTAAGGCAACGATGACGACTTCCTAAATGGCGGCTTCAACCCTGGAAAAAGATCGATTTTTGAAGCATTCAAATCTCTGAAGAAAGCTCACCCGAAAAAACAATAAAGGGAAAATTAACTACTTACCTGCAAAGTTTTCGCTGCTAATAATAAATCAAGAGGAACGGTGGTAGAAAAAAACTTATTAGAGCTCAGCTTTGCGGGCCACTTTTATTTGATACCTAGTCTCATCCATGTGCTTCTGTTTTTTGTTAATAAATGTATTCTCGTAATTATTAGGTTTCTCTTTTCTACTTTCCAATTGTTATTTTATTTTTAAGACAATTTAGCTTTTTCTTACTTCCTAACTAGGTATTATTATAAATTTTAATGAGACAGTGTGTTTGTTAGTTTCATGTCAAGCCAAAAACTGAATCGATTAAGCTGAATTTTGGTGTGCAGATAGATGGAACGAGGACGGACATAGAGAGTAGCCTAAATTGGTTAAGAAATAAGAAGATTATAAATTAACTTTAAAATTTATTATTGACATATTTATGTTTGCACATATGCTATTACATAAAAACAAGTATATAAAAATATTTTAGCATTGTTTCTTTTGCAGCACTTGGCAATTTTATTGCTACAACATTATAAATTCTCGTTAGTTAAAATTACATCCTATAGTCTCAAATACTTATAACAAATATATTTACAAACCTTAAAATTATTTCAAAATGGCTGCTATGGATTAAAGGCAATTTGATGAGTTACTGCTTGGCAAGTATTTTATAAGTCTTGATTTAAAAATTAATATGTAAATTATAAATGACAGAAAAAGAGAAGTCTGTAGTCAGTGTTGCAATAAACATGGACCACTAGTAATTTTAAAGTAGGCAAAACCAGTTAAATAGCACTCATCCAAGCTTCAAGTACTTGGATGTTTTAATTGACTTGTTTTATGTAAGACCATAAACACCCAAAGATCACAATGTTTTGCGCATTGTCCCAGTTTCGTCTTATATAAGTATGGACCACATAAATTTTCGAATTGAAGATCTCATTGATATTAACACTAAAATATTGTAGGAAGAATTACAACATTTTAACACTGACCAAGACTGTATGATTAATACAAATGAAAAAAAACCTAAGTCTCAATGTTTAATATAATTTTGTGCTTGTTTAAAACCTGCAAAATGTAAAAGGTTTTTATACATTCTTATATGTGACTTTGGGCAGTGTAATCAAATAAAAACAGCTACATAAACCTTTTAAAAAAGTACAGAAACATGTTTAGTAGTACCTTTACATGTTATAAACCTATACAAATATTATATTGAACAATGCGATAGAAAAGTTAATTAAGTTGATTAAAAGATGATTTGAAATGTAATTACCTGGCAATGTTAGTATACCAAACACACAATATCACTTAATACGGTGGGTGAAGGTACTTCTTAAGTGTTAACTGGTGAGGCCTAAAAAAAGTATCTGAGCAACATCTACTCAATAGTTACTTATTATTCATTTATTGTCACATTGATATTACCACATTAGCAATAAATTTATCACAGTTTAAAATTTCCTACATTCTCAACTCATTTCAAATATAAGAAGAAGCTGTTCTTCTTATACAACAACACTTTTTAACTGATGAATGATGACCATAAAATACAGTGCTAATATAAAACATTATTTATGGCGATTAGACCCATTTTTATGAGAATTACTAGGCTGATTAAAACTATTAACTGAAATATTAAAAATGGAGCAAACATTACCTCATAAGTACCTATTAAGATGAATAAAATAGAAAAAACATATAATAGAACTTGTTAGGAGTTCTAAACTGATTTTCTCTTAACAGAGATCTGGCTCAAATAAATCTAGAATCAATGTAAGTACTAATGCTAACTTATATAAATAAAATAACATTAAAGTATTGTTATACAAACTAAAATACTAAAATCAAAATTTCATATATTATGATCAAATCAACCAATTCCAATATATACCTAATTAATGATGAGTAGATTAGTTATTTTGTCCATGCCAGTGTTCTTGAGTATATTGTTATTGAGTATATGGTGGCATTCCCATTGGTACTTTGTAACCATTACCAACATTTGGTACAGGATTAGAAAGATTTTTCTGTGCATTTGCTTGTCTGAACTTTGTAGAATACTTGTAGAAGTCTGACATTTCAAAAGGCTTGGTTTCTTCTCTGTATGGTATGCATTTACCCTGCTCAATTACAGTTAAATTTTTAGGTGAGTCTAATGATACCGCACTTGGTGACAGTACTGGGGGACTGTGAGGCACTTGGTTGGGACTCTGCATTGCAGAATGTCGTCCAGATGAAATCATAATCTCATAAGCTTGAGAATTTCCTATACTCGAGGCCCGCTTTAAGCTTGACGTCTTCTTCAGAAGAGGAGCCTCAGCTTTTGTAGGTGAATCCAATGAAGTCTCGTACCATTGCTTCTCTTTCACTTTCATATCAGTCTGAGAGAGAGGTGAGAACTTATTCATGCTAACAGAATCAAAATTTGACTGAGAATACCCAGATAACTGGCTAACTGGACTCATAGCATCTGGGTATGCTCTTCTGTCATCCCTGACATAATCATCAGTGGAAACTTGTAGCTGCATATGTAAAGGGTTCCTAATTGTATTACGTTCTCGTAAAGGCAATGTGTTTGGCACCACTGCAACCCTTTCAATTGGTACATGCAGCCTTTCAGATTGCTCTTGTATATCAGGCTGCGATCTGTGCTGGTATCCAGTCATTGGTTGTCTGTAATTATCTGTCATATTTTCCAAATGACTGTTATAGTCACTATGAGATGTCAAATGATAAGTTTGAGTTCTCTGCAGAGTGTTCCGACGTACTGCTTCTGGTCGGCGTTTATTCTGATTTTGTATTTGATGATGGTGTAATGCACCCAAATGTTGACTTTGTGCTTTCAAATGAGATGCGTACTGATACAACAATGGTATATTTCTCATGCCATTCTGTGTGTGAGGTGCAACATTTCCATGACTATAATGTGTTATATCAGGATGACTTGAACTAAAATGAGTTTCCCTTAATCTGGATACATTGTGAGCTTCAGGGGCACCGTTATAATAAACTTTGTTCATGTATTCAGTAGTCACAGTGTGGTGTCTGTGCATTGGACTTTGGGCTTCATTGTGTAAACTATCAGGTGTAGGTTCATGACGTCCAGCCAAAGCTGGATAAGTGTGGGAAGTGTGGATTGAAAAAGTGTCTGGATTTCTTTCTTGGGGAGGAGATGGGAAGAAATTAGAACAACTCGTTTCAGGGCGGCGTACATGTCTGTCCATTCTCGCATGGGCACTCTTGTTTGAAATACCTGATATTGATGGCGTTGACAGTCTGTGCGATAAATTTTTACGTGCATCAACATCATGTACACGGTCACCAGTACCGGCACGGAGGCGACGGGATGAGTTATCCGACCCGTCATGAACATCATTACCATCTGTAGACTTTTCGCTACTTTTTATACTTCCCAATCTCTCTCGTTGTGAAATTTCTGGGCTTAATGGTGCTTCTGGTGGCATAACACCTGTCAACTGTACCTCTTGAACGCATAGTTTGTAAAGTTCTTCATTTTTTGCTGCAAGCATTTGCTCCAGTTCCTTCTTTCGAGCTTGCAACTTCAAAAGTTTGTCCTGTTTGTCTGAATGCAAATCGCTACCCATTGTGCTTGTACCCATATTCAAAATAAAGTTAGAAACAAGTACACCATGAGTTATAAGAACTAAGAAATGAATGAAGAAAGTCTGTCATTTAAACAAAATAAACAAAGAAAACATAAAATCCTTCGACTGACACATACACAAGAAGTCGTGCACCATTTTTAAAAAATAAAAAATAGTGATGTGATCGATGCGTTCATGCCGTTCATAGATTCTCCGTTCCTTGTATTGCTAGCATTTTGTGCTAGCACTTCACATGGCTATTCGTATAAAATGATTATATTTATTTATTTAACGTAATTAATAATTTTGTAAGGATGCTAGCCACTAGTGTTGCCAGGTGTCCCGATTTGTACCTGAACGGGAAACAAAATGTCCCAATTAATCAAAAAAATAAATTTAGGTAATGAAATAAATAATACTGGCACTAGTAGTTTAAAAAGCAATAAATTAAAGCCAGGCTTAAAAATCCCTTATTTTATGTTTACGGTCCCGATTTGCAACCCTAAATCTCGATTTTTTGACCTCATGTACCGATATAAAACAAATCGGACCTGGCAACACTACTAGAGGTGGCAGCTTTTAACTGCTGCTTAAGGGTACGGCCAGAGTGCACTCAGATTCAGATTCAGATTCCGAAAACAAGCGCGAGAAATAAACAGTGTAGTTAAAGCAGGGTGGCCATAGTGGCCGCAGGCAACTGAATCTGAGTGCACTCTGGCCGTACCCGTACCCTATATTTCTCACGCTTGTTTTCTGAGTCTGAATCTGAATCTGAGTGCACTCTGGCCGTACCCTAAGGGCAAAGCCACAATGCACGCAGGCTCAGAATCAGCTTCAGACTCAGAAAACAAGCGTGTGGCAAGTGGCAGCAAATAACCTGCTTAAACTGCTCTGTTTATTTCTCGAATTAACATCATTCTCTCCTTTTCATTCTGTTTAGAGAATGGCAAGGCAATTTAAGTTTAGATTTAGAGAATCGTGCCAGATTCGACACCAGTATGTGGTTATAGTATTTACTTTATTTTTGAAATAAATATATTTTTGTTGCTCTTTGCCTTACTAATATTATAATAACAATCTCTTATATTTTTTTATAAAAGCTTTTACTGTCAAAAATATGCTTTAAGCAATATATAGTAGTTTCGCCTACTACATATTTTTTAGAAATATAGCATTTGATCCCCTATTAAAGTAGGATACTATATTTTATAAGAGGGTTGGCAACCCTACCTGCAGTCTGAGTGAATTCAGATTCTGAATGTCCTAAACATTCCGGTAAAGTGTCTGACTCCGAAACCTGCGTGGGCAACCAGTTGCCTGCTGCCACTATGGCCACCCTGCTTTAACTACACTGGTGTCGATTCTAGAGTGATTCTCTAAACTTAAAACGCTTTTTCTCGCGCTTGTTTTCTGAGTCTGAATCTGAATCAGGAGTGCACTCGGGCCGTACTCTTCGACTACATTGTTTATTTCTCGCGCTTGTTTTCGGAATCTGAATCTGAATCTGAGTGCACTCTGGCCGTACCCTACTAGGGTGCGGCCAGAGTGCACTCAGATTCAGAGTCAGATTCAGATTCTGAAAACAAGCGCGAGAAATAAACAGTGTAGTCTAAGCAGGTGGCCTGCTTTTTCTCGCGCTTTGTTTTCTGAGTCTGAATCTGAATCTAAATCAGGAGTGCAATCTGGCCGTACCCTTCGACTACACTGTTTATTTCTCGCGCTTGTTTTCGAAATCTGAATCTGAATCTGAATCTGAGTGCACTCTGGCCGCACCCCTACACTGTTTATTTCTCGCGCTTGTTTTCGGAATCTGAATCTGAGTGCACTCTGGCCGTGTCATTTGCTATTTTGCTAATAAAAAAAAAACTCGCTCGCTCGTCTGACGTAGACATGGGCGTTTTTGGTTTTGAATGCAAACGAATATTTATCGGATTTCAGATTTAAAAATCGATTTTAAAATCCGTTTTTAGATATCCGATTTCAGATGTGCCGAACTAAGCCAATGAGGGCTATCGCGTATGAATCCGCCGCTAGAGGCGCTAGTGTAGCGTGAGGTCTCCGAAATGTCAAATGTTATTGCTTGTTGGTTGACTACGCGGGTTTATTTCTAATTAAAATAATGTTGTGAATAATTGGTGATACCAATTCGGCTTAATTATGGCAAATATGAGTTATGTGGCAATGAATGTCAGTTATTAAAAATTTGAGCTTAGAAAAATGATTATGTTCCCATTTTTTCCGAATTTTTCCGAACTGTGGCATGGCCTATTATGTTTAGGATATGGTTCTTTTGTGTTAAAATACGATCTAAATGTAACCTTTGATTTCATGTGCGTATTAATAAACTTTAAAAGTTACAATTTAGGACCTCACTCAACAGTGGCGCCATCTGATGAGGCAGAAAACGGAAGCCCTCATTTACTAGTTTGTGTTATGATTTGGTTTTATTAGCTAACGACAATCACAAACAATTATTGTAGGAAGCAAGGATACTCGTAGATTTCCTTCATGCTTTAAATCTAGGCTTAGGACTAGCAGAAAAGTTATGTTTACGGTTAAGAGTAAAACTTTTGCGGCGCATTTAAAAATCGGCTTTTAAGCAATGTTTTTTTGACGTGACAACGTCTTAAATTAGGTTGCGGCTGGGAGTCACTTATGAAAAAGTGTAACGCTCGGTAACGTTACGATGAGTCTCTCGTGTTAAGTTTAAGTTTACATGTACAATGTTTTAGTAAACAAAATATATTTCTATAGTTAAAATTTGTGCAATTCTTATTTTCATTCAATTCCTTGTTCCTATTGTGCAATTTAATTATATTCATATCAATAAATATTCTACCGAGAAAAAGACGTTGTCACGTAAAATCTTCGCCCGTAAAACCGACTTTACAGGCAACCATTTTTTTTTTACATATTTTTTTAGTATTTTTTTTTGTTTTTCTGTTTGTTTTTATTATTTTGCAAACGATTTACAAAATGAAACCTTATTACTTCAGGTTAGCGTTCTAAAATGTAAGTTGCTCGACTTTTGATGTTCTTAGACGGCATCTCTTTTCAGTGATAAATAATCCCGCCTTAGGATGCGGCCAGAGTGCACTCAGATTCAGATTCCGAAAACAAGCGCGAGAAATAAACAGTGTAGTCGAAGGGTACGGCCAGAGTGCACTCCTGATTCAGACTCAGAAAACGAAGCGCGAGAAAAAGCAGGCAACCTGCTTAGACTACACTGTTTATTTCTCGCGCTTGTTTTCAGAATCTGAATCTGAGTGCACTCTGGCCGCACCCTTAGAGAAGAGCAATAGATTTCCGTAAACAGCAAACCGAAAACGGACTTCCGAAAACGAAAGCACGAATTTCGAATCCGATTTACATTTGGATACTTGTGGTGGTATTAGATCGCTAGCGTTTTGGTTCGGTTAGATTTCTGAAATCGGATTTTCTTGTTGAGAAATCGTTCGGTATCGATTTGTGATTCAAATCGGATTTTGGATTCGTTTTGATATATCGGACGCATGCCTAGTCTGACGTTTTTCTCTCTTTTTTTTTCTTATCATTATTATCAAATTGTCAATCCAAAAAGGTAGTAGTGTCTCGTCACGGTCGATTCAAGTGGAGATGTAAACTTTTCCTCTCCATAAACCAACATTTAGTACCTTTCCTGTGTTCTCAACCTCAAACATGTCCAAACTTTACAGAGCTCTTGTGACCTCCGCTGATAAATTTGTGCCCACTAAACTTCGCCCACTTTGGGAACACGAAGCTGGTAAGGTGTCTACACAATTAATTAATACAATTTAATCAGAAACATGTTTTTACTCCCTATGTACCTATTTCAGGGCCAAAAACTATATTCTTTTGGGCGCCTGCCTTCAAGTGGGTAAGTTAATAAATGAATGAAAGATTAAATTTAATGCGGATATATTTCAATTCAAGGTCGCGTTATTCTAATCCCGAGACCTTGCGTAAGGCCGCATACGCAATATACACTGAAACTAGAAGATTAAACTAGAGAAGCATTCATATTTTCATATTTCTAAACTTTATTAATCATTAGAAGATTTTTTAATTTCAGACTTCCTTCTAATTAAGCACAAAGAAAAGTTTAATATAGTACAATCACAATACATATTTACTTACTCATATTCTCAGTGATAAGATTAATCTTTATCTTTTCTTCATTTGAAGTTTTATGAAACATTTTTTAGGTGAATGCTCAGCAAGTTTGAATCTTATTAATGAGTTTAATATTTGATTAAATGGTTTGTATTTCATTACTAAATTTATGAATCTACCTGCTGTGAAATGGCAAATTAATTGGACAAAACTGCATGTTTCTATTGATTAATTTATTATAACTATACTTTTTATTAAATAATGACAACATTACTATCAAAACCATTCAATTAACTATTAGGTATTACAATCAAAATAATATACAATTTATGATTACATATCATAACATATAACACCACATTTCAAAGAATGTTCAAAGACTGATGAGTTTGCAAAATAAGAACTTCAACAGATAAAGGCTTAATCTTCAAAACATTTACATACCAGGTATTCTTAGAAATTAAAAAAAATGTAATGGGTTTGAATATTTTGAGTGCTCAATCACATTACAAATTTATTATTACTGTCTGGACACTATCCATGGAACTAAGGACTCTCTGTTTTTTTTATAAGAGGCACAACAAATTACCCCACCCACCTGATGTTAAATGTAAGTGGAGTCCAGTAGCAAAAATAGATAATGCAGCAGAATGATTTTGTCTGCTTTGATTTTTTCTAGGTAAATAATTCAAAAAGTGTACATATTTATAGTTATTTCATAATAATGTAATCCTTTGTTTTCTGTACAAAATATACTTGAACACTAGTAATTTTTCTCAAGGTGTCAATAAAATCAACTCAATTCGGTGTTGTTACTGGTGTATTGAAATTTAGCCCTGTTCTCAGTAGTCTTACCAGTTCAACTACTGGGAATTTCCTTCCCAATAGACTTACTAGTAAGACCAATGGGAACTTAGTACCCAGTAGACTTACCAGTAAAACAAAACTCCCAATAGTCCCTACTCTTATGTAGACCTAGGTAATTGATAAAATCCCTACATAGTTTGTGGACTTGATTCTATGATGATGATGAATCAAGAATTGTGCAGTTTGGTCTGAATTCAATATGCTGCCAAGTGAAAGACAGGGGCATAAATACTGCTGCACACTGCACACTTTCACTGCTCTAAATACCATTGGTGCTTAGTCTAATATTAAGTTTGGATTGAGGAAATTTGATGAAAGTTATGAATTTTTGTTGTTGTTTTTTTCTAAATGCTTTCTTTTCGTTTTTATTTCTAAAAGCCGAAGGAGAGGAGATATCAAGACTTAATTTTAAAATTGTATCTATAGTATAGTACTGATGTTCCCTTAGGTGGGAAGACATTACATCTTTAAGACTGTATATTGAGTACCCTATATCCCCTTGTCAAGCTTGAATAAAACCATAAACATTTATAAAATCATTAATTTGAAAAAATACCAGGAGACCATACATAACTAGGAGGTTCTGGTATTTAAAATGGTTAAAAGAAAGAAAAATAGTTTATCATTTGGAAAAAATGCAAATATTATTTCTTTTTTTCTCTAAGACTTAATACTGATGATTATCAATACTGATGTCTATCTATTACGAGGTCTTATTTTACAAAAAAATATAAAGTAAAACTAATGGGGGGAAAATGTCACTAGCGAAGTCTTCCTATCAGTAAGTCTATTGGGAAAGAAATTCCCAGTAGTTCAACTGGTAAGACTACTGGGAACAGGGGGAAATTAAATGTTAATAATAACTATTTTAACCTACCTGTTGGATATTTTCATACAGTTTGCAGTCCCCGTGATGTCACTGTGGATGTTTCATCATCATATCAACACTTTCAGGGTTTGGTGATGGCTGGGTTGGGTGACTTGAATCGGCCTGTCGAGACTTTGTCCATACCCCAGTCCGCGTCTCTTGCGGCTACTGGTCTCATCTGGTCCCGTTATTCCCTAGTTATTATTCCTAAGAACTATAGTTTATTTGCAGTCAATGTTTTTGTAGCTATAACTAGCTTATATCAAATCGGCAGAGCATATAAACATCAGCAATCATTAAAAAAATAAAGATGTTAAAATTTATTTCAGATCAGTCTGTAAAATGTATTCTTTTGGTCAATTAATTTTGTACAGATGTTATAAGTCAAGTTTCGATATAGAATTATTTTGCAAACATGACAATGTTAACCTTTAAAAAAAAGAAACATGAAACTTGATTAAAATTATGTATTTTATAGACAAAAATAAAGTACAGTGGAAATACACTGTGAATAAGGGCCTTATTTCTTTGTAATAAAGTTGATTTCAACATAAACTGGCTTCTATGCAATTGACCAAATTACTGCATTTTCATACAGTCCAGCAGGACAAAATTACACACGGGGGTTTATAGTAAATATTCTGTAGTTTAGTTGAAAATCAATCTCAGTGGATAATTTAAGAAAAAATATTATTAAATCGCAAAGAAACCAATAGAGCAAGGAGTTATGACCACTTACACATTTTTGCATGAAAGTCATTGGTACTAAATTCAAGGTGATGATATTTAAATTACATTCATACGATTTATAATGCTAATTTTAAAATTAGAAGGCCTATATAGAAACTTGGTGCTTCGAAATTGTTATAACTATACGCCTTTTGGCAAAAATGTGATGATAGATAAAATATTATTTATACTACCCATAAGTAGATATAATGAAGTTCTTGCTTTAGTGTTCTATGAGTAACACTGTTAAAGTTAGGTGATGCTTTAGAGTAATCTCCACATTTTTCACAAAAAATATCATTAATGTAATTATGTAAATTTGACTCGACCTTCTTGAAAAGATCACAGAATTATCTGTGGCAGAGATAAACCTATATAGGTATAAATGTTACGTACATTGACGATGTTAATACAAATTTTTGTTATTTATTACTTTGATAAAATGTGTGATATAAATCTTCATTCCTATATTGTCAAAGACATAAAGAATGCTGTCAGCTTGGACCAGATCCTCATGGAACATGCGGATATGAAACGGATAATAACGGTCTTACTACAAAAAAGTTACGACACTGTTTTAAATCTTGTTTTTATGCCAATTTTGTCTTATATAGGTATTTTCTCAAACTGTTGTCTTTCAAACTCATGTTTAACTTTTTTGTAGTAATAGGGTTTATGTTTTATAAAGGTGATGTTTATTTTTCTACAATGTTTACTAATAAAAATATATTTATTATCTATCTGGATGCTCTCTCTGTAATTATTTCAACCTACGGTAACCTGTTATTTTTGTGCATTGTTCTCTGAACTAACTATGTGTAGGCACTAACTGAACTCACACCTCATCTAATAAATGCATGTGGAAAGCATATCATTTTCAACGTTTTTGATAATGCCACAATTACTCATGTTGTCTGTGATCTGATCATAACCATTGAACTGAAGATTAGTTCTTCAGCGTACGTAGTGATATCAAACATAAGGCTCAATTTATACCGCCGTGAAATGGAATGGAAGCGAATTTTTGAAAAGAAAATGTGCATGGCAAAAGGAACTTTACGACAATTGTATAATATACAAGCTAAGTAGATATGTCCCAAAAACAAGGGGAATTGATTACGCGAAAGACGCCATTTTTTGGCTCATATTAAGTTTGTATGTTATACAAACAACATTAGTTCATTATGCTATAATTTCGTTGCAATTTGCTTCCATTCCGTGACGATATTTTAGCTTATACTATCAGACTGCTTCCCAAACTTAGACATAGGCCATATTAAGCGGATCACTAGATATTAAATCTTTGCATAAACGCAACGCAGAGGCGATCGAAACTACAAATCAATGGCTTTGCTCAACTCAATAAAATAAGCCTCGTTTCGCTTCTGATGTGACCAGCGCAAATTCAGATTGATCTGGACTATCTTCGTAAATTACCTTCATCAATGGAAAAAAACGCAGCCCCTTTTAAACATTATTAAGTAGTATTCTGTACCTTGAGTTAGGTTGCCATAGTTCCACGGGGCAGGGGAACATGAATCAAACCCACCAGAAGGGGGTAGTTAATAGTTTTAATTGAATATTAAATGACCAACAACAGTAGTGTTACTGTCATTCAAAATTTATTGCTAATAATATAAAAGACTGTCTATAATATTTTTTTTACTAAGTGCATAAACTTGCACTTGTACGCTTATAAAAATATTAGAACTAAGGATAAGTCGCACCAATAGGGCAATAGCACAGCACGTCAGACACCCATAAAATGTAAAAAATCTAAAATCAATTTTGAACTTTGCATCCAGATCATTTAGGTTTCCATCAAAAGGAGAATTTTGACTGGCTTCGTTAATTCATGTTTTATAATCAAAACCTGCCTGTGTACTCCTATAATAGTAGAAGATCCGAACTAAAAACGATCTTCACCGAGCTGATAATAGAATGAATCATATTTTATAACAAATTTAGTATGTTAGAAAATATGTTGAAAATGGGTTGCTTAAAAAATCCTGGACAGACAATTTTTAATTATTTAAAAAAATGATTTTATTTTTATTTTTGCAACATCAAGATAATAAGAAAATTTTTACCCTGACTTAAAGTATGAAACGTATAGATTGTGCAGTCGTTGAGTTGCCTATTATTTACCTGGACAAACTACTCGGTTGTCAGGTATAAACAGGTATGTCGATGCCAGTTACCTTCACTCGATTAGATAATCGAAAAAAAATTATATCAATATGAGCGTTGTTTTATTGCGAACACGATGATATAGGGTTGTCTGCAAAAAACTTGGTCCTACTAGGGGTTTGCGAATTTTGAAGATTTTAATTTTAACGCGAGTGGAAATGTGTGACAGAGAGATCCGAATTGGCATGGCACAACTGACATTCAAGTTGTAAATAATAATAATTATAATAATATTATAATACTAAAATATTAAACAATAAAACCTCAATTAAATAAATTAATAAATATATATAAATGAATTTACTTATTGACTTATAAGTATCATTATATATTTATACAAGTTTTTGTAACTCAAAATATAATGACGTAAATAATACAAATATCAATACTTTGAATTTTTTTTTTCTCTTTCTGAAAAAAAATATGAGAAACAAAGTAGACAGCCGAAAATTCAAATAGTGGATAAAAAAAAAGATAGACTAAAAATCTTGTATTACGTTTGAAAATTTTATTAAAAAACAGCATAAATACAAAAATAATATTAATAAAAAATAAATTATAATAAATATTTTCTATTCTAAATCTGATTCATCAGAAGTATAATTTTGATTCTCGAATTCATCTGACTCATTATTAGTTTCTACCTCAATTTCTTCCATTTCGACAATGTCCTGGATTTTCAAAGGAGTTTGATCTCCGATAAAACCAGTTGGTTTTAAAAAATCATCTAAATGCCAACCGTAGCTTTCGGGGTTTAATTTCGCACATACAGCATCAGTTGCATTAAGCCACATAGAATAATAAATAATATACTATATACTTACTGCATACTCTGTACAAAAAAACTCCAAATTCTTCATTGTATTTATTGCCTAAAACAGTTACTTTTTTGTAACACGTGGTGTGGTAACCAACAAAATCGAGAACTGCTGTTTGTTAGTTCAATATTATGATATTTAAAGTTTTTTTTTTACGAAAAGCTAACTTTAACGAGCAAGTTTTGAAAGTTTCATTAGTAAAATCAATTAAAGAATTGTCCGAACCACACAAAAAACACTTTTTAGCCATTTTTTATCACAACGATACAAAATAACACGTGTTGCGACTCCAAAATAACGCTCACTGTTTACTAGAGTATCGCTATCATTCTCTGTCATATGACTACCGAGCATGCGCACTTTCTGATATTCGAGGTCCCATTACATGCGACTGCCATGTTGTGTCCTTTATTATTAGGCCGTATACAGAAAGAAAGCCGAAAGCCGATCGGCGCTTATCGGAGCCTATTGACGCTGATCCTTTTTCTATGGACCGGCGCCGATCGGCGCTGATCGGCGCGGATTTCCTGGTCCGAATAATAAATAATTTGTATTTGAATTATTATCCTTAGATTAAATCAATCTAAGTTATAATCTTTTTATAAATCTAATAACTTTATCTTTTATTAACTAAGCGCTAAAATTATTCCTACACACTAGACTCAATTCGGATCTCTCTGTCACACATTTCCACTCGCATTAAAATTAAAATCTTCAAAATTCGCAAACCCCTATTACGACCAAGTTTTTTTGCAGAGAACCCTATATCATCGTGTTCGCAATAAAACAACGCTCATATTGATATAAAATTTTTCGATTATCTAATCGAGTGAAGGTAACTGGCATCGACATACCTGTTTATACCTGACAACCGAGTAGTTTGTCCAGGTAAATAATAGGCAACCCAACGGCTGCGCATTCTATACGTTTCATACTTTAAGTCAGGGTAAAAAATTTCTTATTATCTTGATGTTGCAAAAATAAAAAAAAAGTCATTTTTTTTTAAATAATTAAAAATTGTCTGTCCAGGATTTTTTTAGGCAACCCATTTTCAACATATTTTCTAACATACTAAATTTGTTATAAAATATGATTCATTCTATTATCAGCTCGGTGAAGATCGTTTTTAGTTCGGATCTTAGGGTGCGGCCAGAGTGCACTCAGATTCAGAGTCAGATTCAGATTCTGAAAACAAGCGCGAGAAATAAACAGTGTAGTCGAAGGTTACGGCCAGATTGCACTCCTGATTCAGATTTAGATTCAGACTCAGAAAACAAAGCGCGAGAAAAAGCAAGCAACCTGCTTAGACTACACTGTTTATTTCTCGCGCTTGTTTTCGAAATCTGAATCTGAGTCTGAATCTGAGTGCACTCTGGCCGCACCCTTAGACTATATATTTTTCCTTGTACCAAAGTGAGAGTGCAATCTTTGGTAACTAAGCATTAAACCTGCAGTGAGATACAAGGTCACCAACGAGAAGGTAATTAAAACCTAGAAGTAGCTCATGAAAACAAAGTATAAGAAATATTTATACAATCAAGAATTCTTAGATACCCACATAAAATAATCTAATTTGAAATGTAACAAAGTCTAAGACGAAAATTAAATTGGAGAAAATCTACATAGAATATCTGTTGCTGTTACCTATGCATGTAACAGGGTTGCCAGGACATTACTAAGGTCTGCAATTAAAATAATGTGTAACAACGAAATTCCACAGGCGCTAGTAGCGGCATCTGTCGACGACTACAGGCGGCCGCTGGACAAAGTGTCCACTTCCCAGTCGGCCACGCTGGCCGCCACCGGCCTCATCTGGACGCGGTACTGCTTAGTCATCAGACCTATCAACTACTCACTTTCGATTTGCAACTTCTCACTTGGAGTTGCAAACGCAGTGCAATGCTTTAGAGCGTATAGGTTCCAAAAAAGTCTTAAAACCATTGCCTAACAATCTAAGAAACACGCTTCATGCCAAAACGTTAAAGATTAAAACAAGCACAACGAATCACCTCACGGCGTAAACTTTAATTGCAAATTTTGGACAACATTTCATCAGGTTACAATTGAATGTCAGAAATCTGATATCGCTTTAGGGGCCTCCATATCTCCCCCCCCCCCCCCCACCTCTAAATCTTGACAGTGGTGTAGATTCTGACAGGATTATCTCAAGGGCGGATCCAGCTTTGGCGCCAGGGGGGGGTCATATAGTCGAGGTATATTAAATATTGAAAGTACTTAAATAAAATCCCCCTGGGTTTGGTCCATCTGTACCCAGCCCAGGGGGGGGGGGTCATGGCCCCCATGACCCCCCCCCTGGATCCGCCCTTGGATTATCTAAACTTAAAACTAAATTAAAGATCAGTCTGTCCTTTTCATTCTGTATAGTGAATGATAGGGCTACAACTGTTGTCTTAAGTTTAGCTTTAGAGAATCATGCCAGAATCGATATGAGTGTAACCTTGTCGTTCTTTACACAAACTGAAAAGCAGAGACTGATGTCAATTTTAGTTTTAAGTTGAGAGAATCATATCAGAATCGACACCAATAAAGATATATTATAACCCACTCGAATAAAAGAAGATCGATTATTATATTTAGTACCTAGTGAGATTATATATACTTAGGCAAAAATATAGATCACAACCTGTTTTTAAAAATTTTCGTACATAAAATTCCTGCCAATTGCCAAATTTAACATTAGGACCGTACATAATTACTAGCAAACCAGTGAACCAAATGTTCACCAAAACCTGATTTTAAAAAAAAAAATTTAATTAATTGAGAACTTCGGAGATTTTGTGTGGTTTCGTTTGAAATTCGTGATTTCTCGAAAACCGGAAGTGCTACGTTACTCAAATCCGGTTTGTAGTCTTATCAGACTATTCTTAACTTATAACTTAAACATTCTCTTTATCTATGTTACGGTTTGGCCGCTGAAACAGCACCACAGACAGACGGACGGACTTGTCTAATAGATAAGAGATTATATTTTCTAGAATTTATCTACCTCAAAAAAGTACTTATAATAGGATAGATACCTACTTATTAGTCAATATTTACTTAAAATTAGCCAAAAGAAAGGACCAATTTTTAAGCTTTGAAGTTTAAGTCCTTATTTCAATACCCTTAGCGACTATACTTGGTTTAGATAGCGGTTAATCTGTGTAGCATTTCTAGTTTTTGGTATTTAATGAAGATCGCCAGTATTTTTATAATTTTTTGGGCATGAAATTCAATATGCTTATTATACTTACCAACGTAAAGAAATTTTTGCATTATCTAAAAAATAATAATTTCTTGCCTTACCATAGTAGTAGTACCATAATAAATATTGACAACACTTTTATTTTTTAATATGTATTAGAATCACTATTTTGTGAATATCGCACGTATACCACAATCAGTAGAACTTAAATATATTCTTAGCTTGTAGACTGCATGTTCCCTGTATCTAACTACAGCACTACAAAAACTGTGCTGTACCTTTAGCACGAACTAATATTGAATTCGAATAGTTTAATTCGATCTCGATACGCCTCAAATATCAAGAGGTTTTGTAACAATGACGACGTTATATGCTAACATTATTGCATTTTAAAATGGCTTAAATAGTCCCCGACCCAACTTCGCTTGGTAACAGCCGCCAATAGAGTGCACTAGTGTCTTTTACTCTCATTCATAATCATAAAGCATATTACATCTGGCTCTATAGCCTCGTTGTGTCAACGGTGTCAGCAACCGTCAAAATAAGGAATGCTAAATATTTTTACAATAATTTCTTTAAAACAAAACGTGTCATTTCATCCGTAAGTACTCGAACGAAATGACAAGTTTTTCGAGTCTCTAATAGTTCCCGTGTACTATCTAAAAACACAAATAGGGCTTTTTGTCTGGAAAACCGTAAAATATTTACACGTTGTAGCAAAGTGTAGCCGCGGCGAGAGAGCGTGCCCGGCTGAATGTCAAGTCGGGCAAATACCTGACTTTCGTATTGCCAAATTAGAAGCGTGTATGACGTATCTATGACTTTAAAACATATGATCTTAACAATATATAGCTAACGGCGATTCATAAAAAAATACAAATAATTAGTCAAATAATAAAGAGATATTATGGGTTAAAAATTAAAATATATCTTTATTATCTCACTAATTATGACGACCTCCGTGGCCGAGTGGTTTGTACGCCGGGTTTCATGGTGTCACCGACTCGAGAGGTCCCGGGTTCGAATCCCGGTGGCGGCAGATGTTTGAGTGATAAACATGAGCATTTATACTCCAGTCATGGATGTTTAATATGTATTTCTATATAAATATTACTTATATATGTACAGTATATATATTCTATCCGTTACCCTAGCATCTCATAACACGAGCCTTATAGTGCTTACTTTGGGGCTAGGCTAATTGGTGTGTTGGAAAAAAAAATATTAAATATTTTTGCTCGAACGAACGCACTCGAATAAAAGAAGATCGATTATCATATTTACAAACAAAAGTAGAATATTAATATTACCCAGTGACATTAAATTATAATTACGCAAAAATGTAGACCGGGTGTTAAACATTTTGCGTACCAAAAATTCTTGCCAATTGCAAAAAATATCACTAGGATATACCTTAAACATAGCATAGCTATTATATTTTTCTACTTATCTACCACTAAAAAGCACTTATAATAGGATAAATACTTTTTAGTCGATATTTACTTGAAATAGTTTGTAATAGCTAGAGCTAGCCAATAAAAAGGAACAATTTTTGAGCTTTAAACTATATCCATAATTTAAAACCCTTATGGACTATAGTTGGTTGAAACTGTTGTTACTTTGTAGCATTTTAAGTTTAATGAAGATCGCGAGTATTTTTATTCTTTTTTTCTTTTGGCTTGAAATTTTCAATATTCTTCTTTTGTACTAAGCAAACAAGTCTTCCAAACCGCCAAAGTATGAAAACGAGCATAAGAAACCAGTTTATGTTATTAATAAGCTAATGATCATTTATGACTTTGCGTTATTCCAGTGAATAGATTCTGGGTGAGTTTTGTCATTTTTCAATTATTTCCAAAAAATATTGACTTAACTTACATATTTCTTGTCTTATGTAGTACCATATTATATTTTATATTACATTGCCAATACTAATATATTAAAATTTGTATTAAAATCACTATTCAGGGAATATCGCACGTATGTATATTAAACACATTTATCACAATTTGTAGTACCTAAATATAATCTTAAAAGCTACGATTCTTGTGATTGCATGTTACCTGTCTCTAACTATAGAACTACAAAACTGTACTTGTACCTTTTAGAAATTTAACAAAAAAACCAATAACCTTTGTGTATTGCTGGTGGTAAAACTTGACCAGCCCTTTTTCTGTGTGTCATATGCAAAACAAATCGCAATATACTGAGTTATCCGATAGATGGCACTCCTTTCATTTCAATAGATTGGATTTCAACAATTTTATACATAAACAATGTATTCTGCGCATGTGATTTTACCAATTACAGCGCAACAATATTAAGCGCAATTGTGATTTTGCATCAAGATATACAATTTAACTAAGAAAAAAAATCACACACATCAAAGGCCGGTCAAGAATAGTCTAAACCAAAAAACACATAATTTGGAAAACACATACAGTGAATTATGTGAAATTGAAAGTATATTTATTTGGTTTATGACTTGAATGTAATGGAATAATGTACACGCAAAGCTCGACATAGATGGCGCTGCAAACGCTTGACCCAAACCACAGCCAAATATTGCCACTGTCACATTTTAAACGTGTTTTTTTTTGTTAATAATATAAAATAAGTGGTGAAAATGTATTCAACATGGTCTGTAATACAGCTAAAAACAGGGTTGAAAAGGAGAGGAACATCTGTACAAGGCAGAAAAGCTGATCTAGTAGAAAGGTACTTTTTCTATTATTATGCTAGAATGCTCATTCTCGGTACATAGATGCATTTACCATGATTATTTTCATAGTTCATGGATCTGAGTAATTTTTAGCGGGCTCATTAGTCAAATCTATCTTATTTTACCTGCCCCAGATACATACCATGATGTAAACAGCAGCTCAGTTTACCCCCCCCCCCCTTTTCAAAGCAACATATATATTTATATTTTAGTCGGTAAGCATGGAGTTTTCTCACAACAACCAGGAACTGCACAACTCGGCATTTGTATGTTGTTTACTAAAAAGCTTAAAAATGAACATAAGCTAATAGGTATGTATTTGATCGAAGTATGGGGTCAAGCTATTATAGCGCCCCTAGTGGGATAATTTTGCAGAATTCTTGTCCATTGTATTAATAATATATGTTATTAAATTATATGTTTAGTAATAGCAACTTGCTTCATTGTAGTTAGAAAATAGCATGCTTGTAGTGTCCAAATTGTAGTTAGCCTACTCATTTTAATAAATGTTATTAATGCATCACCACTGTATTTTCTCTTCAGCCAATAAAACTTAAAACGTTATATTTACTTTCACGAGGTAAAATTTAAAACTGCGTAGTGGAAAAGGCATTGATTCTATCTTCTGCTCCATAGGTCCCGGATTCGAATTCCGGTAGCTGAAGTTGTTGGTGTAACGCTTTATTTTATATATCATACTTTAGCTTTCTTAGTCCGGGCCATAATTAGTGAATAATTCATAAAAGATTTAAATAAATAAAAACAAACTTTCCGCAGTCTTAAATTGCCTTTTATATTATTATAATTTACTTAACTCAATCACACTATACATTATTACTAAACACTTATCTTCAACCATCGTCAAAAGTCTGTCCATACTAATAGGTCCGACAGTCCTGCCGTTATCTTCAGAGTACATAATCACATTTCTGATGACGTAACACTACATGTCTATCTTGTATAGGGGTCTTCCCTTCCTAGATTTGCCCACTATTGGTACGAATGTTATAACTTTTTCTATGGAACGGGATTCAGGTAGTTCTGAGAAGGATTTCTGTTGGGTAGTTGAAGCTAGAACATCTGCTATTCTGGACGTTTCCTTTACTTAACTCAATCACACTATACATATGTAATTACTAAACACTTAATCTTCAACCATCGTCAAAAGTCTGTCCATACTAATAGGTCCGAAAGTCCTGCCGTTATCTTCAGAGTACATAATCACATTTCTGATGACGTAACACTGCATGTCTCCTATCTTGTATAGGGGTCTTCCCTCCCTAGATTTGCCCACTATTGGTACGAATGTTATTCCTTTTTCTATGCACCGTGATTCGAGTAGTTCTGAGAAGGATTTCTGTTGGGTAGTTGAAGCTAGAACGTCTGCTATTCTGGACGTTTCTTTGGGTGCTTCTGTGATAGTGAATCGAGGAGGTGGTGGAGGTTCCACAGAATCAATGTCTGTGCTTCGATTCAACATGTCTAAAGCTTTACGAAACGCGTCACGCACTGCTGGTTCCTTTAGAACCTCGTCTGGGAACATTTTCTGTGGACGCAATTTTTATAGTTTAAGTATTTTTGTTAAACAAAAAACCTATAAGACTAACTTTCATTCCGCGCATGTTAAGTAGCAAAACACTTATAGCATGGACGTCGAAATTATTTTTGTAAGTATCACACTTAAGAAAATGGAAAAACTCCCGAACGAGAGTGCCTGCTAAATAACTACATGGATTGGATATTATGAATGCTTACCTAAGCTTCAAAAAAGTACTGAAATAGAGTGCATACAACCATAATCTTAAAAATAAGATTATTTATCGAAATCAAGCGTTTGTGGTTTTAGTAAGGAATTTATTTTAAGAGGGAATATATTACGGAAACAATAGATAAAGTTAGAAGTTGGTATTGATATATGAAAAAGTTATGAGTTGATATTTATATTTGTAAGGATGGTGGTTGTATCAACTCTAAATTAGTACTGTTGTAATGTTACTACCACTGAGTATTAATATACAGGGTTAATTATAAAACACCAACAACCTCTTAGGGGGTGATTCTACCCATCAACAGGAACAACTTTTATTATGGGACCAACGCTGAAATCACGAAAAAGAAATCTACTGGTTCATACAAAAGTGTATCAGCTAATTGACCCAAATGTATTTTAAAATAAACCCTATAGAGTAGACTACACTCATGACAAAACTCACGACTCAAAGATAAAAATTATTAAAGGCAATACAAATGAAGGTTACCTTGAAATCTGTATAAGATGCCAGGACAGTAGCGTGTGGCGGATTAGTGTTCAGCCAAGCTGCCAATGCGGCCAACCAGCGTGGCAGCAATGCGCGCGAAGCTATGGCGGCTAAGGTTGGCGCGCCAAGCAACTCCAGCCAATCCACGCACCATAGCCAAGCGGCTGTGAACGACGAAACCGGGTATTATTGTCGATAGAAGCACTAACGCTGTAGCATTCTAATAATATTAAAAGGCACATATTAGAATAATCACCAAAAAATATAATCGATCTTCAAAAAATCAATTGGTGACCTAACCTTACCTTTAGGTTACCAATTGTATTTTTAGGTAAGCATTTTTTTGAGGATCATTTAAATATTTCCCATGTTAAATTTCCTACGAATGATAAATGTAAAAATTAGTTTGTATGTTTGTTACTCAATCACGCAAAAATTTATGAACGGATTTGGATGCCATTGGGCACTCATATAGTTTCTTACCTGGATTGAGACAGGATATTTTTTATCTCGGAAAAATGTAATGATCGTGTGCGATTGTGAGTGAGAAGCTCGTTGGCGCGGGTGGTTAGCGCGTTCGACTACGATCGTTGAAGTTAAGCAACTTTCGCAGTGGTCGGTCATTGGATGGGTGCCCAAAAATGTTCTTTCTCGAGTTCCTCCGTGCTTGCGAAGGCACGTTAATCCATTGGTTCCAGCTGCATCTATCTGCAGTCGTTAGCACCCGCCAATCCGTACTGAGCCCGCATGGTGGGTCATGGACCAATCTCCCTATTCCACCCATATGGCCTGAGCCCCAGCAGTGGGGACATTAATAGGCTGATGATGATGATGTGTGCGATTCTCAAGAAAGTAACTCTAACGCGGGCGCAAATTAGCACATGAGAATATGCCAATGCGGCCAACCAGTGTGGCAGTAACGCGCGCGAAGCTATGGCGGCTAAGGTTGGCGCGCCAAGCATCTCCAGCCAGTCCACACACCAAAGCCAAGCGGTTGTGAACGATGTAACGGGTATTATTGTCAATAGATAAACTAACGCGCTGTAGCATCCTACTAATCTTAAAATACCTACTCAAACTTAAATTCATTTATTCAGTTTAGGCTGTTACAAGCTCTTGTGAAAGTCAAACGCTATGCCATCAGTTTGTAAATCTACGGCGGGAGACCTTGTACCGAGAAGAACCAGCAAGAAACTCAGCAAGGGCTATTTTTTTCTCCCTGTTTTGTTTCATACTGTGTCTTTAATTGAAAGATGACATCAAAAACTGAAAACATGTGTTGATGTCAACTATACACGTATAGCTAGGTATTAGTGTCGATTCTGGCGTGATTCTCTAAACTTAAATCGAAATTTAACATCAGTCTCTCCTTTTTATTCTGTATAGAGAATAACAAGAATACACTGTTGTCAAAGGAGACGGTATAAAAGTGGTAGTCAAAAACCGGCAGCCATGAGAAGTATATCATTGAAAAGCTGTTTTTTTTTCTAGAATGTCCTATGAATTTCAATTTTTATTTTACCTCCGTTTATTTTTAAATTACAAGCGAAGTTTTTCATTTTGTCTTTATGCTGGCCACTCCAGTACTTCTGTGCTGTTTTATTTGAAGCGATGGCAAAGAAATCACGCCCATACAGCCATGTCTTCAGTAATTATATTCTAAATAAAAATAGAACATATGAAGAATACATGCGCTCTGCTTGCATTCAAATGTGAAGTGATTCATAGAAAGCTTAATTTCAATGATTCGTCGTTAGCTGATAGTCAATTCGAATGCTTGTGTATAAAAATAATTAGTAATTACACAAAGTCTACTCCGACGGCATTTTGAAATAGCAAAATGAAGATCCAAAGTTTCTCGCCAAACATTAGCTTTATGATACACAAATGGTTAATATCTCGTATCTAGGCATTTTTGCCAATTAAGTGAAAATCTAATTGATTATTGTAATTATAAACATAGGTAACTAAATATATTCGATAGAGTTAAAAATGGAGGACAGTCACAAAATTATTGAAATATATTTATTACATTATACACACAGCACTCCTTAAAGTACTCCTTAAATGTGGTGAAAACCACTATCTATTTTTATGTCTTTGTTATTAACTATGGATGAAGATTTTAAATAAAACAATATCATTAAAAAAATATTTTTTGATGCCTAGGTAATAACATTATTGAATGACAATTTGTTTATATAAATTACAAGCTTTCAATTTATCTTAAATATAAGACATTTAACTACAAGAAAATCACCATTAGGAACCTTCAATACATAGAATTATTATGATTGCAAATTCCAGTAATGATTTTGAGAAAGGAATACTTCAGGAAGAATAAAACATTTTCAAAATAATCACATTTTATTCATCTTCGTCTTCTGTAATTAATATCCCATCTAAAAAAGAAGCAGTGGTTTGGTGAATCGAATATGCGTCTATAATTTGGTAATTCCATAAGATTTTGGTTTGGTGATGGGTTTGCTATTCCAGCTCCAGCCCAAGAACTTGATTCAGAACTAGGCAGTACTGAACTTGCTGGAACCGAAGAATCTAACTCCACTGGATCCAGTACAAGAAATGCATTCCTGTCAGATGGGGACTCGACGAATGCAATTGGAGGTATTTCAATTATGTCGTCTTGTAATGGATGGTTTTCATAGGCTCTCATCCAGCAAGCATGGCATACCCAAGCTTTTGCAGAAACCTGAAAATTAAGGAAATGTTTTATTTTTTTGTTCTATGTTAATCAGACATTAAAAAAATAATATATAAACTATTGGTCTAATATTTCAAGAAAAAGTACACCAATGACTTCCTTCAGAAGTTTTAAGTCTTGCCTGTCCATCAAAAGGTTGTCTTACAGATCTCTTCTTATAGAAATGAAACCTATAAACATTCTAATATACCTAATTTTAATGTTACAAATCAATTCTGAATAATATAAAATGCAAAAAAACAAATAGCTAAAATATAATATCATACATATGGTATGTATGATATTATATTTTAGCTATTTGTTTTTTTGGACCAAGGAAATATTTGGTTCTCTATATAATTTAGGTGCTACACTCCTCGATGGCAGTCTGAGATGACGCCGCTCACTTTGTGTAGATAGTGATACTCCACAGCACACTTAAACACAGGAGTGTCCAATCTCCCTCTCCGGGTGATGACTAGGGTCCTTATCACGATTAGCTGCCTCTCTTATCACAAGCATTAGACATGCCTGACATAATTGATCATTAATAGACACCTGTTATAAGAATTTTATAGCATTGTTAATGGTCCTCTATATCACAAACAGGAGTACATACACTATGCTATTTAAATAATCTGCACTTACCTCAAGACCACACCATTCTTCAACAATAGATACAAGTTCGGAACTTAGATTAGTAACATTGTATTCATGTAATTGTATATTCTGCCTCAACAGTATGTGGCAATTCATACATGCCATGATATCTGAAATCAAATGACAAATGAACAACAATTTGTGAATAGAAAGTGTAAGAGAAAAGTGACTCTTTGTCTTCTTATTAATTATTAGCTTCGCGACGATTACGCATTAAGCCAATAATGAGTTGCACTGTTGAGAATTTAACTAACAAAAAGTAGTCATTTTAAAATGAGATAAAGAGCATTTTCAAATGTCACCGGTCACAATGTTGAACTATTTATTAATTTAATGTATTAATTTAATGAATCTCAGAACACGTATTATTACTCCGGTGAAATTCAAAGAAATGAGATAAGTAATTAACTTATCTCTCAGTTTTACTTTCTTTCTTTCTTAGCAGTGAATAGAGTTTTCGAAAAGATTTACTTACATTGACAAAATGTCGTGATATCCGACCGGGGCAATTAAAAATCCAAATAATAAGCAAACGGGAATCCGGAAGACAGAGAAGGGGTCAACAGAATAAGCGGGAATATCGTAGTCAGTATAAAAGTAGCCAGTTTACATTAGAAAAGATCAAATAAATATAAAAATAAACAATACCGCGAACAGAAACGATCAAAGCCGAAGGAACTCACTTTTTATGTGTCAAACGCACAGAAAATCAGTGTTGTGTTATAACTAATACAATCAGTAATCGATAATAGAAGATATTACTATTCGATTATATATCAAGATTATTTCAAAATAAGACTAATCATTATTTTTGTAGTATAGGGTAATAAAGGGTTTCTTCCACTTTTGTTTAAAAATCATAATGGTTTTTAAGTGAAGAGATTCATAGCTAAACGTGGCTTATAAAGCTACGATTATTTATGATAAACAATAGACAGAATCACGAAAATGCAGATATGCATAAATGTAAACACAAAGTCTACTGGACATTGACTTCATAAATTCTTACATAATTATTTACTTTGCACGATTGTTAATTGAATAATTTTAAATTAATAACATATTGCAATATAATGCAAGGAAATCATCAACTTCCTACCCTCATTATCACAGCCTTTTTAATCCGACTCCTTGTTAAGAAAGTACGTTTGGGCTACGGCCCAATCTCCAAATGCAGATTGGTGGACGCAGAATAAGGTGGTAAAAACTCCATCCATTAGTCGCCTTCTATGACACCCATTAGAGGAAACGGGGTGATACTATTCTACTCTGTGGGCATCACACGGCCGGCACTTGCCACCCTGCTCCCAATTTATTTTGGCTTTGGTGCAATATGAGTATAGATGGATGTGTGTCATCTTCTTACTCTGCACCCATTTTAAATGGAGTCAGTATCTTGATATTGACAACGCTGCAAATCCTATAGTTTTGTCATTTCGATTTTTATGGCCTGCTTGACTCCAACCCTTGGGAAACCCCAAAGGCACGACTGCTATCTATGACAGCACCCGGATTACATTATATAATTGTAATTAACATTCATTAATAGAATGAGCATATAAAGCGATTACCTAATGAAAAGTATCGATAATCGATAATAGGATTTGCACTATCTGCATATTTAAGAATTGAGTATAATGCTGCCAGATTAATTATTTCCTAGAACTTTGATAATTAATTACAAAAAAACGGCGTGTCGTGGCTGACATGCTATTCGATTGTAAGGCGTTGTGGCAATGAAGAAAAGCCATGACGCGTTCGGAGCATTCATTGTTTTAACCATATCACGACGGACAGGTTGTAAGTTGATAGAGGACGTGCAGCACCCAGGAATGTTATGTGTGTTGTTATGAGCATTAATCGATCAGGTCTCAATGCTTAGTTAGGAAACAAGGAAGGTACATTCGATAGACTTTATGCACGTAATGAGTTTACACTTTCTGAAACAAACTTTATTAACATTTGTGATGTGCCCTCAACTTCGTCATTAACACTTCGCTCAGCATCTATGTTATCATTTGGAAGTAAGCAAGGGTTTGTAATTTGGCACTGCAAAAGATACTGTATTGATAAAAAGTGCAAGGGCGCGCTCGAAAAATACCGCACGGTCGATCACCGCACGCCCCGATCGGGGCGCGCTACCCACGGTACTATAAAGCCGTTTTTTGTGATAGTTATAGCCTACTTTTGTATTAAAAAGTTTAACCATAGATTAACTTGGCGAAATGACCTATATATAGAGCCGTAAAGTTTAAATAGCCCGCATGAATTTAAAGTTTAAAACCCCAAGCAGTTAAATAAAACTAGTTTTTCATGGGTTAATGCACGAAACTTTATTTATTTATTGACGTTTCGCAGCCTTTACAGGCTGCTTCGTCGGAATAAATTTTTTTTTGTAACTCCCTAACTATTTTAATTGAATTATAAGTAATTTACAAATTATTAATATTGTGTAGTCAGTAATTTATATATTACTTAATACGTTGATTTTTTTAAATATAAAGTAATCTCAATAAATAACAAATCTCGTTTTATTTTAATTTATATAATTTTATATCATATTTAATAATGACAAACACGATATGCACTGATTTTATAAAATAAAAAATATTTCCTAAAGACATCTACCAAAACGTTTCCAGCTTAGGCCTAGTAGGATCCATATCGGAAAGTAGTGTGCGTCGAAATCAAATAATAATCCATACGCGTCATGGCTTTTCTTCATTGCCACAACGCGTTGAGATCGAAAAGCATGTCAGCCACGACACGAATTTCGCTATTTGGTCTTTCTGTGATTGCCACAACGTGTCGTGCGCGTTTTCATTAGAGCCATAACACGAATTTCGCCATGTGTATGTTTTACTGTGACCACAACGCGTTGTGAGCAATTTTTCCGCTCACGGAGCGTTTTCGATCTTTGAGCGTAACATATATATTCATATGCATGTAGTAAAAAGCGGTTATTTCAATATTACAAACAGGCACTCCAATTTTATTTATATGTAGTATAGATGTATAAATGGGGTCAATTCAATATGGTGTTTAGTCAAAATGTATGTATAAATTTTGTGTTGAATGTTTGGTCAGCATTACTTACCATTGCCAGCGCCGACTAACTCCAAAGCCGTGTGTTGCAAACAGTGGTCGAGCTTTGGAACTATATGTTGGTGCAGCATGGCAGTCAGTGCGGAGCCCCACGCGTGTCTCCAGGCCGCTAGCAGAGTCCTAGCTGAGGGGTCGGCTGGATGCCAAGCGCCTAACGCCGTCGCTAAGCGGGAACGTATCGCTGGATATGTGCCGCGGGCTAGAGCTTCTCCTATGAATGAAATGTGTTGCCAAGGCATTTATTATTTGATTTTGAACTATTTCTGTTCTTTACAAAAGCATCGAAATCATTGATTTATCTTTATAACACAGAATATACGCAATATTGTTATATTGAGTGCACATGCAGCGTGTTTGAATGTCCAATTGTGACTAAAGTGATTGTGGTCATACACTTTAATTTAATCGGATCACCTTTGAGCCGCGAGTGCCGTATCTTCTCTTTTTGTTTTAATCTTAGGCTGACTGCAATATTAGCACACCTGCTTGCAGGTGGAATACATGTAACTTCTATAAAATGTATCAACTTGTGAACTGTATTTTGGCAAATAAATTAAATTATTATACGACAAAATAATTAAATTGTCAGATTTTGAGAGCACATTATGTAAGAGGTAGAAATGCAAAGATACCTATTAAAACCTGTACCTGTTTTACATCTTTAGCACAATATATAACTTGCTATCCTTATTTCTCGTCGTAGAGTACGAATTATAAAATAATATGAAACATATTTTTTCAGTTTCCGTTTGCTTTAACTAAGTCAAGCTTCAAAGCTGTCAAGCTAGCCAAACTCGTTTTCCTATACAAACTTTGAACCCCGATATCACCCAATTCACGGTGAAATATTCAAATATCCTTTCTCGTTTGATGCCTACGTCATTTAAACAACCTATTTACTACATATAATGTCTGTATGACCAAAAGTGTAGGTTTGCGTTGACGCACTATTTAAAACTTCAACATGCTATTTCTTTGATTCATGATTGAATGAGTTTTGAAAAATGAAAACACAGATAGCATTTTTATTTTATATAGAGTAGGTGTGCAAAATTTCAATCAATCCTATACACTTTTGTATAATCTCCCATACAAACTTTGACACGAAATTTTGTAATTTTTTGAGGGTAGTTGAAAAAAATTTATGTAACAGGCTTAGTGTACATCTATTTAATAATATTTATGCAAAATTAGCAGTCAATGGGACGAAGGGATAAGCTTTTACGAACAAACGTTTTTTTGTCCAGTCGTTTCGCGGTTTCGGCTGTGCGTTCATAAGTCAATCCGCCAGTCTGTCAATTTATCCTTTTCTCATTGAAGTTAAGCATAATAAATAATCTCGACAATACAAATATACAATCAATCCGATATAAAGGGATAAGTGTTCTCCACTGGATTCATCCCTTTATTTTAGAAAGTTTTCTTGTTTTCTTAAACTTCATGTTAATTACAAAACAAATTTATCTCAGAATATGGCTTCCATAGAGTACGCCTCACTTAATTTTCGATGAACAAATGTCCGCACACCATTTGCATTGAGTCCTTGACAAGTCCTCGGCGGACAATTTTTTCATAATACGGGGACAAAAGTCCTCCGCTGGCAAACTTCCGTCGTCTGCGCGGGCCATTATGAGAAGACGCCTCTTTCCCAGTGGGCACTTTGGGCAAGTGCCCAGGGCCTCGCGATCGATCAGATCAAATAAAAAGTCACTAGTTCCTGTCAGATCACCAAACGATAACCAATACTTATTACCAAAAAACTTATATAATTCGTTGAAATCGAACCTAAATTACTGAGTACAATAGCAACTTACTATCTTTTACATAAGCGAAGCTATTGTACTCTCGCCCAAAATAGGTTTTCCGACTTCAGCATGCTTAGGTAAATTTAAATATAAATATAACGGTATACTAAGCACATTCACATTTGAAAGAAAAATCATCAATAGTACACTCATCAGCCTGACTCGCTCCATTTCAAGTCATAATCTATATCAAAGTCATAGGGGCCCCATTATCCTAATATGCCCAAGGCCTCCAATAGGTTAAAGACGGCCCTGATTATAAGCATCTCATGCATTGATTTTCAACATTATCTAGCTTTGATAAGCGCCTATAAAACTCTCACCCGCTATATCGTGCCAAGGCAGCACCCACTGGTGCAGTGGTTGAGTATCGCCGGTGGGGTCCCAGGCTCTCACCGCACCCAGAATCTTGGGAACTACGCAGCGGGCAGCGGTTGCGGAAAGAACCCATTCTGGACAAGCTTCTGACCAACTAGTCAAAGCGCGTAACATAGGGCCTGGCACGCGAGGATTCCATGATCTGTACGAAAACAAAGTAACTTATAAAAATTATAATACGAGTGTGCTTAAGACCACACGACTGAAGTGAAACTTCTTTAGCTCCATCTGTGCATATATATATATGTGTGTGTATACAATATATACACGTATGTACATATACATATTACATTTACTAGCTATAAGAGAAAGAGAGAAAGAAAATGTGCGCGCGCACTGCTTTCTCTTGCTTATATCCCCACTTAACAGTAACACCCGTTCGCCTCGCCCGAACAAACTTTTCGTAATGCGTAATACATTCGCCAGCTTAAGTAGCAAAGTCAAGCGTGCGTAAAGAAGTGTCACTTCAAAAACATGAGTCGACAGACTGAAAAGGAACTAAAAAGTAACAATTACACCCTTTCGGGGAAAACTTCTGACCAACTGGTCAAAGCTCGCAACATAGGGCAAGGCACGCGAGGATTCCACAACCTGTACGACAATAACCTAACGTAAGGCGTTAAGAAAACGAAGAGAAAAGTAAAAAGAATAAAACCAAGTCCTAAAAAGTAATTGCAGTTGGGAGAACGTTCTGCAATCGCTGCTAACTTCACAAGATAAAGTTTATTTAGCCATTTGCAATCCTTACTTATATATTTCGAATCTTATATTATTAATAATAATTATCAAATCTATTTTTTGTTTTTATTTCCCTACATTGACCTCGATGGTTAGCGCGTTTGGCTGCCATCGTCTAAGTTAAGCAACTTACGCAGTGGTCGGTCATTGGATGGGTGACCAAAAATTTACTCAGGGCTTGTAACCGGTTTCGAAAATACCGGTAAATAAAGGTTAATACCGGTTTTTAGTAAAGGTTTCGTTCGGAGCGCGTCCGAAACCGGTTTAATCCAGAGCGACACGTGCTCGTGCACGCGTCGGCATCGCTTGAAGTTTGTTTTGTTTGAACTATTCAAGTCACAGCTTGTTAATGCTCAGAGATTGATGCATTTATTGACACGTTTGTGTTGTAGACTCCTTTCGTATACCATAGTGTATGCCTGTATTAGTTATTCTTGAGTGATGTTGTCATTGTCAAATTTAAATAAATTATATTTTCCAACTGAAAAGCATGTTATTTCGTATTATTTAAATTTGCTAGCGTCTAGTGAGTCAAGTTATTCATTTTGTAGTTGTGTACTGACACACTACTTCACTCACTCGCTCAGTAGTTGGAAAGAAACTGACATAAAATCATTATAAATTTGAATTGAAACAGCGAAGGCGATGCAGTCAGTAAGAGCGAAATGAAACCCTTTCAAAACCGCTAAATTGATTCAAAACCTTTGATTTCGCTTTTTAGGAAAACCGGTTTTTTTAAGGTTAAGGTACAGTCAAACCTAAATAAAACGCTCCTAATGTACTTGATACTGATTTAGGTTTGAAAATTAACCGGTAAACAAGCCCTGTTTACTATCTCGAGCTCCTCCGTGCTTTGGAAGACACGTAAAGCCGTTGGTCCCGGCTGCATCTGCAGTCGTTATCACCGATCGCGATCCGCACTGGGACCGCGTGGTAGTTCGTGACCCAATCTCCCTTTTCATCCATAGAGAAAATCGGTGCCTCAGTATTGGGCACATTAATAGACTGTGACAAAGACAAAAACCCTTCACATTTACACCAATGAAATACTGTGTGTGTAAGTATAAATGATTTTTGACATACCTAACATGGAAACATAAGTAAAAGTGTTACTTACTCAGCAGCCGTGTTGATAGCCGGTACATAATGTTGCCACAATAAACTGCTGTAGGCTTCGTCGGTCAGTAGTTTCTTCCATTTAAGGAAGGTTGGTATGGGGTCCTCAGGATTCTCCAAGGGTTGCCAGGTGGCCAATAGAGCACTGAGCAGTGGACTCACGATGTTGCCAGCTATCGTGCCTAGTCCGAATACGTCGTACTCGGTAGGATAGTTTTCCTAGTAGAAAAATGGATTTTGATTATATTATGGAATGGATAATTATGGAAGTAAGATAAAAATATTATAGCTATAGTCGCAACACGATATTATGGCCGTTTTGACACATTGCAATAGTGACGCGAAAAGTAAATCTGTTATCGAAAAAGGCCTATAAAATCAAATACGACTCATATAACGTAGGTATGTGAGTGCGTACGTACGTATGTAAAGTATTAAACATTTTGAAATTTTTTACCAATATTGCAAAAAGTATAAAGATTGAATAAAACGAAAACATAAATTTTTACTCGTGCTCAGTGATCCTATATGTAACAATATTATTAATTTCATGTTTTTAGATTTTGAATTTCGATCTACACAAATGCCGAGTTATGTTGCCAACCTTGCTATAAAAAAATGTGGCGAATAAGTACACTATAATAAATTATATTATTTGTATGATATAACTAACTTAATGATAATAAGAATAAATCAATTCTGTCAAAGGGAGTCGTCGTTCGGACTACTTTCTATTTTGTTCACATACCTTTAAATCGGTCAAAACTTCGTACGACGTCTCCAAGGACATATCCGGTTCAGCCAACTCTTGCACGCGGGGAATGATCCCCTGCATCTTGGATGTAAAACAAAAGTCGTCGTTCGGAGTACTTTCTATTTTCTTCACATACCTTTAAATCGGTCAACACTTCGTCCGACGTGTCCAAAGACACATCCGGTTCAGCCAACTCGTGCACGCGTCGAATGATCCCCTGCATCTTAGATATAAAATAAAGGTCGTTGTTCTGACTACTTTCTATTTTCTTCACATACCTTTAAATCGGTCAACACTTCGTGCGACGTCTCCAAAGACACATCCGGTATAGTCAACTCTTGCACGCAATAAATGATCCCCTGCATCTGGGATATAAAACAAAAGTCGTGGTTCTGACTACTTGCTATTTTGTTCACATACCTTTAAATCGGTCAACACTTCGTGCGACGTCTCCAAAGACACATCCGGTATAGTCAACTCTTGCACGCGGCAAATGATCCCCTGCATCTGGGATATAAAACAAAAGTCGTCGTTCTGACTACTTGCTATTTTGTTCACATACCTTTAAATCGGTAAACACTTCGTGCGACGTCTCCAAAGACACATCGGGTTCAGCCAACTCTTGCACGCGTCGAATGATCCCCTGCATCTTAGATAAACAACAAAAGCCGTCGTTCGGAGTACTTTCTATTTTGTTCACATACCTTTAAATCGATCAAAACTTCGTACGAATTCTCTAAAGACACATACGGTTAAGCTTACTCTTGCACGCTTCAAATGATCCCCTACATCTTAGATATAAAACAAAAGTCGTCGTTCCGACTACTTTCTATTTTGTTCAAATACCTTTAAATCGCTCAACACTTCGTACGACGTCTCCAAAGACACATCCGGTTCAGCCAACTCTTGCACGCGGCGGATAATCCCCTGCATCTTGGATATCACGTTGTCTTGCTCGGACAACTTGGTGTCGCATTCTTCCAGTTCCCTCTCGAGGACCACGATTTCGTCCTCGGCTGTTTGCAGTTCGCGAGCGTTCTGGATTATATCCTGAAGGGAAATTTGGAGATTATGTATACGTATTCAAATGTTTTAAAGGTAAACCTTTTTTTTACATCGTCATAAAGTCTTCCTTCATCTTTAGCATTTCACATAACATTTTTAATTGTTTTTTGGTATTCGTACTTATTAATCAAGAAAAGAGGTAACCGCCACAAGAAATAATACAGATAAACCATTTTTTTATTTTGCTCTCATTTAAAACGGAAATCAAGTAGTTAGAGATGGCGATGTTAAGACTAGAGTTAACCTATATTGTAATATTTGGCCGAGTATAATAAGTTAATAACTTTAGTAACCATCAATACTACTCAGCTGAATCAGCTATGGTCAAATTTAATCACACTAATATTATAAAGGCGAAAGTTTGTGAAAGTGTACGAGTATGTTTGTTATTTCTTCACGTCTAAACGACTGGAGCGATTTTGATAAAATTTGGTATGGAGTTAGCTGACATTCTGGATTAACACATAGGCTACGTTTTACTGCGGGAAAATATCCCTAATAAACCGAGGGTAACACCGCGGGACACAGCTAGTAATATTCATAATACATTACATTTTACTTAAATTTAATGATCTGTACCCCCAGCACGAACCAATATCGAATTCGTATCGTTTGCGAGTCCGAAATATCACTGTCAAATGTGTACTGATTTTTAGTGCTCGTTACTTTGTGCCGCTGCTGTTCAAGTTTCCATACAAAATTTGACATTGACATTTCGGTTTGCAAACTATTCGAATTCGATAAGGGTTCGTGCTAGGGGTACAATAAAATTGGAACACAACGAGCAACGAGCGAGGGCATCCAATGACCGACCACTGCGAAACTTGCTTAACTTCAACGATCGCAACTTTCGGTTGGCTTACCACCCGTGCCATCGAGTTCCTCAATTCATCGAGTATAGATGCCTTACCTGCTCACAACAATCCACGACGAGCTCTAAATTATGAGCCAGTTGCGGCGCGGTGAAGTGGCGACACTCGCGGCGCGGCTCGTGCTCGAACCGCGGCGCGGCGGCTCGCAGCGCGTGGTAGCCGGACAGTACGCGCTTCTCCCGCCCCGTTAGATCGATCACCGGCACGCGAGATAACTCGCTGCTATATAAAAAATAAATTAATAAATAATAATCACTACATAGTATAAAGCAAAGTCGATTCCTGCTGTCTGTCCCTATGTATGCTTAGATCTTTAAAACTACGCAACGGATTTTTATGCGGTTTTTTTAATAGATATGTATAATACACGCATAATACAGTAGAGAAACACTGATAAGCCTCAAAAGCAAAGCCTCTTAAGGTTATGATGGCCGCTTGCCATCAGACGGGACATATGCGTTATTGCAACCCTTTTGAAATAAAAAAAAATCTAACAGGTACCCACTAATTTATTATAAAGAGGTAGTTTTTATATTTGAATAAATCAGCAATCTTTGAAGCTGCAAGGGACCTGCATATTCACTTTGAAAACTTCCAATACCAATATTTTGAATTATCATCAAGGTTGATTTTGAGAAGTAATATTAAATATCAATATTTTGAACAAGAAGTTTACTCCTAAAGTTTCAAAGTATACTTGTTATTTATATACTCCGCAACACATATGTTGGCCCACCTACCATTTAAAGTTTTGTCCCTAGCTAAAAACAAAATATTATGTTACATCAAGCAAAAAGGTTTACCGCAGTTTTGAAGCTGATCTGTTAACCATATTTGTCATGTGTTTTTAAAAATATACCTATTATTATTTCTCAACCTAACATATATTTGTGCTACAGAAAGTTGAAACTTATAACACTAAGCAGGCCGATTGATGTGTCGGGAAGTGTATTTGAATAAATTGAGATATGTTAATACCTGGATATAGTATGCATTGTGGGTTTACCCTCTTGAATTACGTCTGCAGCATCGCGATAGAAGTACCGGCCTTTGTGTGACTTCTTCCAGTTGTAAGTCTTCTCTGTTGTACCTTTCTCTTGTTCTTCCTTCTCTTTAAGGCGACGCTCTTCTTCCTTTTTAGCCTTTAGCTAGAGTAGTTAAATTTTGAAATAAAAATTATTTCAAGTTGTTTATTCAATACATAATATTAAAAATTGAAGCTTTTCCCAGCTTATGCAATAGTGACTGATGTAATTTTAAAGTGAAATTTTTATTACATAGCCACATTTTTTTAAATTAATTTTTAGCATGTTGCATTATATTTTTAATTGATAATCAGAAATTCAGACCTTAACAACTAGCATCGGAGGTTCAGTGGTAGAAAGCTCGCCTGCTACGCGGGTGGCCCATTCCCAGCCGAGGAAGATTTTTTTTGTCACTTTTATAATAAGTAACAAAAAGCTAGCTATTTTTAACTCTGTTAAAGTTTCATTTGCATAGCGGTTTCTTAAAACCATACCATTTTTATTCTTATAGGTAAATCAAATCTGAGATTTCAGAAGAAGCTTATTGAGAGATGCATAAGCAGTTAACTTTATTTTACCAAACATTGAGTGTGAACTACAGAGCTTTTTGGAGGAGCAGGAATGGCAGAACTATGGTCATCCCTTGCAAGCAAAAAAGGAACTTAGTGTATTGTATGTTGGACTTAAAAGTTCCATAGCAAATGTAGAATATTAAAATTAAGTATTTTAGAAGATTTCAAATCAAATTCAAAATCGTTTATTTAGCCTGTTACAAGTACTTGTGAATGTCGAAAAGCTACGCCATCAGTTTACAACGTTCGTACGACAGGACACCTTGCATTGAGAAGAACTGGCAAGAACACGGGCTGTTTTCCCCTGTATTTTATCAGGAGTCAACAATTTGAAAAATGTTTTCAATATGAGATAATTTATGAAGTCACTTTCCATTACAAGTATAAATAATATAAAAATAAAGCCAAGCCAGCCAAGTGCGAGTAGGACTCGCGCGAAGGGTTCCTTACAACAAACTGTGAAAGGAAAAATCATTTCATCATCATTCATCAGTTTGTTTTCGACACAACTTACAAAGTGCATTGTAAATTGACGTTTTCAGTATTTGTTGTTTAAATAACATTTCACATTAGAAACTAGTTTCGATTTTGAGATGGCGCCCCGTAACAAAAATGGTCTAGATATGACAACTTTGACAGCATCCCGTTTCTTCTTTATTGATAATAGAAAATTATAAAATATATTTTTATATCCTACTTAACACGCTCTAGACAACTAAATGTTATATGTTGAGGTAAAAAATAAAATTATGTCTCCTTTTCATGTATGGGGCTATGTATTTAAACTTTTAATTAAATTTTCTACTACATTTTACATAAAATACTCAAACTCATTAAGTTTAAAATCTAAGAGACCTGTGATATACAGACTGACAGACAGACAGATGACAGACAGACAGATGACAGAGTGACAGAAATAGGGTTCCATTTTTTACCCTTTAGATATGGAACCCCAATTATTACTATACAATTCTATTTGAACTCCTAAAATGCTCATAATTAATACTTACTGCTGCTTTCTCGGGGCCATATGCACCAATAGCGCCTCTTCCTTTCCTCACAGTAGCTTCTACAGGAGCAGAAATACCCTGTAGATCTTTACCCAAACCTTTTCCAGGTTTGTAGCCCATCTAAAACAAAATTAATATCATGATTAATTTAATTGACCAAGATATATTGTTTGCTTATGAAATTTTAATAAAATAATAAATAACTCCATAATGTAAAAATAACTGGTCTGGTAGAACAATACTAACTGTAAATTGCATTAGTTGTATTTTTTTTTATTAAAAATACTTAGAAAACAATAATTCAGAATTCCAGACAATCAGTTCAAACCAGTTCATTAGAAGCTAACAAAAGAAAGATTAAGAATTTTTGTACAATCTACACTAATTAAGAAATAAAAAGCATTTTGTTTATTTGACCTGTAAGAGCAACTTAGCACCAATTCCTTTTGTGTGTTTTTCCCAAGTGCCTACATTACCACCCAGGTTAGGTGGCCTCATACCCTGTCCTTGTCGGCGCAAACCTGCAGTATCCCTTTCGTCAGGGTTGGCTGGTCCTTCTTCATCAGAACTGTCGACTGCAAAAGCTGGTCTCGAGGTTGGTGCATCTGCTGATTCTAGTTCTGTAAAAGGAGAAATTGTATCTCATACCCTATTGAAATAACCAGAATGTTGTTAATCTTACTATGAATTTAAAAATATACAAAATGTTTATGCAAGTTGCAATCCAATATTGTTAAGTAAATTTGAATTGCTATTGATATTTGTATTATTTGAAAAATATATTATAAAATAGTAAAAATAAACTGCTGCTAAAAACACAATTAATTCACGGAAGATAATTGAACCTGACTAGCCATGATTCATACCTCTCTTTTGCTTCCTCTACACACATCAACCATAATAGACCTGTTTGAATAGGTACAAAAAATTATAAATATTGTACAAGTACCTTTTTTCTCCTCTTTCTTCTTTCCAGCTTGTTGCACCCCACCTGCAACAAAACCAATGGGAGCAGAAAAGTCTTTCTGCTTCCGAGTTCTTTGCCTGATGTTGTCTTCATTGTCTTCTTCATCGCTATCTTTTGCCCAAACACCTGTAGAAAATAATTAAGTAAACTGTTACTTTAACCTAACTTGTCACTTGCTTCTATTGAAATATATAACTAACATATTACAACATTTGAAGTAAAGAAGGAACATACCATATATTTGTTGTTCTTTTTTTGCTTTTCTTCCCCTATTGGGGTTAAATTCATTATCCAAATCGTAATCTGTTATTTCAAACCTAATAACCTCGTCATCGGACATTTTTTATAAAATAAGCACTTAAAGCCTTAGAATAAAGTGACTTAATAAAACGTAATTCAATTAATTGTACTGCTTAAAAATATTATTTTCCTTTTATCATAATATGAATGAATAAATATTATGTAGGAAAAACAATATCAACAAAAAGTATTGACATTTGTTTTTTTTCCAGCAAAGGGACAACGTCCATTCAGCCTAGTCTTTAAATATATAAATCTTTTTTTTACATTAGAATGTCGTCGGTGTGACCGTGTGACGCATTCTAGTGTTTCTTGGAGTGTTTGACACGAAATGTATCGAGTTGGCTTTTTCGATAAGTTTAAATGTGAGGTAGTCAACACTTTATGGTAGTGTTCTCATGTCCACTTGACCAGAATAGCGGATATTTTAAAGATTCCACTAATTCTTCAGTTGCGCAGACGATTGTAAGACAAAATCACACCAATTTTATTTCACAATATTCACTATAAACGAATTTAAAGAATATTTAAAATATGTTGCCAACCGCAATCGATGAAATCCCGCCAAAAACTCTTCATATTAGTTCGTATTGACATTTGAACAATGACAACTTGACAATCAATTCGATTAATTTGGCATTAATAATCAGTCAGACAGAATCATGACGTTTATTATACGCCCGCAGGTCAAGACCATATATAAAAACGTCTAGCTAGTCCATGTATACTAAATATTGATGTTTACCATTAAACTTAGGAGTAAAAAAAATCATTCTTGATTTCGGATTGATCGCCACAAGGGTTGCTTTCCAATTACAGAGCATAATGCGACTCAGTGGCGCACAATGCCGAATTATGCTGATGCTTAATTGGAACGTGAATTAGTTTTCAAATGCAACAGCAGAGTGTGCCAAGTTCAGTGTTAAAAAAAAGTCAATGTTTGTACCATCATCCATATTTATATTTAATTTTTAACACAGTTTGAATTAACTTTGATTATTTAAAAAAAAACTATGATGAAACGAAAGTTTTAATAATTTTTCAACAATAAATAATATTACTAATGATAACATATAAATAAATCATTTCGATCAATGATGTCGATTCTGGTGTGATTCTCTAACTAAACTTAAAACTAAATTTAACATCAGTCTCTCCTTTTCATTCTGTATAGAGAATGACAAGGATATACTGTTGTCAAATTTAAGTTTAGGTTTAGAGAATCATGCTAGAATCGACACCAATGCCAACTTAAAGAAAAAACACTTGTTAATTTTCTGTCTCTAAAGGGCACGGGTGCGGCCAGAGTGCACTCAGATTCAAATTCAGATTCAGATTCTGAAAACAAGCGCGAGAAATAAACAGTGTAGTCTAAGCAGGTTGCCTGCTTTTTCTCGCGCTTTGTTTTCTGAGTCTGAATCTGAATCTGAATCAGGAGTGCACTCTGGCCGTACCCTTCGACTACACTGTTTATTTCTCGCGCTTGTTTTCGGAATCTGAATCTGAATCTGAATCTGAGTGCACTCTGGCCGCACCCTACGGCCAGAGTGCACTCAGATTCAGATTCAGATTCAGACTCAGAAAACAAGCGCGAGAAATATACAGTGTAGTTTAAGCAGGTTACCTGCTGCCACTATGGCCACCCTGCTTTAACTACACTGTTTATTTCTCGCGCTTGTTTTCTGAGTCTGAATCTGAATGCACTCTGGCCGTACCCTAAGTTGGTACGATTGCACGCATCACACGAAAGCATCACTTTTGAGAGTGCTCAATTGTGCGAAGCGTTGCTGTAGTTGGAACACTCAACGTTAAGCATTGGTGTCGATTCTGGCATGATTCTTTAAACTTAAAACTAAATTTAACATCAATTTCTCCTTTTTATTCTGTATAGAGAATAACAAGAATACACTGTTGTCAAATTTAAGTTTAGGTTTAGAGAATCATGCCGGAATCGACACCATTATGCCGCATAATGCGCTATAATGCTGTAATTGGAAAGCTACCAAGATCTTGATCGCATTGTATGGGTTTACATGATTTAAAAAAAACAAGAGAGTTTTTGGCGGGATTTCATCGAGTGTGGTTGGCGTCTTATTTTAATTATTCTTAAATTCGTTCATAGTGGATATTGTGAAATAAAATTGGTGTGATTTTTTGTTACAACTGTCTGCGTAACTGAAGAATTAGTAGAATCGTCAAAATATACGCTATTCCGGGCAAGTGGACGTGAGAATTTTATTGTAGTATTGACTACCTCATAGAAGCTTATCGAAAAAGCCAGCTCGATACATTTCGTGCCAAACAATTCAAGAAACATTAGAATGCGTCACACCGACATTCTAATGTAAAAAGAAAAACAGAATAATTTAACTTAAGACTAGGCTGTATGGGCATTGTTCCCCTTGCCTTCACTGAAAAGGGAGAACTTAATCAAAAAAAAAACAAGAATCACGTGATGACATTGACAGTTTGTTATTTTGACAATGACATTTGTTGTTGGTCGACTTGACAGTTATTCCGCAATTTCGTAGTATTTTCGGTTTTTCAATGTTTTACGATATTTATTATAACTTCCAGTATAATTAATATAAATCAACATTAGGGGATCATAATTTATTACTCTGAACCTAGTGATGATAGGACTTTTAGAGTCGTTGTAGACTCAAAACATCGCATTAGATGAATTCAAAAAATGTTTTGGTTGTTGTAATTAATATAGAGAAATCTCTCTGACCGCCAATTAAAATGTTAAGTAGATTTTCAGATGTACTGCAGACTGCAGCAGATGTTGTAAGTATTATCTTATAAATTACTAAATGTTTTTTAAAACGAAGCTTCAAAGATAAAATTGTGATTTCAGTTGGCACCTCCACCTACTAGATTAGAGGATTTCGAGTATCATTGGAAGACAATTTTGAACTTCTATCAGAACTATGATGACAGCAATAAAATTCATATTGAAGACACAAGAATTCCACACCACTTACATCAAATGCTTCAGGTAAATTTCTGTCTAGGAACACATTTTTCAAATTACTACAGCTGTTAAGCATAAATCTAGGTATTTAATTTTATTATACAAAAGCTCTTAGCATTTGATCTTACTAGATTAACACAATTGCTTTAGACTTTCTCTTAACAAAGAAGTTGTATATCAAACATAAATGTAGTTACAACATTTGCATTTGCCTGTAACCTTATCTTTATTAACACAACTATCTAAAAAAAAGTACATTAATAGTATATATATCATTATGAGAGATAAATTATTATGACCTAACTAAACATCCAAACCTTTCAACCACATAGTTAACTTTTTGTTTAGATTATCAAAAAAAATCTCATTTTAGTACTATATCTGTGTGATTTGAGAATGTAGTGTCTCTTTAGAAACTGATAAGTATGAGACTAATCCGACTATATAATACCTGAAAACCGACAATATTATATTAATTAAACTCTATTATTAATATGAATGCTATTGTTGTCTGAAAGCAATTGTGTCAAGTTGCTAAATGATGTGCTAAAACTGTTTATCCAATATGCACCTTCTTTTGAAAGGGTACTATACAGGATAGTAACTGGGGCATTTTATTAAATTGGAATAAAAGTATCCTGTCTAGTTAGAGTATATATTTGTATTAAAATCTATTTAAATCAGAGCTTTGGTGCATAATAAAAATATAAATCATAATAAATAGCACATTAAATAATATAATACACCTAAAATTCATATGAACCAATTTGGACAACAATTGTTGATTGTTTCAGTATTTTATTCTAACCATGACCTCAATAATACTTCCTTTGTTCATTATAAGAAATTGAGGTTTGCAGTTTGCACTGCAAAGTAATGTTATTGATTGTTCATTCTATTAAAGATAGTAATAGTATTTACTTTAAATTACAATATAATGCCTACCTTGGCACTTACATATCAAATGGCAGTATGATGTATCCACTTGCTGTAAAAGTCTTATACCAATCCTTATTTCATTACAAAAACACAGTGCAATGCAAGTTTGGGAAAAATATTTTTTCCTTAATGATATTTTAACAAATTTTATTTAAGTTTGAATGACTTCATATTATTATAGTGAAATTTTTATATATCTTTTAGTAGGTTATAAATTAATGTGTAATTATTGGCATTGTTTACTATCATTGTCTTATTAATACCCCCACTGCTGGATACAGGCATTGTCAATGAAAGGAATAGGGATAAGTAAGCTTTTGTCACTCAATCTCTGATATAATGTGTTTATATTTAACTAATTTCATCAATCATCGTGCATAACGATAGAGCCATAATATCCAAAGTGGAAGTGGAACTATATTTCATCATAATACTATTTATTTATGTACTTTGCTATAAATTATCTATTTGCAAAAAACACATAAGTAAACAATAAAACGGTTTAGCTTGTTTTTTAAAATAAACTAGAACTATTAATAAAACATTAACTTATTCGTTATAACAAGCATAATGTGACATTATTCTGAAAAATATTTGTGATGATCTCGCATAGATTTGCGAATCAATGGAGTAGTGTTTTCGACATTCACAAGTGCTTGTAACAGCCTCGACTGAATATATGATATTGAATTGAGCAGAATTGAAAAGCAAAAAAAATGTATATGTCACTTCTAAAAACCTTGCATTCAAAAATAACTTGTGTTTGTTATAGCTAATTGTCGACGAAGAGAAAGAGCAACAAGGCGGAACAGTAGGGCCTTGCCTCGAGGCGGTGGTGCAACGCAAGATATGCGTGTTGGACGCTCTAACTGCGCTCGCGGCCGCCGACCGCCCGCCCGGCGCGAGAGCCCTAGCTTTAACCACTGGGACTGCGCTACTGAGGCGGACGAGGCAACCGTGTGTGAATAGTGCTCATGTTTACAGACCTTTACAGGTATATATTCTATTAGACTTTTAGGATGGTTACTCTCTTACTTGGTTCACTCTTACGAACGAATGACAGACATCTCCTTAAGAATAGGATCTTCATTTGTAAAGTCAAGAAGGTCTCCGAAGACTGTTTGTATCAAACTGCTAGATGTTGTTATGTTTTGCCGATCGCCCGTCCGACGCAAGAGCTCTAGCCCTTACCACTCGGACTGCGCTACTGAGATGGACAAGGCAACCGTGTGTGAATAGTACTCCTGTCTACAGACTACAGATCTTTCCAGACAGACAATATTTTTAGGCATTAAATTGTTAGATTAATAAAATTTTCTTTAGAGAAATGCCTTTTTTTTAATCAGTGTTTTGGCCTCGACGCCTTTAATACACTGACACAATTTCATGCAGGAACATGGTACAATAAAGTCACAAACAGTAGAGTTAGAATGAGAATGAACTAAGTTAATCTTTATTGTTATTGTTTGTACACAGTTATTTAATTTCCTTTTAGAGAATGCTGATCCAGTGCAATGAAAACCCAGCATCACCAACAGAGAAAGAAGAGGTGGAACTACTTCTCACACTCTGTGGTCTAGTAAGAAAAGAGCCTGGACTGGCTAATATTTTCACAACACCCTTTGTAGAAGACAAGGACAGTTTACTCAGTATACCAGACGACATACAGAAGCTAATTCCTATTAAATCCAAAGTCCAAATACCGAGAAAGAATCCCCTGTTTGAAGTGGAACTGCCACTGAATCCTTTAAGGAACATATCTATAGTAAGAACAAACGGAAGAGAAGATGGTTCCAGTGGCTCTTTAGCTGATGACAATTCGAATAGGAGTCAAAAGACAGTGTATGATGACAACGACAAGTTCCTGTTGATTGATTTATTGTTATCTTATTTGGACAGTGCTGTGAGTATGAGTCACTATTTGTATTAACAAAATTAAATTTATGCAAACAAGTTATTTAAGAAATATAATTTGCATGTCTTTTGTGTTGTGAAGTGCGTAGAACAACTAATGTTAGTTTAAATATTCCAATAGAAACACTTGAAACATTAATGACTGATCACAATTTATCATTCCAATACCTATGCATACATACTAATATTATAAATAAGAAAGTGTGTCTGTCTGGTGAGTTCCCGCGATTTCGTCTGTGTGGCAAAAATGGTTTCTCATACAAATTTCCACCCCCTGCAAGGCTGATTTCTGGGATACAAACTACTGTATATTCATTTCCGGGACTCTTACTATAGTTTTACTAAATTCTGTCTAAATCGGTTCAGCAGTGTAAGGATAAAGAGGTAACAGACAGATATTGTAATGTAAGTATGGATAGTAGTAACCTTTTTTCAGTAGTAAGAGATAGACCTTTTAGAGTTTGGTTTCATAGATATTTTTGTTTATTCTTCAAAATTACAATCAAGTTTACAAACGCCTATTCTCATCTTACACACAGCCAACCCTAGCTAACGTCCTTTATATGTCAACAGATTGAAATACATTTTCCGACTTCTTGAATATTTAGCAAAATTATCAATTACAGGTATTTTCGTCAAGATAGTAAGTTGGCTACCACTATTTTAGATACTACTTACCTATTTTGCACACTATAAAAATATAACTACTTTATATTGTATAAGTTATTTACGGAATTGTTACCATGTACCTTGTTTTTAGTGAGTTTCCGATATTTCGGCACTGTTGCAAGCGCGAAGATGAAGGAGTAACTGAAGTAATTGCGGGTAGGCTGTTATTGGCAGACATATCGGTGTACCCTCCGACGAAGTCTTTTATTGCGTTCGATACTCGTACCACTGTTCACATTCCCACTATTCACTCGAAACTGTTCTCGACACACAACACTTAAGCCCACCATTCACTACACGCACCGCGAGCCGAACCCCGAGCCGTACCCATCCGTGGACAAATCCGTCATTGCCCACACACTACACGAGCGTCGAGTTGCAGTCCAGTCGCTTGTGTACTTTGGTGAGCCTCGCGCTTATCGTTCTTCCCTACCCTACCATGCCACCGGTGCTTTCCAAATGCACAAAAGTCGCTTTAGTAGTCGGTGCAATACTTTTAACGGAGAATAAAAAGAAAAAGAGCGTCTGAACAAAGGAATGGCTGAAACAACGAACAAAATATACTCATTTAAAATTTCTGCAATGCATTCAGTCCTGTAAACCACCTGTTTCTCTTTAGTTTTCTCTTTAAACAGCAGGATAAATTCTTGCCAAAACTCTTTATGATCGCCGAACGACATGTTAGTATACTCGTTTACTCGTTCGTGATACAAACAACACAACTGCAGGCCAATTATGCTCGCTAATTGTGAAATTGTTTTGATGTCAATTTCACATTACGCAATTTACGCATTATGCTCTCCGAAAAATGCGATATCAAAATGACATCAACTTGACATCAACTTTAAAATGATATCAACATAAATGCGTATTACGTTCAACTTTTTGACATAAAACAGTATCGCATAAACGTCAAAAATGTGATACAGACTTAACAAGTTAGGAGGTGGTTTTTCTGCATCAAATTTCTTTATTTTTTAATAAAAAAGAGTCAAATGGCTCGTTTCGTGTTAGTAATGGACTATTTAGAACGTGCTCATGCCGAGGACATGCGTAGAAGAGATAAACCCCTTATAGAAGAGATACAATTAGCTCTTTATGTTCGCTAATTGTGATATTGTTTTGATGTCAATTTCACATTACGTATTATGCTCTCCGAAAAATGCGATATCAAAATGACATCAACTTTAAAATGATATCAACTTAAATGCGTATTACGTTCAACTTTTTGACATAAAACAGTATCGCATAAACGTCAAAAATGTCAAATACAGACTTAACAAGTTAGGAGGTGGTTTTTCTGTATCAAATTCCTTTTTTTTTAATAAAAAAGAGTAAAATGGCTCGTTTCGGGTCAATTTCACATTACGTATTATGCTCTCCGAAAAATGCGATATCAAAATGACATCAAATTAAGCGTATTATGATCTACTCTTTAAAATGACATTAACTTGATATCAACTTAAATGAGTATTATGTTCAACTTTTTGACTTAAAACATTATCGCATAAACGTCAAAAAAGTGATACAGACGTGATACAGAATTAACAATATAAGAGGTCGTTCTGCGTGCACGCACTACAAATGACTGACAAGTTCGCCGACAAATCTGTGCAAGCACACACACGTACGGATTTGTACGGCGCGGCTGGGGTGCGGCGCGGCGCTCGCGTCTCTCGACGGCGAGCGCCGCGCCGAGCCGCGAGCCGCACTCACCAATACATTCACACGCGGATTTGTCCGCGGACTTGTCGCCAGCGACAAATCCGGCGGATTGGCGCGCCTGTGAATGGTAGGCTTTACAGTATCGGATCGCGACATGGCACGTTTTTTTTGTACTCTTTTTTTTTTAAGTGATAACTTCTTTAGCGGCGTTGTACACTTTTTTTGTATGGGTACAAAATTTTAAACTCGCGTCAGGACACATGGCGTAAGACGAAAACATATTATATTGAAAGTCAACACCTTTCCAATATAAAATTGGAATTTTACAAAATATCAAAAATGCACAACAATTCAAGTTTTCCCTTCTGCTGGCACTCCCGGAGTGCAACCCGTCGTTTTTTTTTTACTTATATTACTATACTTTCCTTACATTTATTATACCTTTTTTGTTAAGGACAATCAAGTGGTCCTCCGAGCGTGTGAAGGCATAATGATTGTGTCCTCATTGCCCGAGGATGATATAGCCAACTTGGTGACGAGCTGCAGTCCCGCGTGCGAGACTTTGGTCGGCAAACTGGCGGCCAAATACAAGTGTGTGCCCGCCGGCACCGAACCCGCTGACGTGGACCGACTCAATATCACATGGGCGTGAGTGTCATTAATTTAATTTGTATCACTCGGATTTATAACCTCTCGTTGGGTCGCGAGACCGCGCCGTTCCCGCACGTCGTTTGCCGCACGACCCGTTGGGCGGGAATGATTGGATTATTTTGGAGATTTCTCTGTTATTTTGTAAGAATACCCTACGCAAACTGATATATATTTGGATATTCTCCATAATATTTTCTATAAAATAGTGTCTTCATAATTTGTCATTTCTATAATCTATTTTAATTACGTTACGGTAAACTGGGGTACGGTATGGTACGGTAAAAATAGGTATATTTTCGAAATTTGAAAATTTGTATGTCCAGTGTTTTTGGTTATTTGTACATTATAGTATAACTACAAAATAAAACTATAAAATACCATAGTCAAAAAAATGCCTTTAATCCCTTCTAAATGTCTGACGCGCTTGAATATTCTATTTTAGTATTTTCTACCCCTTCGTACGGCCATTCCCACACCATGAATACCTGCGAATTAATATTTTTCGTCATCAAAAACGTAACATGAACCCTCCAGTATATATGATTTTTGAATTTCAATTTAATCCTATCAACGATATTAAATACCCTAGATACATCACGTGCGCTCAAAATGTGTCCCAATCAAATTTTGTTTTAATACTTACTATAAACTGATACTGATAACGGTTATATAGCAGTCTCTATATATATAATGTTTTTCTCGCGGTCCGTACCTGCTATATTGCTAACAGCGCATTCAGAATTGCGCGTAGAGTCAAAGAAATAAGGTCTATATTCTGCCGCATATAGCAATAAGTCGTAAAATTTTTAGATTCAAACTTTTCAAGCGTTAAAGTTGACTTCCAATGGTTAAATAATGATTTATATATATTATTTTTGACAACGCGATCATATTACGGTGCTCCGTGGATTGTCCAATGTACCTTTTGGACAGGTTTCGGCCACGATTTTGTATCTTTTTTTTTTGCATAAAGGGCTCAGGTATGGTGAGAGTACTTAACAAGGTGTAAAGTTGCTCTCATTTTGTTATTCTGCCGCGCTTGAGTAAATCCCACAATCCCCGCTTTGGCTCCCGTACTAATAGAATTTATATTATTTCAGGTATGTGGCTCAGGATTATGGTGACAAAGCATTGAATAAATTCCATGGCTACAGGGAGTTGACGAGTTTCTTTTCATGGCTGGACTACTGTGATACTCTAATGAAGGTAATTTAACTTATTACATTTTTTATAATAATCATGGGCGTAGGAAGCGATCGATTTTGCAGTATATGTTTTTTAACGAACCTTAATTTAAATGAGTTTGTAACGGGTTGCCTAAAAATGCTGCAAAAACCTTTCATTAAATATTGTGACATCCATATATTTATGTAATTTTAGGTTAATAAGGCATTTGACAAGTTTTAGAAAACGATCTCACGTTATTGACTAATGTTTATGGAGTCTGTAGAAAGTGGATATTCATCATTCTGTTGTGTATTTCAGTAAAAATAATTAAATCAAAAACTCCATTTTCAAGTTGCCGCGAAAACGTTTCTCTGAACAATATGACATCTTACTAGTGTGTGAAGTCACCAACTGTTATTAAAACGTCAAACGATACAATGTTATGTCACTTTAACCGGAAGTTCACTTGCGTGTGACGTCATTTTAGGCTCCGCCAAACCCGAGCGTTTTGGGTCACGTGACAATAGATAAGAAAACTATTATCTTTTTCGTGGGTTTTTAGTAAAATTATGAATATTTTTTTTGTAAAAATAGTATAATCCCCTGCCAATATTCATTCTAAACACAGATGCTAACAATTGGCACTTAATTTTTAATACTGTCAAATACCCTATTGAAAGGAAATTATGTGAAGAATCAAAAAAATCAATAGTTGCCAACTCTCAAATGATCAATATTTTAACGTACCTACATGTTTACACCTGGCAACCCTAAAATTGTTCCTTAAAATATAATACCTTACCTACCTACCTTTCCTTTTACGTCTGACGTGCGGCTATCAGCTTTTTTCTCTTAGGAATGCCACCCAACCATTGCGACGCATCTCTCTCGAACTTTCCGGCAGAACTTTCTAGAAGGCACCGTAGAAGTTGGAGTTAGCGACTTCCACCACGCGGCTCTGGTGACAGCTATACTGGCCAAGTGTTTGAAAGTCATCGATTCGCCGGAACTCATTAATGGTGAGCATAAAACTAATTTATTTTTTAATTTTTATATTTTAAGCGATGGACTGTTTGATTACTAAATCTAGAGAAAATTTTACTAGAAAAAAATCTAGCCTGTCTAGGTATCACCATATATTTTGAATATTTGTTTTACTACTATTTGTTGTATTGGTTAGAGAAGCAAAAGAAAAATATATTTACATTCTGTGAAAATATCCTACGTTATAGAATTTAATAACTGAGCAGACTATCCTTTTGATATAAGGTTTAAAATTCTTAGTGTGGTATAGCAGTACTAGAGTATTCAACAAAAAAATATTTTGCTATTTTAACTTTATGTAGAAGATTTCAATTTCACATATTACAATTTTTTTTTATTCTGAATATAGGTTTTGGAATTTGAGAAGCTAATCTGTATTAGACAGTTTTACTTTTTATCATAGGTTTTAGACGGGTCAATAGAATTTCCTGTACTGTATGTAAAGTATTATTTAAATCTAAAAATTTTTTCACTAGAACAGATTCCACTCGGGCCAGGCGGCAGATGGGACTCGAACCCGCACCCTTCGCTATCCGGGTGAATGCATTGATCATTGTGCTACCACGGTCCTGATAGCTGTGTCGAATTGTCTCTAGTATTTCAGTATCACTGCATTGTAGGTAACCCACAACGTCAAATGAATACCTCTACAAGTATTAAACATTTGAAAGAAAAAATATCAATTAAAGTTAAACTTTAATTTTTTAAGCATTTAACTGCTAAGATGTTTGTAAGAAATGAAAATTTGAATATAAAAAAAACCATGCGGGCCCAGCAGCATGGTCTGCTTAGAAACATCTAGCAGTTAAATGCTTAAGAAATTAAAAATATAACTAAATTATTATTTTTATACGGGGCAATGTAATATATACGAGCTTATGGAATACTAAAATGTAGTATGAAAGTGATGACCGGTGGAGTGGGAGCCTGATGATCTGTAAGACAGGTTTCACAACGTAGTGCAAACACCAGTCTCAGGAAAGATTAAATTATTTGTTAATTATACTTTGTACTTTATCACGTAAGACTTTATAACCTTCTCGAGAAAAATAAATAGATTATTATTAAAAAAAATGTTAACTTCAATAGTAGGTACATTATATATGTTTAATCTATAGAATTCTCCAATTGGTTGGTTGGTGACGGTGAAGTTCCGGAATGGCCTCTTCTGCACAATCTCATTAGCAACTGTCTGACGGACAATTACGACATCACTTTGGAGACGTTACAGTTCTTTCAGGTAAGTATTTTTTAAATATTCGCCGGTTATAAATAAATAGTATTTTTTTAAGATTAATGTTACTCTTTTTAGTAGTCCTACATTTCTATTCCTACCACCAGTACATTATTAATGAGAAGAAGAATTGGCGAGAAAAAAATAAATATATTATATAAATACTAATGACAATAACAAAATTATATGCTGCTTTAGAATAAATACAGTTGTATTAAAAATAATAATAAAATAGTTATATAAAAAGAATAATGGCCTTGTGAATTTATTCACTAATGGCCAGTTTGAAGCTCTTATAAACGGTAAGGATAATCGGGTTCTGTACCCTTAGCACGAACCAATATCGAATTCGTAGCGTTTGCGAGTCCGAAATGTCATTGTCAAATGTGTACTGATTTTTAGTACTCGTTACGTGCTTTGTGGCGCTGCTGTTCAAGTTTCCATACAAACTTTGACATTGACATTTAGCGCTCATAAACTTCGAATTCGATAATGGTTCGTGCTAGGGGTACTGTTGCCTCAGTAACACTTGTTATTCAGCTTTATTGCTTAGATATTTTTATTGTTGTGTCCATAATAATAACTTTGCTAAGAATCAGAACCAGATTATCCTTACCTTTAAGTAAGTTTTAACGTAAGTTTAGGTATCTACTTATTTTCGAGTGTATACTACTACTACTTTGGATTTTGTGCCATAATCTATATATATAAAAATCAATTGCTGTTCGTTAGTCTCGCTAAAACTCGAGAACGGCTGAACGGATTTATCTTATCTTGGCCTTGAAATGTTCGGGGAGATCTAGGGAAGGTTTAAAAGGTGAGAAAATATGGAAAAATTGCGAGGGAGGTAGTAAAAACGTCAATTTAATTTTCCCATATAAACTGTTCTATCTTCTTTCCTGTCAAACATTTGACGTTCGTCCCTTTTGGTACGGCTGACTCGGGTCCGTCATTTCTTCCAAATTATTTTAACCCGTACGACGTACGCAGGGTCAACTAGTTCGTAATAAATTCTTGTTTTTTTGACCAGAAATTTAAATATGAATTCCCTTCACAGACAATAATAGAGAAAGGAACCGAGCACAGTATACACAGGCTCGTTTTGACACGCGTCTGTTCCCGCGGATATTATTCCATACAACCACCGATGGAGGAAGACGAGCGAGACAGACTGAACGACGTCTCCTTATGGAGGGAGCGAGAGAGAAATAGGTATGATACCTTGTATTCAAATTGCATTTTTTTTGTTTAAAGTTGTTGTACCTGTATCATTCTAATCTATATAAAATTCTCGTGTCACGGTGTGCGTAATTAAACTCCTCTGAAACGACTCAACCGATTTTCGTGAAATTTTATATGCATATTCAGTAGGTCTGAAAATCGGACAACATCTATTTTTCATCCCCCTAAATGTTAAGGGTAGTTAACCATTAAATTATATTTTATATGTTTGTGTGTGTTCAAAATTTTCACCCTTCTACCACCCATATTTTTATGGAATACGAAGTTCGCTGGCTGAGCTAGTAATCTATAATATACCTGTAATCCATTAAGAAAGATTTAACATTTTAAATAAACCAGCTAGTTTAAATTTGTTTTTGTATATTAGTATTTGCTGATGCTGATTTTTTAAACAAAATTTCTATATCTATATTCACTTTAATTCTGAGGGTGCGAACTGATATGATTGTTTTTCTTTTAAATTATGCTTAGAACGGGATGTAATGAAGGATATTCTATAATGAGCTGGCGAACAAAACGGTATAATTACAGAAAATTAAATTTTACAGGAGCTGGATAAAACTGAATGAAACACCTCCAGTGAGCTTTTGGCATGGTTTTGAATTTATAAATTTATTAATTTTAACACTGTTTTAGGCGGTATTGATTTAAAAGGATTTAAGATTCAAATTGAACGGGCTCGAAACTTCTGGACTGTAATTATACCGTTTTCTTTGCCTGGTTACTTATCACAACTATTTTCTGACAACTTAAGATCAATTCTAGTAAATCCCAAAAGCATGCGTATCTTATATCCGTACTCGTAAAGTTAAATTATTTAATGCTTCGTTTAGTCACATATTAGCGTAGATTATGGCATGATTCTCTAAACTTAAAACTAAAGTTAACATCTCAGTCTCTCCTTGTTATTCTGTATATACAATGACAAAAATACACTGTTGTCAAATTTTTAGAGAATCATGCCATAATCAATGACGTTCTCTCATTAAACTGATGTCGCTAAAAAGTGACAGCATGAACTTTAGTCTCTGAGTTTAGCTTAGTGTAAGTAGATTTTACGCTGATCCCAACAAATACATCTCAAGAAGTAAAATAATCAATTCATATATGGCAGGGAGGCGATGAAACAACTTCAGCACGAAGACCACGTCAACGAACAGATCAACGACATATTGACGCACGAGGGTATCGACACTCACGACTCCGCTGACAATATACATAGAGTGATTAACAGGTAACTGAGTCACAAATGAGGGGTGTACAATCAAAGTTGGTAAAGTCAACATTGCCAAAATGTTCAGTAAACAATGAAAACGATTATTTTAATAATTACAGGTAACTATTCTAATGTTAAACATTATTTATATGCAGAATGTAATACATTATGGAAATACAAGTGTTCATCGCGTTCAGTTCAATACTTTTGAGTATAAGATGGACTTTCCCAGTTTTGTTACCAAGTTTTGGAATTCACTAAGTTTGTAACTGTAACACAACAAAAGAGCATTACAACATCAAAGGCCGCCATGACAGCTGTCAGTTAAATGAAGGCTATGGAGCCTTCCTATTGGTCGAAAATGACTACTCAATTTGAAACTCAACTCACTTGGACTTTACTACGTTTCTTCGTAAAGTCAATTTTCAATTTGAAATAACAGTCGAGATTTCTAGAATTTGTATAAAATTATTCTACGGGATAAATATAGAAAGATACGGAAATGAATGCGTTGTAATTTAAATCTCACTTTTAAAATTTTTTGGACTTTACCAACTTTGATTATATCCCTGAGTATACCCCTGAAATATCAAGTACGAGTCACTAGCCCTAGCGTATACACCGTGAATTTTGAGTTACCCGAGAAAAATTTACTAGCGAATAGGGTATTTGACAAGTTTTAGAAAATGATCTCACGTTATTTATTGATGTTTATGGAGTCCATAAAAATGGATATTTTTAATTCTGTTGTGTAATTCAGTAAAAAACTAAATTGAAAATTCCATTTTGAAGTTGCCGCGAAAACGTTTCTATAGGCATTTTGGCGTCTCACTAGTATGTGACGCCACAAGACTGTCATTAAAACGTCAAACGATACAATGTAATGCCACTTTTGCCGGAAGTTTACTAGCGTGTGACGTTTTAGCCTTGGCCAATCCCAGGCGTTTTCGGTCACGTGACCATGAAACAAAAAAAATTTGTTCTTTCGGAATAGTAAAATCGCTACTACTTGTTGTGGGCCGTTTCCGCACGTAGACTCCGTATTTGGTCCATTGTGCGTGCAGGGTATGTTGGGCTAGCTAGCTCAGCCATCCCAGCTCCTTCCAGAAGCGCAGTAGCCTCCTGGGGCTCTCACAGGCTTCTAGGAGCGTCCTCGGCTTCCTGAGGATTGATGCCCGGTGTTCTGCAACGCTCGTGCATTCCAGGATCACATGAGCGGCCGTTTCATCTGCTTCCAGACATCCTCTGCATAGAGAGCTATCTGTAACGCGTATGGTTAGTAAATGCTTGTTAAGTGCAGTGCCCTGTTATGGTGCCTAGCATTACTCGGAGATCATTTCGGTTAAGATTTAGTAGTTTTCTAGTTAGTCTGGGGTTGAGGTTGGGAAAAATATCCTTAGATTGCCTGCAGCCCTCGGTATTCGCCCAACGGGTGTTATGGTTCTGTGTGGTTCGTTGCCGCACCCATGTACGAAACTGATTGAAAGATAATGGCAGAAGTGGCTCAGGGCCTTCCACTTTCTGTGATGATCCCCTTCTAGCTAGTTCGTCGGCTGCGTCATTACCCACAGAACCGCTATGTCCCTTGATCCATTGGAGGATAACCTTGTTATCCGTTGCTATGTACTCCAATGCCAGGTGACATTCGTAAACTAGCCCAGAAGTTTTGCTGTTACTATCTAGGGCTCTTAGGACAGCCATACTATCAGATAATATACGTATCTTGTAGTTTTTGACTTTCCTATTAATGACAGCGGTGGCGGCCTGAGTAATGGCTATACATTCACATTGGAATATTGAGCTGTGATTACCCAGTGCTGTTGATATATGGATGTTAAAGTCCAGTGGGGAGACTCCTGCGCCTGATCCGAATCCTGGTATTTTGGATCCATCAGTGTAAATGCGTAGTTCGTCTGTGCCCGACCAGTCCTTGTTGGTTTCTAGTAGTTCTATTTGAAATCTTCTATCAAATGTATGAGTAGTCGGGATTTTATCACAGCGGGCTGTTACCATAGGTTGGTATTGTATAGCCCTTTCCAGAATTTTGGAGTGAGGTCCCTGGTTTTCCGTCCACAAGCCCAGATGATACATTCTTAGCGCTGCCATAGTTGCTTCCTGTTGTATAAACAGGTCGAGTGGCGGGAGGTCAAGCGCTATTTCTAGGGCATTTGTGGGTGTGGATTTCATGCAGCCTGTTATAGCAGAGCATGCTAGTCTTTGAAAACGCTGCAGTTTATTAATTGCGGTGTTAAGTTCGGTTCTAGGCCACCAAACTATTGCACCGTAGGTGAGTGGTCTGATTATGGTTGTGTAAAGCCATTTTGTGATTTTTGGTGCAAGACCCCAGGTTTTACCAAGTAATCTTTTGCATTGCCAAAACATGATACAGGCTTTGTTTATCTTTTGGTCTAAGTGGCTGTTCCATGTTAGCTTATGATCAAGAACTATGTCTAGATATTTGACCTCGCTTGACATAGACAGTTCGGTATTAAATAACTTGGGCAATTTAACGGTATCCAAGTTACGTTTTTTCGTGAACATGACCATCTCTGTTTTGGTCGGATTCACCGATAGTTGGTGTTTAGTACACCAGAAGAAATAAATCGCTACTAATATTCATATTAAATATAGATGTCAACAATTAATACATTATTTTACATACTGTAATATAGCCTATTTGGACAATGACGTAGTTTATAATATTTATTCCAAAAAAAATTATATTTTTTCGAAGTCAATAATTTAGAAACCTTAAAATTTTTATTTGTTATAAATGATTCAAATAGAACTACTTTGAGGATCCACATACTTTATACGGATAATAATATGCAATTCCAGATAGCTATGTTATTTACAAATTTAAGCCATTTATAAAATATATTGTTAACGATATAAATCAATATTTTTGTATGGGGGTGTAGTAAGTTGACTTTTTATCTGTTCTACTATTTTGATTTATACAATATTCTAGTATCACAGGTTACGCAAAATTCTCGGTGTATAGTGCGATTTTAACTCTATGGCGGCTGTGAAGTTAGCAGCGAGTGCAACTTTTAGCAGGTTTAAGTTTAATGACACCATATACAAAGAGGATAACGGTTTATTTACTTAATAAAGATTAACCCAATCCTTGCTTTTAGCTGCCTTCCAAAGATTAACAAAAATTATAAAAAAAACATTATTTTTACAGTATTTCTTAGTAACTTTTTGCAACTAACTGGCTTAATTAAAGTGAAGCAACAAGTTTAAAAAAATCAAACTAAATAAAATAGAAATGAAAATAAATAGAATATTATGCTATGCAAAATTCTTTGTACCTATTTCTAGTTTAATAACCTCGTTTTTACTTTTTTTTCACAATTTACCTAACTTATTTTCTAGGCTTCAGGAGCTTAAAAAACAAATAGAAGAAATAATGGCAAACGAAACTAACATTCTACCAGATGCAGATTAAACTTAAGCTTTGTAAATTTTTGTAATATAATTGATCCAAACGTCCATTGTCATTAAGTTGTTTCACATTTAAGATAAAAACTATGTAATGAAATGCTAAAATATAACTAACTATACATTTTGTAAAATACGAATTGGGTTGCGGTGTATTTAATATTTTAATAATAATAAAAACCATTATCATGTCAGCTTTTTACCAGCAAACGTTCCATTTTGTAGAGAAAGAGTGGTTCAAAAGATACATGTACTGACGAATTGAAAACAACCTCTTTTTCGAAGTTGATGAATGAATAGACATTAATCTCTATCTAATGTATTTTTTTATTGAGCATTAATATTTTGTTTAAGAGTTAACATTTCAAACACATTTCAACAAATATCTCATTTTTAGTTTTATTATGTCATATTATAATGTTACCAAAAAATATTTGGAGATTACAGGGTTTGCTTTTTTAATATAATCATTACAGAAGCCATATTAACAGATGAAATAAAATAGCTTTGGACGATTAACATGGTTGGAAATATAAATTCAAGTAAGGGCTCAAATGGCTGTGACAAAACGATACTAAAGTGGCACAAGCACTTTTTTTTAACTTTAGTTTTCTATCAACCTAAAAGTAAACCCAACGATATTTTGTTTTAATATGTATATTATGTTTAAAGTTACATTAAGTAATATTGTACATAAAAAGATAATATTAAGTACATATATATAATGAAGGACAAATGTCCATTGAGTGATAGCTGTTTTGCCAGTGATTTTTATCATGTTACTATTAAGTAAATATCGTATACTTCCGCCTAAAAAAGGAATCTAAATTCTTAATACACAAACATATTGGGATATGGAGAAAAGGGAGATCGGTAATTGAATAATCTCACAAAATTTTACACGAAAATGCATAGTTCAAAGTAAGTAGATTCGAAGTTTTTATAATTTAGTTTGGATAATGATTCTAAGAAAAATACTAGATTTTATTCAAGTACAAAGTTTGCCATTATAGTTGTGATAACATGGAGTAGCTGATTTATTTTTATATGGGTTTTAGTAATTTTAATAATTTTCTTATATCGTCAATTTGATATGAATGAATAAGAATTTCGAGTTGATTTGGTTTCGTCACAGTGGCCGGTTGCAATATATTTAATGGTTTAAATAATATCAGCTATGTTACCCAAGACACTGAGTCACTATAAAATGTAAAATAATTATTTGGGCTAGAAACAGTCTTCCAAATTGAATTCTCTCATAAAATGAATGAAATATTAAAGCGATAATTCAAAATCTCAGGTATGCTCATAAAACATAATGTTATGTACAGGATTTTATAACAAATATACACGACAGATTTTAATGGATTTTGTATATTTATTTGTTTTGTTTTTAAGTATAGGATATATTCTAGTAAATTTATATCTCAAATAGTGTTTTTACTGAGGTAAAAAGGATACACCAAAGCGAATAGAAAAAAATATATAGCTACATAGTTCACATTCCGTTTTTATAATGAATATTTAATTACAATATTTACCTTAATTCCCAGGGGGCCTACCGCCTATCTGGATTGCTAAGGTTATAGCTATAGCTTATGATTTTATTATACGCTCATTTTCTTTAATATTGTTATTACCAATCCAAAAGAAAAAAGAACGCGAGGCATCCGAAAACCTTCGGCGCCGGCGGTCAGAAATAATAAAATGAATTCATAAGCTATACCTATCGCCATAGCAATCCCGAAAGGCCTATCGGATCGCCGGTAGGCCGCCCCCAGTAAATGATGCTCCTGGTAATACTTAATAAAAATAACCAAAACTTTAAAACACCGACTGTGATAGAATGTCATGCTCTTTCGCTCTGTTGTATTCAAACTTAAACCAATTTGGTTTTAAAAAACGAAGCAATTAAAAGAAAGTATACTAGAAAAAATTCGACGCGGACCAGGCAGCAGACGGGACTCGAAGCCGCATCCTTCGCTATCCGGGCGAATGCACTGACCATTATGTTACCGCGGCCCTGACGGCCGTGTCGAATTTTCTCTAGCCTTAGGCTGCAAGGCGGCGCCATCCCTTCGCATTGCAGGTAACCCACAATACGGGGTTCGAGTCCCGTCTGCTGCCTGGTCCGCGTGGATTTTTTTCTAGTAAACTTTTCTTTAGATTTAAACAGCAATTAGTTTGTAAGTTTGTTTGTGACATACCATTGTACAAATTGGACATTGATTAAATGTGTTGTGCCTAATGAATGTGTAGTTTGATTCGGTCCCCGTTGTTCGCAGCTTCCTGCTGCTGTTGCCGCGCGCGATTCTGTCCGATCCGGTGGGCGCGGACTATGAGCACTATATACACGACGCGCATAGACATTACCAGGTAAATCTATATGGGGTAGTAAACGTAATAGCTATTTTCTTTGATGTGTAACATCTTTCCTCTCGCTTTCCTGCAATTTGTGGGAGTGATTTCGTGAAGTGGGACGGAAGTGTGTAACAGGAAGTCGTGAAAGCGCGCGCTATTTGATTTCATTTTAGAACATAATATTCAAATGGCTTATTCCTTTTGTAGTAGGTTTCATTTCTTTTTTTACTAATATAGGGTGAGGTTTCAAATGTTACACATCGTACGCGAATACGTAAGGCTCACTTGTTTTTTATATTCACAGTGCAAACTCACAGTGCTGCCATCTTTGTCATAAGGGCTTATGTCGCTATTTGAAAGAATTATACAATGCTTAGAATTGGTAAAGAACACATGTTTATAGATTATAAAGGGTATCGCTCGAGAGTGCATAGTACCCTATAGTCGAAACTGGATCTTTAACAAATAAAAGTATTTTTTAAATATTTCAAATTTGGTTATATTTACTAACAAAAATAAACCAAAGTTAAAGAAAATATAACTAGAAAAAATTCCACGCGGACCAGGCAGCAGACGGGACTCGAACCCGCACCCTTCGCAATCCGGGCGAATGCACTGACCAATTATGCTACCGCGGCCCTCACGGACCGCGTCGAAATTCTTTCTAGCTATTCTTAAGCTGCAAGGCAGCGCCATCTCTTCGCATTATAGGTAAACCCACAATGTCAAATGAATACTTTTACAAGTATTAAACATTTGAAAGAAGAAATAGCAATTATAGTTATAATTTTTATTATTTTTAAAGCGTGTAACTGCTTGATGTTTAAATCTAAAGAAAATATAACTAGAAAAAATTCCACGCGGACCAGGCAGCAGACGGGACTCGAACCCGCACCCTTCGCAATCCGGGCGAATGCACTGACCAATTATGCTACCGCGGCCCTCACGGACCGCGTCGAAATTCTTTCTAGCTATTCTTAAGCTGCAAGGCAGCGCCATCTCTTCGCATTATAGGTAAACCCACAATGTCAAATGAATACTTTTACAAGTATTAAACATTTGAAAGAAGAAATAGCAATTATAGTTATAATTTTTATTATTTTTAAAGCATGTAACTGCTTGATGTTTAAATCTAAAGAAAATATAACTAGAAAAAATTCCACGCGGACCAGGCAGCAGACGGGACTCGAACCCGCACCCTTCGCAATCCGGGCGAATGCACTGACCAATTATGCTACCGCGGCCCTCACGGACCGCGTCGAAATTCTTTCTAGCTATTCTTAAGCTGCAAGGCAGCGCCATCTCTTCGCATTATAGGTAAACCCACAATGTCAAATGAATACTTTTACAAGTATTAAACATTTGAAAGAAGAAATAGCAATTATAGTTATAATTTTTATTATTTTAAAGCATGTAACTGCTTGATGTTTAAATCTAAAGAAAATATAACTAGAAAAAATTCCACGCGGACCAGGCAGCAGACGGGACTCGAACCCGCACCCTTCGCAATCCGGGCGAATGCACTGACCAATTATGCTACCGCGGCCCTCACGGACCGCGTCGAAATTCTTTCTAGCTATTCTTAAGCTGCAAGGCAGCGCCATCTCTTCGCATTATAGGTAAACCCACAATGTCAAATGAATACTTTTACAAGTATTAAACATTTGAAAGAAGAAATAGCAATTATGGTTATAATTTTTATTATTTTTAAAGCATGTAACTGCTTGATGTTTAAATCTAAAGAAAATATAACTAGAAAAAGAAATTTTTTTTGAAAATTTTGCTAAGGGTGCGGGTTCGAGTCCCGTCTGCTGCCTGGTCCGCGTGGAATTTTTTCTAGTTATATTTTCTTTAGATTTAAACATCAAGCAGTTACATGCTTTAAAATAATAAAAAAAAATTATAACTATAATTGCTATTTCATCTTTCAAATGTTTAATACTTGTAAAAGTTTTCATTTGACATTGTGGGTTACCTATAATGCGAAGAGATGGCGCTGCCTTGCAGCTTAAGAATGGCTAGAAGAATTTCGACGCGGTCCGTGAGGGCCGCGGTAGCATAATTGGTCAGTGCATTCGCCCGGATTGCGAAGGGTGCGGGTTCGAGTCCCGTCTGCTGCCTGGTCCGCGTGGAATTTTTTCTAGTTATATTTTCTTTAGATTTAAACATCAAGCAGTTACATGCTTTAAAATAATAAAAATTATAACTATAATTGCTATTTCTTCTTTCAAATGTTTAATACTTGTAAAAGTATTCATTTGACATTGTGGGTTTACCTATAATGCGAAGAGATGGCGCTGCCTTGCAGCTTAAGAATAGCTAGAAAGAATTTCGACGCGGTCCGTGAGGGCCGCGGTAGCATAATTGGTCAGTGCATTCGCCCGGATTGCGAAGGGTGCGGGTTCGAGTCCCGTCTGCTGCCTGGTCCGCGTGGAATTTTTTCTAGTTATATTTTCTTTAGATTTAAACATCAAGCAGTTACATGCTTTAAAAATAATAAAAATTATAACTATAATTGCTATTTCTTCTTTCAAATGTTTAATACTTGTAAAAGTATTCATTTGACATTGTGGGTTTACCTATAATGCGAAGAGATGGCGCTGCCTTGCATCTTAAGAATAGCTAGAAAGAATTTCGACGCGGTCCGTGAGGGCCGCGGTAGCATAATTGGTCAGTGCATTCGCCCGGATTGCGAAGGGTGCGGGTTCGAGTCCGGTCTGCTGCCTGGTCCGCATGGAATTTTTTCTAGTTATATTTTCTTTAGATTTAAACATCAAGCAGTTACATGCTTTAAAAATAATAAAAATTATAACTATAATTGCTATTTCTTCTTTCAAATGTTTAATACTTGTAAAAGTATTCATTTGACATTGTGGGTTTACCTATAATGCGAAGAGATGGCGCTGCCTTGCAGCTTAAGAATAGCTAGAAAGAATTTCGACGCGGTCCGTGAGGGCCGCGGTAGCATAATTGGTCAGTGCATTCGCCCGGATTGCGAAGGGTGCGGGTTCGAGTCCCGTCTGCTGCCTGGTCCGCGTGGAATTTTTTCTAGTTATATTTTCTTTAGATTTAAACATCAAGCAGTTACATGCTTTAAAAATAATAAAAATTATAACTATAAACCAAAGTTGCTTCAAGAGACTAATTTACTATAATTATTATAGCTTAGACGTTTATTAGGTCATCCATAAAAACTTAAACACTAAAGGTAGATCCCATATAATTTCAGTTATGGTTAGACATTACTTCTACGTTTAACTGGCCTGAGCAAAATTGGGTAGACACCACAGCCAGCTCCACACACAGCTATGATAGTAGGCCAGAAGCCGACATACATCTCGACGAAGTCTTCGATACAATCAAAGCGGAGCCCAAACGATCGGAGCAAATTGACACCTGCCATCCATACAAATGCCCATTTACACAAAGACTAGTGCACAGAAGCAAAGATACGCCATCGAATAGCACCGAAGAAGAATTCGACGAAGGGCCATTTTTCAAAATGCTTTTCAAACTAATTTTGAACATGCCAAATCAGCCGTACCAAGTGAATTTGCACCTTACTGCCATCATTTCTAAGTTGGCTCTGATACCGCATCCGAATTTGCACGAGTATCTCTTGAATCCGATGTTGCCCACAGCGAAAAAGACGCAGACGCTTTTCAAAGTTTTGCAAGAGTTGGCGAGGAGATTGACTATAGAAATACCGAGGATAAGAAATTATAAAAAGGTGATTGAAAATACCAGGTTGCAGCTGATGAGTGAAGATCCTATTTATGATGAGGGGTGAGTTATTTTGTTATTATTAAGACGGGTAAGACAGCCGATAAAGTATCTTATGTATTAGTTCCCATGATGGATTGGGAGCGAAAGAAATTATGCGATGCGCAAGTTTCTAACTTTGCCCTGCAAATATTAAAGGTGTATTAAATACTTTATTGTAAGCAATGGTCTGGCAACTCGGTTACTATAGTTTCCGAAGAGTATCCTTAAACCAAACAAACATACCGCTTTCATGTTCTGCCAACCCTGATTATAATGACGTGACCGGGGGCGTATTTGAAAATCTGGCGCCCCGGGCTATTTATGATTTGCAACCTCAGGGCATTGCCAAGGGCAATAGGGTAAATACGCCCCTGGTCGTAAGGCTACGTGTTATGCAAAGAGTACTTAAATATCGATACAGAACTCTCTTATCCGAAACAATCAAATCATATACAGGGCGTCCCACGGCTACCTCACACGGAGGGAAAGTGTATTATATATTGAAGATAGGATATTTTACTGAAAGAAGACATCATTTTATTTTTAATAACAACTAGAACTTCATTCATATTTTTTTTTAAATCGCCTCCTACAACTGGGAATCAAACTCGTGAAATTTCGAAAAAAAAACGACCCATTTTATGATAGCCATCGAATAGGTTAATCATAAGGATTATTTTTTGCTTAATAACATAGCATTTTAAATGAAAGAAAAGTGATTAAATTGAACATTTTATTTAAAATTATTTAACACAAACTAATATAAAATCGGATACGCCTCAAAGTAAGTTAAAATGTTGAGTTCATCATTGTTGACGTTTATCATCCGCTGCTGTGGTTTCTGTAAGCGCATATAAAACGTCCTAAATTTCTTAAAGTATCCACTAAACTTTTAAACACATATCGAGAAGGTACATCTCTATCAGGATATATTTCGCGGTACCACCGCAAAGCTAATATTCTTTGTGGTTCATAAAGTAAGCTTTCATTCCCTTTTATTTAAATCCATTTATTTTGATACACCATGGTAAGTAAATTAAAAAAAAATGCATTTAAACGAAAATGAAACTCACAAAAAAAAAGAACAGACTCTTGAAAATTGATGTGTTCCATTTTCGAATTATTATTTTTATAAATTTCAGCCAATCGCATTGTAACTGTGAGTTCAAAAAGAAATGCATACATACTACAGTTTGCATATCACTTTATTATTTTTATCAGATAATAAGACATTCCTTTTATTTAAAATGCTATGTTATTTAGCAAAAAATAATCCTCATGATTAACCCTTTCGACGGCTATCATAAAATATGTTGTGTATTTTTTTTTCGAAATTTCACGAGTTTGATTCCCAGTTGAAGCAGGTGATTATTAAAAAATCTGTAAATGCAGTTCTTATTATTATTAAAAATGAAATGATGTTTTATTTGAGTAAAATATCCTATCTTCAATATTTAATATACTTTCCCTCCGTGTGAGGTAGCCGTGGGACGCTCTGTATAGAATTCATTCAAAAAATCATAATTAACTTAAAAGAATTTGACAAAAACATTAAATAAAAAATTTACAAAAACACAAATAAAAAAAAAACAAAAAACAGTGAGAAAAACAGCTCGTAGTCCAAAAGCGAGTGTTTGGCTCAAAACAAAGCAAACGGATACCAAAAACAAAAACTTATCCCATGTATAATGTAACAACTCAACTCAACTCAACACTTCACATGGGTACTCGTTTTTGGAATTTGTACATTAAGCAGTAGTAAAATTTATTCTTTTCATGTTCTATGGGGAATGAAAACAGCGACGCTGTCAGATATACAAATACCAAATACGAATGGCCATTTGAAGTGCAAAGCAATAACACTGACTTATTTCTGTATTTGTATAGCGGAGACCACAATCAACTGGTGGAGAGTCTGATAGTCCTGGAGGAGTTCTGCAAGGAGCTCGCAGCGATCGCTTTCGTCAAATACCAGCATTCATTGCATATGCAAAGATAATAAAATCATCCAAGCAATGGCCTTATCTTAATTAGGAAACGATCATAATATTTGATACATATAATCATGTGTTAAAAATTATTACGTTATCCAGCACAATTATAGTGCAAATTAACAAATTAACTAGAATATACGGTTAATATTTTGGGATTCAATAAGTTTTAAAATATTTTGAAATCGTCTTAGATATGATTTTTGTGCACATCAATAAATCTGAAGCTATTAATTCACAAAATAAATTATAAAATTTGAATAATAAAAAGTAAATTACTATGTAAATACAATGAAGAATGCATTTAGAAAAGAGTTGATTTAATTAATAACGGTAATTGTAGTGGTAGTACTTAATTTCAAGCCAAATTTATCTGTCCAGTGTATAGTGCGATTCAAACTTTGGCGGTTATGATGTTATCTGTTGCCAGTCCTAACAGGGTGCCACAACTCTCGACACACATTCTGAAGACCCGGGTTCTCAAAATGTGTGTCGAGTGACCGCTGCAAGAGTGGAGCATTGTCTAGTTTTTAGCGGGTAAGGCTCATTCAGCTGAGCAATATGGTCAATCATACTACCGCAGAGCCGAAGTGCATCGTAGCGAATTTTAGAAACAGTGACATAACAAATTCACCCCGATCTCCGCAACGTACTGCACATATTTCTTTTAAGCTGATAATCAGCGGGACTACAGAAAGAATATATACATTACATTGCGCAGATGATGGTGAATTTGCTTTGTTACGTTTCTGAAATTCCCTTCGATGTGCTTCGACTATGTGCTAGTATGAATTGATCAATAGAGTGAGTTGCATGAGATGAGCGGCGGGGAGTCTCGCATACCCCGGTGCCGTATAAGAATAGAGTAGGGGTAATATAGACTCTACTACAAGTGGAAGTTACCCTCTAATAGAAAGAGAAAGAAGATGAGAGACCGCCAGCTTTTCTCTCTAATCGAGCATGCGCATTAGCAACCGTAAGCATATTACTATTTCGATGTGATGCCATTGGATGTCATGCGTCACAAGAGAGAGAGATAGCTAGCGGTCTCTGATCTTCTTTCTCTTTCTACTAGACGGAAACTTTTAGAGGAGCCTTCCCCACTCTATTCTTTACCTCTATGGCTGCTACTCCCAGTGGGCGGGGAAGGCTTCAAGCTTTTTCCAGACAAGGTTGCGAAGTTAGCAGCGAGTGCAACTATCAACAGTTTGTTCAGCAACATCCACCCCGGGCTCACTTACATTTCGTTTTCTGCACCGCGATTTACGTTAACTACACAACCGCCATTAACTTTGAATTAAATGTCGCAATTTGGAAGAAACAAACCTTATTCATTTGCCCGTGTTTAAATCACATTTCATTATTTATTTATTTTCCATGTCAGAACAACAACAACAACGCAAATTGTAGTTGATCTAAATCTGGCGATTGTTCAATAATTATGTAATGGTGTACAAATTAATTGGAAAATATATATTAAATTATAAATGCCAAAATTTAATATAAAACATAAATATGTAAGTATACATAACACATATATATTATGTTATGTGATAAAATACATATTGATTCATATGATTTTTTTACCATATCCTATGGTATTTAAAATTAATCATCAGTTTGTATTATTGTTAAGACTGCGTAATAACATTGGGAGTTGCGTCATTACCTCTAAGTCTTCTTACAGCCAGTTTCAATAATAATAATTTCAATAAATCTCTGGTACGAGGTAGGTCTATTAGAACTTTGTTGCCCAGAAAATATAATTTATTTTAGATTAAATACCTGTTTTAAAAACTAAACCAGAATAAGCTGATATTTTACTAGAGATCGAATTGTTGAAGCTGGCCGTTAGTCTCGCTGTACGCATTGGGCCAAAGTATAGTACCGGTTTAAGTCATCGTCTTTTTTTATAAAATATTGCCAAGACACTGATTTGACGACCAGATGTTTGCAAACTATTTATGCGTTTTCAGGTTCTACCCGTTGACCTAGTAAGCTAGGCAGAATGTGTCCAGCAGTTGCAAATATGTGCAATAAGAGCAAGCGCACATTGACCCACTAATCGCGAACCGTAGTAGCTCAGTCACGCCTCTTCTTTGATGGCTGCATCTAGTCGCTTGACTGAACCACATGTGTTTGGGTTTAGTGTCTGAATATGCACTTGCTCTAAATTTAACTTTTACTTTAATTAATGTATATAAAATAAATAATTATTTCATACGTGGGAAAGAGATTCTAGCCAACTATTTGAAGAGGATCGCAGAATAGTTAAACTTATACTCCTGGAGCGTGATGATATTCATATTTTGATTCACCATTTTAAACTCGCTGTATAGTTTCACCTTCTATAAAAACAATACAAAAGATATCTGTATAGTTACAACTCATATCACGACACCTTTTATCATTTGAAAGATATTTACTTTTGCAAATTGTCCCTACAAAGCTAAAAAAAATGACAATGTGATATAAGGCATCTCTTTATCAAACATGTAAATGTATGAGCGGAAATTTTAAAGATAGCAGACTCGAACTCAGAACCCCAGTGTATATAGATAGTGGCAAACTTGAGCAAAACTAAGACAAATGTACTTGCGTAGGTTTTTGTATGTAAAATTGCTACTGCGTAGAATTCTTTTACTGTGGTCGATGCTCGAGAAGTTTATCGGAGGGTCTAATTAAATAAAGCTTTAATGGATTCTTGAAGGAACATAAATATAACGTCAGATAATAAACTGATGTCTTCACAGCACGCAATTAAGTAAGGTAATAATTTATCAATTCTTGTTTAGTAAATTTATATACTCCCGGACACATCACTTAAAGAGTATGTTACTGTAAATTCATTCATAATGTACTAGTTACCCGCCTTCGCTTCTACATGTATTATACTTATTTATAAACCTTCCTTAGGCGCGTTTCTCACCAGATCATTTCGTTTCTGTACCGAATCTGTACAGATTTTTTTACCAAGATCCACTTCTTGACCGGCTCGGTGGTAAAACTGCCCAAGAGGTGAATGGTTTTTTTTTAGAAAAGGTCTCTTTTAATAGGGTTTTTTCTGGCGCTTCGCTGGCTTCGGCACGCTCGCTTTGCTCGCTCGTTACGGCCACTACACCAACCTAACCTTACCTAGTGTGAAGTATCACCGCTTGAGCCCTGGAAGTACAGTTTAGCCGGCTCGGTTACGTTGCTGCATCGTTTCGTTTTGTGCGGTGTTTGGCATTTGTTATAATGACGTCACGTCGGGCGGGCGTTAGGTACAGAGGTGTGTATGCATTCGGTAAAAAATCTATACCGAAACGACTCGGTGAGTAAGCTGAAGCTCTCTTATATGCACTCGGTAAACACTGTACAGATGCGGTAAAGAAATGAAAACGAAACCATACCGCACCGAACCGGTGACAAAAGGATCCAATTAAGTGATCTGAAAAACCATCCATGCGACTTTGAGGTCATTGCAAACTTACATATTATAAACAGAGAGTAAGTTGGGTGCGACTATGTTTTTATCTAATTTATAAAAATGATGTATTATAAATTACTGTTTACCGGTAAGGTGTTGAACTTACAGAAGTTTCTTTGCACCTGTTAAATGAGTTATTTTATATACAATTTCGAAAGAGTTTATGAAATTTTAATGATAAGGCTGCCTGTCCACTGGAGCGGAGCGAGGCTGCGGAGCGGAGATTTCTCCGCAGAAATATTAACCAATAGGATTGCATATAATCTGTCTACTGAAGAAGAGCATTGTCCTTTCTCCGCTCCGCAGCCTTGCTCCGCTTCAGTAGACAGGCAGCCTTATTGTTGCTAATGCTGAGAACCCATAATATCTATTTTAGTGTCAACTGCTGTTTTCCTTAAGACATTTTGTAATGTCCAGTCAATAATTCTAGTCTTTTTATTATTATTATTTTTATAAATAAACATTCCTTTTAAGTTATTATTATTATGCTTACTATGTTTATTTTAGTTGTAACTTCATTGGCCAGTTTTACAAAATGGTACAAAAGGAGGACTTAAATATAATAGCGTTCTCCACCAGTCTATCTTTGGGAGAAAGTTTTCTTGCTACTGGTTTTATGTTACTTTATTATGTTTTGCGCACAATACTATTCTATTCAATATAATAGTTGACTGTAGTTAATTTATAAACAACGCCTGTTAATAAAATGTTTGAGAATTTCTCGAGTGTTTCATTTCCCGTATTATAACTCGACATTACGAGGAACAAATAAAAACACAATACACAAAATGCAATGGTGATTATATTTATTTTTTCGAAAATTAAATAATGCATAATATAAACATGAAATAACTATTAAACAAAAACTTTTAAAACTATGTACAAACATGGAACTATACATTTTCGACTTTAATCATTTGCAGGAAGGTATTATTTATGGTTGTCTAGGCTAGTCGTACTTTTAGGGTAATAGGGATTTTAAGAAAGAATTTTAGGGCATATTTACTTATAGGCAATTACAAAAAACTGCGGTTGTGGACAGTTTACTTTTAAGGTATGAGGAAACGGTACAGCATCGTTCGGCGTTCCCCTTGTAATCTTCGATGCGTTACAATTCCGTTCCGATGCTGATTATTTTGAAATGCAGCATAGAATTTCATAGAAATAATACCGCGAGGTAAAGCAGTGCTCATTCGTTTCCTATCTGATATTTTATTTGTGTACCAAACTTTATACATAGCATTTAGAATATCAGTAACGCAAGTTCTTATAACCAACATTTTATAAAATAAAATAGCTGCCAACTTCTTAAATAATAACTGCGCTGCATTAAGTTTTTATGTCGTTTCATAGAACAGCGCTGCAACGGGAGGCCCGCCTCACGCAACGCTGGTCCATGAAATAATATGTAACAAACACGCGGAACGGACGTCCGCTCCGTGCTCCCGCTTAACGCAGCGCAGGTTCTAAATTAGTTTTATCACATTACAAAGAACTTCTAGTCATAAAATAAATCCTGTTGTATTCCTTTTACATTTTATTTATACAGTCTACAAACCATCAGGGTTGTTCGAAGGCAAAATCCATGTACTTACAAACTCACTAACGTGAGAATGAAATTTTTGAGATTTGACAAAGAATTTCAAACTTTTTTGTACGGAAGCTGGCATAACGATATGCGGGTCGATATGCCGGGTCGATTATATCCCCTTTGATATGGCCTGATCAAAGTTATAAAATATTTTTTTTTTTAAAACCTGAACAATATTTATTTACCTTTCTGCAAATTGTTAAAACGAATTTCAGTCACATCACAACATTCACACATCCCTCTCTGTATAGGTTCATAATAATACATATAAACAGATATATTTTTAATTACGACTTATTGTATGAAAATTTAAGTTCACTTTTAATCACAAACCGTTAGAAAAATTAACTTCCATATTAAGGTCTATAAATTTACAAACGTGTAAGTTTTCATACAATCAATCGCTTGTTTTATTTATTTACTTTATCATTATCATAATTGTTTTTAATTTAACTAAATGTGGTATCTCGATACTTGTACACAATATTCAGAATAATTTAACAAAAGATTGTACTATGCCTCTTTATACAAGGCTATTTGGCGTGCACAAATTGTGCTGCTCCAGGTAACATACAGCCAGATTGATCTGTTATATTAAAAGTAATAATTACCTACCTATAGTATTATTTGCGTGGCTTATTGGAGGTCATGATACTATCTACCGACTGTAATTTCGGCTGGTTTCGAGGATTTTATAAATCATTTTTATTTTCATATTAGCGCAACGTAATGTTATTCGTAACAAATACAGGTGCCAATCGCCTAACGGAATTGCTATGGCTATCGCTATCGCCCATGATTTCATTTTGTTATTTCTCACCGCTGAGTTTTCAAATACCTTACGCTCATTTTCTTTAATATTGTTGTTACCAATTCAAAAGAAAAAAATAGTGCGGGGCATTTAAAAACCTGCAGCGGTCAGAAATAACAAAATTAAATCGTAAGCGATAGCAATCGCGATAGGCGAATGGCCTCCAGGTCGTATTTCTGGTTTCCATATTAGTAATCAGACTCTTGTTGATCCATTCTACAGTTTAATCGAGATATAAGTTACCGGTTTAGATTTATTTCTTTACGAGAATCATTAAACTAATTTCCAATGATTAAGTAACTATAACATGCAGGATTAACATGTTGCATTTGATTAATGAAATAAACTCAACCTAATTATGAATAGGTTTGATTAAATCCTTTTTTTTTTCAATCTGGCTGTAGTAACGTTACGAATATAAACCGACATTCTTACATTTTTTTTTATTTCGATCAAAACCAACTAGGCACTTTCTACAAAATTCATACATTCTGATGATAGCACTTTGGAAGAAGGTCCTTCAGTTTCTATGATTATAAGTAATCACTTTGAAATAGCTAAAGGTTATTGTAATTATATTTATAACAAATGTTTATGTCATATAGGTACATTTATTTACAACGTAGCCTTTCCATTTTCTTGATCACTTACGTAAGATTTTTGTTCAAAATAATGTCTGTTAAACAAGCGATATGAATGATTTGGGTAAATTAATTTAAGTAGTATCTGGTAACAATTCTTATATTTATTATTAACTATAAGAAATGGAATGACTGTGTTCAGTATCACAAATGATATTTTTGCAAAGGATAAATTAGTTTCGTTCTTTATAAGAATCAACAAAGCAACAAACAGTTCCTAGCTTTTGATGAATGTTGAGAATACGAAATTGCGATTAGAGCACTATTTATATTTGACTAATCCAAAAACGAAAAGATTACTGAAAATTCTGTCTCCCTTGCATTTTATGCCTGAAGGGATCTGCGGAATAGAATGTCATCGTCATCCATTTTGATTTGTTTGAAACATGGATTTTGTTCAACCTTCGGCGAATGGTCATCATTCTAATATTTTTTTAAACCAATAATTGTATGAAAGACTTCTTGCAATATCTTTATCCCATTCAAGTCCTAGTATGTTTCATAAAAAAAGATTATATGATTAAGTGATATTAACATAACTTTGAATACAATGACATAGTTTATAGAATATAATAACGAAAACTATTTTATTGTAATGTTTTCGTTATTATAGGAATAGGAATTACTTATAAGGATAAACTTATTTTATGATATTCACTGGTTTTGTTAATTTGATCGCATCGTCACATTGTTTACCTATATTCTTTAAAAATAAATGAATTATTTTGAACTTATTATATGTAAAAAGATGGATTCTTAGAGATTTTGAATCTAGGAATATTGTTAAGTATTTCTATTTTTCTAGTATGTATGTATGTTTAAATTGTATGTACATGTCTGCCCTAAAAGGATTGGGCATATAATTATATCGACAAACTTTATCTTACCTAACTTATTCAACTGTGTTTCTACCATGTCAGAAACTGAAAATGCAGAAACTATTTAATAACATAAAAATCAAGGTCCTGAAGTGTAATTGTATGGGTGTTAAAAATAATTCTAAACAACATACAAAAAATACATATTTCTTATAATGAAAAAGATGCTTATATTGAAAGGTTATCGAAAATATCGGCTACATTTACGGTGAACTGTTATTTTGGGAACCCTGGACTTAACTACTCGGAAACCCCAAGTTTGAAGTTCATCATCAGCCTATTAATATCCCCACTGCCCGGGCACGGGCCTTTCCTATGTATGGAATAGGGAGTTTGGGCATGCATGACACACCACGCGGGCCCAGTGCGGATTGGTGGGTGCTAACGACTGCAGATGCAGCCGGGACCAACGGCTTAACGTGCCTTCCGAAGCATGGAGGAGCTCGAGATAGTAGATTTTTGGTCACCCAACCAATGACCGACTACTACGAAAGTTGCTTAACTTCAACGATCGCAGCCGAACGCGCTAACCACTTGCGCCATCAAGCTCCTCTGACGGTAAGTTCATCTGATTGCAAATTATTTGCGATTGGAATTGACTCGTTCCCTCTTGATACTACCTACTTATCTCTTATATATTTTCAATGTAATACTCTTTTATTATTTTCAATGTAAGCATCTAATTCCCATTACAGAAAAAAATATAACCTACAACGAACACATATTATTTAGGGCGATTGGCGCAAGGTCACAATTTCGAAAGTATACATTTTCAGACCAGCTGAAAACCCGTATTCCTATACTTTTATAACAAAAATAACATGAGAGATACGAATAAATATTGTACAATAGCTTTATTAGATCTATGTTCGAAAGTAAATTCTATTCTTTCGAACTTAACAAAATAAATTTCTTTCTGTTGTATTTCTAAAGGTTCCAAAATGAATTAGAAGTTGCTTTCTAAATATGATGCCCTGTCTTTATTATATCCAGAATTAATAGTATTGAATCACAAATCGAACAATATTATTATTTACCAGAAAGAAAAAATATATCTGGCAATAATTTGATCAACCTTTTTATATATTTACATACGAAACAAGATATGCAAATAGTAATGAGATCTGCCACTAAAGTAAACCATCTATTTAAATATGTGATTGATTTTACCACGGCAATTACGTTATTTTATAATGGAAGAAATTTATTATTACTCAATATGTATGGTTATGATTTGTTGCAAACGGAAATGTGTAAGTAATTATTTCAAATTGATAATTATTCGTACATTTAATCTTGTTGGAACTTCAGAATTGTTCATACTTTTGAATAGTAGTATCAATTTTAAAATGCGCTAATCTACATACATACATTTATTTTTTGTCGAATCTTCAGGGATCTATCACATGCTATTTTCACCTGAAAAGAGATAAAACATATATCAAATAAAAGTTAACAAGGCCCAGCAAATTACTTTACCCGACAAGATGCCATGTTTGATTCGTGACTATCTAGGCAACTAAATAAAAACAGGTAAAGTTTTAGAAAATAGAAAACGAGAAGAAAGCTTCATTATTTTTGAGTAATGTAGACTTTTCGCTAATAAACTATAATATGTAAATGCAAAATTAACAAACACCGACTCGCGCGAACTTCAGAGCTACCATTAAGTTTAAATCTCACTCTACATACCCGTTGGTTTGCTTCACCACCAGGAGAAGAATGGCGACTTGTGTTGGAACCGTTGCTGAAAGGAGTCGAAGAAACGCGACGACGTCGTACCGCTTTTGGACCTGCGAGACGCGAAAATATGAACGAACGATGAAAATAGGAATTGCTGGTGAAAATTGTGGGTAATGTAATTAAAAAAAATGTCCAAGAAATAAAAAGTATTTGGGGTGAACCACCCTTATCACTTAGGGATATCAAAAAAATTACGTTATACATGGTGAGTTGACTAAAAAGTCCTATTCTCCTACTGAATATACACACAAAATTTCATAATAATCGATCAAGCCATTTTGGATGAGTTTTATTACAAACACTGAGAATTTTGTATATTAGAAGCTGTGATTATTTACTCTTTAGGTAGAGCGTGGCAGATGACGTTGAAAAAAGTTTCTCCCACCTGGTGGGGTCTAAGTCGTTTCCCGTCATTTAGTTTTCAATGCAACCCTGACCGGTACGCACGTCAATTACCGAGTGCCGTGTTGAAATGTGTTTCTTAATAATGCCGAGTTGCCCGATAAAAGTTTTCCGAAATTATGAAACACGCATAAAAACAACGAAAAGAGTCACTTACCATCGCGGTAAGTAACTTATTATTTACCTTAAAAAATAAAAACTGTATCATTAAAAAAAATACATATTTGGGTGATTTGCGCGAGTGTAATATACAAGATTCGCGTGTTTTGTTTTGCGTGTCACGCACACAAGTATACAAAAACTGGTCTGTTTTTATCGCAGTGTTTACAAGGTGACGCTCTATCTAGAGAGTAAATAAACAAAGATTAGAAGAAAGATATTTTACCTCTCCACTATGACGGCGGGCATCTGTACTAATTGAACGGGACTCTTGCCGTCTTTAAGTGCCTGCGTAAGGTTCAGAACTTGTCCTCGCATTACAGACATTTGCCTCTCGAACAATCCTTTGTCGAACCCTTTGTCTTGCTATAAATAAAAAGAAAACGTCTATTTATTGACACAAAATTGAACAGTAAAAAATCTTAATATATATTATATGTAATGTACTTTAAAAGAAATGTCACTATTTAAATCCAAAAGGTTTGCAAAAAGAAAACTGTATTTGATACGTAAATATTTTCTTAAAGGATTTAGAATTTGGACGTTATTTTCCTTTTTAATAAAAAAATATGTCAGTAGAAAATTAACCGGAATCAGGAAAAAAGAGTTAAATTTTATGAAAATATATTTTTATGACATAAAAGAACAAATAAAAATTAAAATATTATTGAAAGGAACTCAGCAATTCAGCAATATTGCTTTATTTATAAGCTTTCATTAAAATGTAAATTACGTTTAATCAATAAGAAACTTTAACACTTACTTTGAATAATAAGTGAAGTTCATCACAGAGCTCTTGTACAAAGTTCATGTCTGATAACAATGGAAGAACTAGTTCCCTGAAAAGGAAAAAAACATGACCTAAACAGATAAACTTCAATAAAATACAAGCTTACTTTAATCAGTACATATTTTCTAACTCTAGTGGCTAACAGTTTCTCCTTATTGCAATTGTGGACTAAAAAACGTAGTAACGGCCTCACTCAGTTATGACAATTTACGTTGAAGTTTTATTAAAGTTGATTTAGTCATTTTTTGCTACACAACTCTTACGGCTGTACTTGAGAGAATTAAAATTCAATTAACTGTCATTTAGGCTCGCTTGCAGCAATTTAACATTATTATATGGGGTACAATAAAGTTTAGATAAATTGAGATTTAGCAAAATTGCTACAAGCGGACATTAAAATCACAAGCTGTTGCATTCTACTTTAATCATACTTAAAACTTAATTTACGTTTTTGAGTGGGGCTATAATTAAACCGTCTCGTATTTTAGGATGTTATGATCTCTGTATACTGACTTGGTCTCGAAATGGAGTAATTAAATGTGCAAAAAAGTGCTCAATGGCGGTCTTATCTCTAAAAGCGATTTCTTCAATCTTTGGATGGAGAGGATTGGATGAAAGTTGGAACCAGCGGAATTAGTAAAAGGAAACAAAGAATTAATAAAAAGAAATTACCAATTAAAAATATACACATACCCAATAATAAGCATAGAAATATATTGGTGGCGATTCTGGCATGATTCTCTAAACTTAAAACTAAATTTAACATTAGCTTCTCCTTTTCATTCTGTATAAAGATTGATAAGGACACACTGTTGAAAATTTTAAGTTTTTGGTTTGGAGCGTCATGCCAGAATCGGCACCATTATAAAGTTAAAACTTTAAACGCTATTTTCACTAGGGCGATAGACAGATATCACATATACAATACATACATATAATGCGATTCAACTAAGAATACGATCGACTGGGCGCCATACTGTGACGTCATAGCTGTCAATTCAAACCAAATAGGTAGAGTAAGCAGAAAAGATTTTATTTAATAAAACTTATTTACTACGATTAAGTAAGAAAAAACATGAGATTTTTTAAATAAATTTTATTTAGTAAGATTGAGAAAAAAAAACAACCAATTTTTAAATAATATTTATTTATGAAGACTGTGTGAGAAAAAACATTAATCAGAATCTAGCTCTTCAATTCCGTTCATCCCTGCATTACCGCCGAAGTAGTTATGAATAATCATGCACGATTACTAGGTCACATACGAACATACATCCATAATGTAAGAAGTCATCATGAAAGTTTTAAATCGAGTTTCTGAACGCAACATTAAGTGACATTTGGTTGACGATTTAGGTTATCCACCATTCACAGCCAAAGCTCAATAAATGAAAAAAATATCAATCAATATCAATTATCAATATTTGTTATTGTTTGTTTACAAATGTACGGTTTTTAATATAGAATTAGCAGTGCTAAAAAGGGTTCCAAGATTTTTTTGCAAACCGTACTTTTCAAGCAACATTTGACAGATTTCATTGGCTTTCCTATTCTTATTTGAATCGCACTATACACCACACATATATAAGTTGAGTATACTGACTTGGTCTCGTGGCTGAAGGGCCGTTTCGCTTGGGGCAGCCACGCCCAGTGGTAGGGATAAGCGCGCCAGGAATCCGGATGTTTGAACGGGAACGCCAAACCGTTGTCGATCGCCGCGATACGCACTTCGGATGCTTGCCAATCCTGCTCAACAACAACGATAAAATAATACAAGAAAACAAAGGAATAAAAATATCTTGAAATTCCATGTACTATAGATATTATACTACTTAAGATTTATAGGACATTAAAATTCAAAATTTATTTAAGTTTAGGCTTTTACAATTGTACATTGTGAAAGTCTTAGTTAGGGTAGATACACACAAGCGGTTCGGCAGTATTAGTTGAACAATAAAGCCGACCGGAAGTAATTACTTCACTTATTGTACCGAACAGTTATCTAAAGTATGGCCAACGAGAAGTGATACAAAAGTTCATTCACCTTATATGCGACTATGGGACTGACAGTCTTATAACTGTCTGTATCATCTCAATCGTCACATATATAGGGTGAAATTGAATGTTTCTATGAAACTTCGTGAGATTGTTGGGTTACGTGTATAGAGTATGCCGGATTTCTTAAAATATTTTTTTTTCGTTTTTTAATTTTTTATTTGGTTATTTTTTTGTCATTTCTTCCTTATGAGTAATTATTCATTTTAAACACGTCTACATAGAAGTTATAAAGCAACTTAAAATAAGCACTCCTAAAAAAACGGAAACTTAATGAATGCCTCCAGTCGAGATCAGCGCCGGCCGCCTGTGTAGGTACCTACTACACGCACAGATGACTCGGCGCTTACCTACTCTCCGCTTTGATTCCACACTATTTAAAAACATTACAATAAAATAGTCTTAGATGCTATATTATAATTATTTATTCACTGATACACAATACCTTTGAATATTATTTCATAAAGCACAGGTAATTAATCAATAAAATAAACCTTCTGTTAGATCAATTAAAAATCCTATAAAGTTAATATGACTGTCACGATTTTAAATCGGTAAAGCCTGTCTGTTAGTGTAAGAACTTCTTTTTTATTGTTAATGTTAGTTGCCTCGTTTAATTAAAACTTAAGAACAAACGGCTTATTTTTAAATTGGGAAAAATCATACAGAGCGAATCGGTATAACTTACGAGCTTAGAGAAGGAAGGAACTCTTCGTGTCTGATTTGCCCACGTCATGAAATTCCGAACACATTTAATCACAGCCACAGTCACACACACACACACATAATAATATGTTGTTTTGCGGCAAGCACGGGCGGGCGGCGCGCCGCACACTGGCAAGAAACATGCAGCGCTAGCGCCGAATGCGGCGTCTTTGATGATGTGAATTCTGCCCACCTCCCCTCTTCCCCGCACGCGGTGGTTTGCTTTGATTGCACGCAAAGCGCAGTCGCAAGTATATCAATCGCGCGTGGGCGTGCGCATCTTTTGACTTAGTGACATACACTGTGATAATTTCGTTATGCCTCGGTATACGAACCAAGAATATTTAGAGATGGTGTACTGCTATCGCGAGTGTGACGAAGTAGGTTTGGTTTACAAATGAGTCCCCAAACCATAGAAGTTGCATTTTGTGCAGTGAGTAGGGACACTTTAAAAAAAGGTGAAAAGACACGTCTGCAAACGTGCCTACCTTTGTTTGCAGCAAAATGGTGGTTTAGAGCAACAATTTTGCAGATAATAATTTAAGTCTCTTTTTATTGCTAGTGTAAATACCTTTTGATTTGAAACAACTAATTGTGTACTACTGGTGTGATTGATTTGATAAAAAGTTCTAGTGAAAAAAATGAATATGTTCCTCGTTGTACCTACCTACATCGCCGGTCTCGTAAGTACTTTTGAATACCTGGTTATAAATTTCATTCTGACCCCAAGTATTGAACTGCAATAAGTATTTCTTTTTGTTTAACATTTGCCTATTTCCAATCGTGACAAAATTATTATTAACTTTTAAAGTTTTTCTCTGCTTAAGAGAAGATGACATTTGTGCTTATTATTTCAATTTCAATAAAGGCATCTAAGACGATTTTATTGTATTGTGTGGAATCAAAGGAGTCAGCTGAGCTCTGTGTAGAGGTACCTACTCACTCAACGGCTGGCGGGCGCGGTCGGTCGTTGACCCGCGGTGGAATTTTAATGTTTTTCCGTTTTTTAGAAGTGCTTATTTATGAGTTGTTTTTCACTGGATATGTAAGTTTGTTTGTTTAAAATGAATAACTACTCAAAAGGAGGAAAGGACATAAAAATACACAAATTATAAATAAATACATGAAAAAAATATACTTCAAAAAAATCCGAAAAAAATCAGGCATACTCTATACACGTAACCCAACAATCTCACGAAGTTTCATAGAAACATTCAATTTCACCCTGTATATGACATTAGGTCACGTTCGGTCATGTCACGTCATTGCCGAGGCGTCGAGTTAGCCAACATTCGGACGGCCATTTTATAGTAAAAAATAATGACATATTTTCATTTCGTACCGTCTTTATTTCCGACACTACTCGTGGTATTAAATAATTATTTTTTTATTTTAAGATTATTGGTTTGATTATTATTTTAAGTTGTTATTTATTTTTTGTTAAGTTTTGAATGTAGTCATTATATTTTAGTAACCGTGTTATAAATAGTTTCTTATTTTCAAAAAATGTTGCCAACCTCTTCATTGTCTAATGGCCTTTCATCGACTTTGTTTACAGTTTTTATCGCGTCTCGTTGGCCGTATTTTACATACAAATATTCCATTTTACCGCCCGGCTCAAGCGTGCACATTAATGCCGGCCCGTTTATATGCCCAGCTACCCATACACAATGGGTTTACTAATATACGGCGTGTGACCTTGTACTGAGAAAAACCGGCAAGAAATTCAGCAAGGGTTTGCATTTTTAGCCCTGACTTATTTTACAAAGTATCGTGAATTGGAATATGACATTTTATAAACACGTATTGTACCGAGGCAACGATATTAAATACCCTAGATACACCACATCCGCTCAAAATGTGTCCCAATCAAGAAGTGCTTGAACTCCACTCAAGCACTTCTCAGTTCAGTTACGCACAGACCGTTGAAAAGTCAACATGCCGCTGAGCTCCGTAAAATAATGCGAAAAAAGTACTTGTAGTATGTAAAGTGTCGTATTTTTGACATGTATCTAATCAATGTTTATTAATTTACTGCATTTGAAGGAATTTTTTTTTCAAATACTTACTATAAACCGACTTATATAGAAAATATTTGTGATATTAAACCATATTCAAATGCATGGTCGGTTATATAGCCGTCTCTATTCCTCCCGGTCCGTACCTGCTTTATTGCTAACAGCGCATTCAGAATGCGTAGTCAAAGAAATAATGTCTATATACTTCCGCATATAGCAGTAAGTCGTAAAATTTACGAGCGTGCATTTCGAACTGTCATAACTCTTTGACGCATGATTTTAATTAAGACCTTATACAGTATGCACTAAAGGTGACTTTCAATGTTTAAATAATGCCTTATATTGTTTTTTACAACGCGATCATCTTACGGAGCTCTGTGGGTCGTCCAATGTACCTTTTGGACAGGTTTCGGGCACGATTTTTTTCGTGTTGGTGTATCTAGGGTATTAAATACTGTTGATTGAGGGCAATAAACATACAAAAAACGAGTGTGCTTATGACCACGACCACATGACTACGGCTGAAGTGAAACTTCTTTAACTCCCTATGTATGTATATATATGTGTGTGTGTACAATATATACATGTATGTACATATACATGTTTCATTTACTAGCTATAGGAGAAAGAAAGAAAACGTGCGCGCGCACTGCTTTCCTTTGCTTATATCCCCCACTCAACTTCCGTTCGCTTCGCCCGCACACACTTTTCGTAACGCGTAACGCACTCGCCAGCTTACCCCCCAAAACAAGCGTGCGTAAAGAAATTTCACTTCAAAAATTGAGTAAGTTAACACCGTTAGCTACCCTCAACCTAGAAATACAAATCCACATTTAATTTAATAACAAAAAGTGGCCAATACGAAGAAATACTCACGCTGGGGTCCAACATGGGGATATTATCGTTGGAAGGCGGCGCATCGTACTTGATCAGCCAGTTGTCGTTGCCCCGGTCCGTGTTACGTATAATATAATCCAACACTACCAGCCTCTCAAATTGTAACTGGAACCTGATAAATTAGGTATATTAACTCATTTATAATGCTATCTTCAACTTTAATAAAATAAAATAAGCCTTTATTCAGACTTACTTATTATACTGCATTAACTAAACATTGAGGAGCTCGATGGCGCAAGTGGTTAGTGCGTTCGGCTGCAATCGTTGAAGTTAAGCAACTTTCGCAGTGGTCGGTCATTGGATGGGTGACCAAAAATATACATACTCGAGTTCCTCCGTGCTTCGGAAAGCACGTTAAGCCGTTGGTCCCAGCTGCATCTTCAGTCGTTAGCACCCACCAATCCGCACTGGGCCCGCGTAGTGGGTCATGGCCCAATCTCCCTATTCCATCCATAGGGAATGCCTGTGCCCCGGCAGTGGGGACATTAATAGGCTGATGATGATGATGAACTAAACGTTATTAATCCGATTACCCTTTGGCAAAGGTTCCCCAAAACAGTCTGTCCATGGCCATCCTAGTTCATGCCTCTCCTGCACCCACTTTTATTTCGTCATCTCTTAGCCTGTCTTCCTCGTCTCCATTTTCCATCCCGAGGGTAACACACATAAACATCTTTGGCCAATTTATTTTTCCTGCTTCCATTTCAATCTCTGTTAATATTCCTACTGTAGAGGCATAGGTCTTCTCAATTGTAAAATAGGGATAATGGGTCGTGACCAGCAGATTAATGTGCCATCCGAAGCACGGAGAAGTTCAAGCTATTAATGATCACCCATTATGACTTGGCTTTGCGAAAGTTGCTTTTTACAATCTGAGAAAGTCTTAGTGCGCTGAGAAAGTCTTAGTGCGCTAACTATTGGGTACAAAGCTTCTCAGAGTGCTATACTTTATTATGTAAGACCTATGTAAACATGACATAATGCAAGAAATGAATTATGAATAATTATTAAAATTGCTTTATATCAATAAATCTTAAAGTTCTATGATAACTATTTTTCTGTCTGATCGATTATGACATTTATTAAATTTTTTATTTTTATTTGTACAGCTGGACAAATTGGAGATCTTGATTTTTACAAACATCGAATAATGCATGACTCATGGAGTGTTTGTACGACAAATACGATGTTTTACGTAATTGTAATACTCTCGCCCGTAAAATAAAGGGTTACCTAGTGAACTCAAAATAACTTTTCTTTGAATGAAAAGTTATCGAAGGTACATTTTATTATACTATATCAAATAGTTAGGGTATCATTCAAAATATGGTTCTGTTTGTTATAACAATTATAATAAATAAATAAGCAACAATAATCTACAATTGCTATTCATTTTTCAAATGTTTAATACTTGTAAAGGTATTTCGTTTAACACTGGGCTAGTTACCAACAATGCTAAGAGATGGCGCTGCATTGCAGGCTAAGAAATACTAGAAGAAATTCGACACGGTCATTAAGTTCGCAGTAGCATAATTAATCAGTGCATCTGTTCGGATTGCAGAGGGTGCGGGTTCGACACCCGGCTGCTGCTTGGACCGCGAGGTTTTTTTCTGTTTTCTGCTGTTTTAAGGTAACCCATTATTTTTACAACCGAGTGTATTTATAGAAGCACCTAATCACGGAATGAATTGAGGCGGTCAGCGCAAAAGTGACCCTCAATTATTCATATTCTGATTAAGCTGCTTAGGTCACTTATGAAGTTTACGTTGAGAGAAAAAAATCTATGCAAAAATAACTTTTACAACGCCATCTATTGACGCCTGAATTGAATGACAATTTTGAATGAAATTTTAACACATTTTTATTTAATTGTAGAAGATGAATCAGAATATGAATAATTGAGGGTTAGGCCACTTTTGCTCTTACAGCCTCAATTATAATTATTTATTTACTTTCTCATGACGTGCGGCGGCGGCGGGTCCTGCTCGAACCGCCGCAGCCAGTAGTCCGCGTCTTTGTAGCCCTCCACGAACAGCTGGAACGAGCCTGCCTGAACGGAAGCCGAGCGATATTGAATAATAAATAAATATTTCTAACACTCACACCAATTAGCCTAACCCCAAAGTAAGCACTATAAGGCTTGTGTTATGGGATACTAGGGTAACGGATAGAATACATATACTGTACATATAAAGTATATTTTTATAGAAATACATATTAAACATCCATGACTGGAGTATAAATGCTCGTATTCATCACACAAACATCTACCCCCACCGGGATTTGAACCCGGGACCTCTCGAGTCGGCGACACCATGAAACCCGGCGTACAAACCACTCTGCCACGGAGGTCGTCAATATTACTATGAACGATGGTGAAAACCAAACATTTGTGCCTAAAAACAAGAACTAAAGCAAAGAAAATGTTTAAATTCAACTAATATAGTTATCCTATTTTTACATATAGACCAGAAAGGAGACAAATATATGTTGCTATGAACAGCGTGCGTACCGCTATATAAACGCCAAATTGGATATCTTTGGCCTTTGTACACCTTGAGGATACCTTGGTCACATTTGAGGAGCTGGCAAACAAAACGGTATAATTACGCATATATGTTTTTTGTGACCATCTAATATTTTTTTTTACAGCCTGGAGGTTTTGGGCCAGCTGAATTTGAATTTCAACTCATGTCAAACAAAACCGCCTAAAATAGTGTTAAAATTACTAAATTAAAAATCACGCCAAAAGCTCACTGTAGGTATATATATAATTCAGTTTTTTACTGCTCCCGTAAAATTTTATTTGATGTAATTATACCGTTTTGTTCGCCAGCTACTCATTTACGATACAGAATAAAAAACCGGTCTAATGTCAAATGCAACCTGCCAACACGCTACTAATACCTCTTTGTTGGGTAATACGTATGCTGGAAGGAAGGAAGGAAGTGTACGATCACGTCATTACATTATTTCTATGTTATAGTTCTTGTATCTATAATAATAGAGGAAAGTATTTAAAACATGAGAAACTACATTGACAAAAACTGCCTAACTGCCGCACTCAGAAACGTCAAATGAATTAGATGCTTCATACGTCACATGTTATCTCATTCTCTTTTTGTCGCAAAAACAGTGATAGCATCAACTTTAGTCAAACATTAAACTAAAAAGTTAATTGACTTCTCTTAATTCGGCCTTCAATTAAAACTAGAAATACATAAATTTATAATTTAATATAATACCAATAAGTACATTAAGCAGTCCATGTAAAAATATACACTTAAGTTATAGTACCCACTAATTCTGACATGAATTTTAAAACCTACTATTAAAGTTGACAGTAGTATTTCCTTATCTTTTTCTCTATAGAGTATGGAGAGGAGAGACTGCTGTCAAAATTAGTTTTGGTTCAGAAGATATTTGTCCGGCTTTCGCTAACTGCATTTTTTAAGAAATTTGGATATATTATAAAATCCCCTTTCAGTTAATAGATTGGCTTAAAACTCTTATCATTTCGTTTTTAATTTAAAATTATTATTGTATTTTTAAAGTTTAATAGAAAAATATTTAATAAATCTATAGCTATTTTATGACTCTAAGTTCACCAACAAATGAAATATTATATGGAATACGAACTGCGCAAAAAAGTGATACAATGCAAACTGCGACCAAGTGGGCGGAGCAAAAAAAAATGCGATCAACACGACGACCATGGCAGTAGTTGGGATTTCAGTTTAACATTATTTTATCCAATGAATGGATAGCCGAATTCATTTGCAAATATTTGATTTGTCAAATTGTTTCGTCTATGTGCATGTCACGCATTGAATTTTAGAATTTTAGTGGTATGAGTTTGGATTGGAACCATGTTTTAGCGGCCCTTGTTAAAGACTAATGCTTCCATATAATTTCTAATTAGTTGAAGTTTACATTTAAAGCATACAGCGATAAGCTTACCTTAGGTGGCAGTCCCATCCTGTTGAACCTAAGGTTGGGAAACTGCTCGGTGATGGCACGTTTGAGTCGCGACCGCTCGCGGTCTATCCGCAAGTAGTTGAACGTCTCCGATACTAGTTTCACCACCTACAAACAACATTATATGAATCATCTTATGAATTATTCCATAAGACAGAGGAATATGAGTAAACATCTGCTTGGGAGCAACGTGACGTCATCTTCGTTAAGGTCTACAATTCTATTTTATCTATACTAATATTATACTGCCACCGAGTTTGTTTTGGTATTGTTAACAGGGAGAAGGGTGCTGAGAATGATTCTGGGTCCGATTCGCACAGCTGAGGGATTAAGGAGAAAAAATAGGGTAATTAAAAATCTAGTGGCCATGCCTAATATCATTGGCGAAATAAAAGCGCATAAATTACGCTGGCTCGGTCATGTGGAGAGAATGGGAAATTATCAAGCAGTCAAGTGGGCCTTCCTGGAACAATACCGCCCTTTGGTACGGCCTAGATACCGCTGGCTGGGCCAAGTCATGCTGGATTTCTGCGATCTCAAGGAAAAGAACTGCAGAGAGGGAGCGCAGAACAGACCGAAGTGACATTTCTTATTGTCGGAAGCCAAGATCCACTTCGGGTCGCTGCGTCATTGTAATAAGTAAGAAAGAAGAGTTTGTATGATTTTTGTTTGTTTGCTAATCTCTGCAACTACTGGTCTGATTTGAAAAGTATTTTGTGTTCGACAGTGCGTGTATCGAAGAAGGCTATACCTGACCTACGATAAACTTTTTCCACAAATTAATAATGGTGAAACCGCAGGGCACCTCTACTTTATTCAATAGAATTTTGTGATAATAGCTAAGCATTGAACAACTATAATGTAAGGAACAAACGGTACGGTCCAGTATATGTAGAACTAAATAAACATCCTGCGATTGCCGATGCGAATAATAATCTAAAGTACGTTTCTCTGTTTTACATTGGTACCTTATCTTTGATGCTTTCCAAACCTCCGACAGATTTTATTATACAAATTAATATATATAATGTTAACGGATGCCCGCGACTTCGTCTGCGTGAATTAATTGGTTTAGTTTTGCATAAGAAGGTCACCTTTATGTTCATACTAAAATAAAACCCGTAACAGGCTGAGTTGCCTACTTAAATATTTATAATGTTACCGGTACCGCGACTTCGTCATCGTGAACATAAAAATCCCTAGGGCTCCGGATTAATAAGAATCAAAAAAATCTACCCGTTAATCAATTCGTATTGTACTTTTTTTGTGATACTCCCAAAGGCAAAGTAAGATTTTAACAAAGTATAAATGTTATATTGTTACATTTTCAGTTCCGACTTCCGAGAAGCTACCCAAAATATTTAAACAAAATCAACTTAAGTTTGGGGTACTTAAGGTACCCATTCTAATGGGGAAGAAAGGCCTAAAATTTGACATTCGCGAACGGAAATAAGCTTCTTTACACCTAAATGTGATACGTTATCTAGCTATTAACAAGCATATGCGGGAACTGTATTTCTAATGTGTATGTCTCATTGTGTGTGATACTTTTGATGCACTGCTAGCTCCATATGTGACAATACACCGTACAGTAATTTCCGCCAGACTAAATATTTAGCCAAAGTTTGAATAATAAAATACGTAGAAAACAATGCATTTAACCATAATAATATACAAAAGACTTGATAGTTTCAATGGGTATAAATAAACCAAGAGATGGAAATATAAACTTTGTTTACACATCGAAGGCCTATATTTTCCACTACGACACAGAACAAGTGGCTGTGTCATCGTGGGTGTTCTGACTATAGGGCTGTACTTATTTAAAGCTACAGGTGACCTGCGGTTTCACCTGCGATAGGTAAGGCTATAAAGTGGGTCACCCTTAAAAGATAGACATAATTATGTATGCTTTCGCGGACTTTTTTATAGAACTTTTGAAAGGGACCAATTCCGTCAGTCCTGATTTTTGTGTGACTTTTACCGTTCACGCAGCGCACGTAACTCATAAATATAATATTTTTTCCCGTTTTTGCAACATTTTTCATTGGAGCTCCGTTTCTTTTAGTCGTAACGTTAAGTTAAGTCTTCCTCCATATATGCACTATCCAATACAAAAACATTTGTTGAAATCGAACCAGTAGTTCCTGAGATTAGCGCGTTCAAACAAACAAACAAACTCTTCAGCTTTATAATAGTAGTATAGAAGTCTATATTTCATATAAGCGCGACTACTGGTGGCGCCATATACTTCAAAACATAAATGTAATATATACTTAGCATAGCTGTACTGGTACGACTTTAGTGTCCTCCATAGTTCAAGGGCAATCTTTTACATTATCGTTTATCATGAACACTTCTTATAACTATAATATCAATGCTAGCTGACGCTCTTTTCGCAATTCCGGCCCCGATGTTAGACTTCGTTTCATTACTATTTTTTAGTTAGTGGGTGCGTGCGACTATGTCTACAAGGAAAAGGTACCTAATTAGTGTTTTCATACAAACTGTCATTCCCTCTTAGACCTCCTCTAACTTATGTTTACGGTACAAAACGTATATAATGCCAAATCGAAATTAGCGGTTGAGACACGAAAGTGTACCAGGAAGAAAGACAAATTTCGCATTAGCATGGATCACATGATTCATTAAAGTGATTGATGTAACTTAAGAGACAGTGCCGCATCCGTAAGTTTCGTCAAACGTCCTCGAGACTTGAATTTCGAAACCCGATTGCGGTGGCCAGAGGGGTATCATATAAACATCACCGCAAGTCGAATACTTCGTCCCACTATCATCGGCATTGTTATTAACTTCCGCACGAAATTCCTCAATCAATATGTCCAAGAAAACTTTAACTTGTTTACCTTACGCTACGCATGTTAAACAAAATTATATCAATTTTCCAAATTATCGCCGTTTCCCCGATCGTGACATTATAACAATGAAATAGAAAAAAACTTTTTCTGATAAAATATCTTCACATAATTCAGAGTTTAGTATCCTTAAGAGTAAAAACGGTGTCGTTTGACTAAAGCATCCATAGTCCTTTTCACTTCGTCACTTTGTCTTCCATATTTATTTTCTTTGTTACTCTACATAAGAGTAGATACATACTACTACATAAATGCTTAAAAAAAAATAATAAATAAAATCATAAGTATATAACTATTTAATTATAAATTGCAATCATATCAATAAAATACGTAGCAAAAGTTTCTACAATAAAACTTAAGTACTTTAATTGTTACGGAGTACATAAAACTGACAATATCGGTCAAAGGACTTAACAATTAAGAAGCAATCTGACAACACATTTAAGGTCGAGTGTTTAATCCACATTTTGACAATGTGCATTATAAACAAACATTATAAATGGCGTAGGAGCTGGAGTACGCCCCAATAAGCGCCAGCCTCGATTATATCTAGTGGGCTACGACGTATGAGGTCAGAGTTCCGCATATCAAATTATGCTATCACACCATCCATATCCGTCATAGTCGTATTCTTAACCGTAATCTATACTAAAATGCGAAAGCGTGTCTGTCTGTTACCACTTCACGCTTTAACCACTGAACTGATTGCTGGAATAAAATTCGCTATCGAGATAGGTAAAATCCTGGGTAAGGAAATAGGATAGATTTAATCCTAAAAATCATCCTTATGGGGGTTGATGTTTGTATGGGAAGCCAGTAAGTATGTCCACCAATGACGTATATTATATAATACAGATTATGCGCCAACATTATTGCATTTTAAAATGGTACAAGTAGTCCCCGCTCCAACTTCCCTTGGCAACAGCCGCCCATAGAGTGCGTGCAGTAAATTAGTCTCTTTTACTCTCATTCATAAAGCAGATTATATCTTGCTCTTTATGTGTCAACGGTGTCAGCAACTGTCAAAATAGTAATCAATAGATATATATACATAAAGGACATTGTTCAGCGTCCATACATAGTTAGCCTAATAACCAAAAATTATGAAATATTATTTTCTAGGTTCAAAATAGTAAGCAAATGACTGTAAAAACAAAGATTATTGACGGACACTTCTGAGAACTTAAATTATTAGGAAAATTTAATTTTTTTTGAGGTTATGTTTAATATTCAATGAAACATAGGTCAACCTATGAACTTAGTATGAACTCAGTATGAAGTAAATTAATAATTACAATTTTATTCGTTGCGATTTTAAAGAATAACTATTAAGAAAAACTTGGTTAGGTAGGAATCATGAATAATATAAAAACTGTAGTTTTGCTTCTTATTTATTGACTATGTTTCACATAATTGTATCATATTGTATATTGTATTTATTTGTATATCACATGTATATTATGTAAATATTCGCAGCGTGAATGTGTATCAGCTGTTCTTGAATAATTTGGCAGTATGATCCTCTCAGGATGTTGTGGCACAGGTTCACTAGCGCTTGGTAATAAGGGCTCTGCTCTTTGGTAACATCTATGGCATATTAGATAGCCGAAATAGTTAAATCAAAGGAAAAACAATCGCAAATAAACACACACAACGGGTAATCCGAAACGAGAATGCACTTTCCGGTATATTAGACAACTCTTTGGAATGCACGAATGCCACAGATTACTACGAATGCAAACTGCATGCACCACAACCACGGAGTAACGAGTTTTATGCCGGCCCTTCACTTGACAACAGTTTGTTCTTGTCATGCTTAATAAGGAATGAAAAGGACACACTGATATCATGTTTTAAATAAAACTAGTTTTTACGGCACGAAACTTTATTTATTTATTGACGTTTCGCAGCCTTTTCAGGTCTGCATCGTCAGAATAATGATTTTTTATTTAAAATTGTCGAGCTACCTTCGAAAGACTTATATTGAGCGTTCGGTTATTTCATTGGAAGATTTTTAAAATTTTATTGTCTATGTATGAATTTATTATTTAATTTACTTAATAAAGTATTTTATTTAAAATTCTTGTTTGTAATTTTGAGTTTATTTATTTGACCCTAACTACCGTAAACTACCACCGGTTCCAAAATTGGGAGACCTTCCTGAGAAGAACCGGCGAAACAAACTCAAGTGAACCTAAGAAACAAATATATCATGTTTTAAAATAGCAAATA